ACAGTTTAATTGAATAACTGTTGAAATTCTTTAATTCAATTAATTTATCTTAACGTGCAAAGCAAAGCTCATAGAATCCTCAAAACCTGTCAGCAGTATAAAAATAGCTGAATAGCCCTGTACAAATAGATTCAAAAGTTCAATAATTTTACCTTTAATTACAATTGAGGGCTTTCAAATGTTATTACTGTTAATTTGTTTCACACAGTTTAATAGTTAATTTTATTTATTACTGATTGAACTTCATTTGTTCATTCTTTTATTATTCAATTGTTTGAGGTGATTTCAATTGTACATTCCTATATTGTTTAACTATTGAAGGTAATTCAATTGTTCATTCTTTTATTGTTCAATTGTTGAAGGCAATTTCCGGTTCAATGAATTGGCTTATCACAATGAATCAGTTGATCCAATCAAGAACGAATTTTATCGAAACAGCGACTACTTATATTGAAGTAAAACAAATGATTGCCCCAAATTAAGGTTGAAAGGAAGGAAAGGAAGCATTGAGAAGATAAGAAAAAACTGTTGAACTTTTGGCGTAAAAGGCATTAATTTAAATTTAATTGTCATCACACTTAATTGAATCTATCAGTTGTTATTAAATATATATGTAAAATAAAAGGTGTTCAGCTTCAGCGGTGACAAAACAGAAATAGGGAACAGCCAGAATTTCACTAATTTAGTTAATTCCAATTGGACGCAAAATATGAATTCCAATTTATCCCTTGTTGTTGATCAAATCAGCAACAACAATAATAATGATTGTTGAACTTCTTCACTGTGATTTAATATTTAGAATAGCACAAGTACGAATTCTTAACTTTAACAAAAAGAAACTCGATTCTTATTCAGTTGATCGTTGAATTAGAAAAAAGTTGTTCAATATAATAAAAGGACGAGGAAGATCGGGCGGAAGGTCAAGATCAACGTTTCGACGCTTTAATTCAAATTCAAATTTTGAATTTGTGTATTCCAAAATATCCCGCACGCCTTTAGACGCGCAAGACATCCAATCGCTATGAATTTCAGGCTTTCGATGGAACATCAGTGAAAAACTTTACGTTTTTTTCCAAAATCCGAACTGAAGACATTGAAAACAAGAAGAAAAAAGAGATTAAAAAGAGAGAGATGGAGTGTATTCAAGAAACCGTATTACCAACTGAATTAATATTGAAACACTTAATTTATACGAATATTAACTTCTCATCATTTGATAACATATATATATTAACATGAAAACAATCGAAACGTTTATATTTAACCAAATTTAATTAATATTAACCACCAAGTTTATAAAAGACAGTAAATGTATACGGTGGTCACCATAAAGGTGCCAACGCAACTAATCCACCAAAATGGTGGATTCAAGGAAAAGGAAAAGAGAGAGGGGAAAACTGAAGGAAATAGGTTTGGCCAGGTACTAAACCAGTTTCAGTACCTGGCCAAAGTTGTTATGACATTATCCGACGCCATCCTCGTAAAGTCCTTTACGAGCAGAATTATTCAAACGACTCGGCACTATCCATATCGAAGGTTGCAGTTAGATTGTTCAAGTCCATAATAATATAATAATAAATTTTAAATGAAAATTTCCAACACCAGACCAATTACCCAGTTTAATTATTATTGATCAAATTTATTCTTAAGATAATAATATTCAGCTTCCACTGCATATTCCTTGAATTCGTCCATTGAATTAACCTTTACCAAAGCGATATACTTTAAAATACCAGGGAGGAATCCATTTTTAATATATCTTATTTTATCATCGAGATCCATATTTGGATCAAGTTTAACACACAGGCCAACCATTTCAAAGAAATAAGATATAACATCTTGACCTCTTGTTGCTTTTTTTATTTTCAATTTCGAGCGTAATTGTCTTGGTGTAACGAAGGTTGTTTGAAAGGCGAGTAATTTAGCTTTCAATCATTGAAAGTAGCTGGTCGTTGATCAACAGGTTTACTTTATACTACCAGCATACCAATCTTTAGCAGGGCCATTAAATAAACAGGTAATCGTCTTAATTTATCAATATTATTTAAACCAGCAGCTTCAGTTATTTGTTCAAAATCGTCAAGCCAATCATAGACATCAGCATTATTTCCATCAAAGTTTTTAATATTGTTTAACAAAGTATCATCGAAATATCGGCTCGTCATAGTTAAGAATCTTTTGTTCAACGTAGACTGACTATTAAATCCAATACAAACGAACCAGCAATCTTGAAATAAACGGCTAACTTAATTAACCAAATGGCAAAAGTTTCACAGATTCTGGAACAACGGACAATCGAATCAATTAGCAAGAAACAAATACAATTTTCTCAATAGAGCTAACAAAGATGATAAACAATAACTAGTTTACCAATCAAATTTTAAACGAAGTTGACCAAATGACGCCATGATAAACAATAACTAGTTTATCAAACGAATTTTAAACGAAGTTGACCAAATGGCGAATCTGATAAACAATAACTAGTTTACCAATCAAATTTTAAACGAAGTTGACTAATGACGAAATTGATAATTAATAACTAAATTATCAATCGAATTTTAACCAAATGTTGAACGAAATTTTACTAATGACGAAGATGATAATTAATAACTAAATTATCAATCAAATTTTAACCAAACGTTGAATCGAAGTTTTACCAAATGACGAAGATGATAACTAATAACTAAATTATCAATCAAATTTTAACCAAATGACGAAGATGATAATTAATAACTAAATTATCAATCGAATTTTAACCAAATGACGAAGATGATAATTAATAACTAAATTATCAATCGAATTTTAACCAAATGACGAAGATGATAATTAATAACTAAATTATCAATCAAATTTTAACCAAACGTTGAATCGAAATTTTACCAAATGACGAAGATGATAATTAATAACTAAATTATCAATCAAATTTAACCAAACGTTGAATCGAAATTTTACCAAATGACGAAGATGATAATTAATAACTAAATTATCAAACAAATTTCAACCAAATGTTGAACGAGTTTATCACAACCTGTTTCGTAACTACTGTTGATAATCAGTGACTCTTAGCGAATTCTAACTTAATGTTAAACAGGTTTCAAAAGGTAAATTATAGAATAACTATACATATCAAGGATGAGATGGTTAAAGTTTCAACAAAAGTTGAATAGCTAGTTTTTTAAACAAAACCTGAAAGTTTTCACCTTCAATTTGTGAAGGTTCTTTTCTTTATAACTAAAGCTTACGAAAGCAAAAAAAACTGTTTGTAACTTGGCTATAATCGATTCAATTTATTATCTAAAATCGATTCTTGTCACAATAAAACGATTATTACTGAAAAAAAATGTCCACAAACGCAATATGAGAAAAAAAAGATCACAACGAAATAGTCCTGATTGTTGACAACCACTCAATATAATCAGTTATAGAAATGATGAAGTACAAACAAAACAAAAATAATCTGGCCGTTTATACTGAGACAAATGTATCATTTTCGTCCACTGGATTAGGTTGTTCACTTTTGTTACCAGCGAAATTAATTTAGATGAATAGATTTATTAGGTTAACATTCTGTGGTTTTTTTAATCTCAAGTTAATCGTATTCAGTAGGTTTTTCCTTATAATCACGAAAATCAATTACCAAAAGAAAGTGGAAAAAAGACTGAAAGGCAAACTAAAGTGTATCTATGCGACAAACAAGAAAAATACAACACAAATCACGTCCGTGGTCACCAAAAATGTATTCAAGAAACCGTATTACCAACTGAATTAATATTGAAACACTTAATTTATACGAATATTAACTTCTCATCATTTGATAACATATATATATTAACATGAAAACAATCGAAACGTTTATATTTAACCAAATTGAATTAATATTAACCACCAAGTTTATAAAAGACAGTAAATGTATACGGTGGTCACCATAAAGGTGCCAACGCAACTAATCCACCAAAATGGTGGATTCAAGGAAAAGGAAAAGAGAGAGAGGGGGAAAAACTGAAGGGAAAGTTAAGGTGGTTTGGCCAGGTACTAAACCAGTTTCAGTACCTGGCCAAAGTTGTTATGACAGAAGAAAGAAAACAAAAAGGTTGAATGTCAGGGAAAGGTCAATAGAAAGTAACAAAAGTCACAACTAACATACTCTGACTAACGTCTTTGTCTTTGTTTTCAGGAATTTTCCGAAGACAAACCCATTCATCAGGTCCAGCATTATCATCCTTTGATAGGTTTAGAGGTTTCATGTCCTTTTTCAATGTTATGTACAGGTTATGGTAACATGGATTATGGAATAGTTTTTTCGTTTTTCTTTCCAAAAAAAACCTTCAAGTGAACTCTAGGTAGGTTTATCGTTAAATGACCTCAATGACCTTGAAACTTTTTATATGAAGTCCTTCAGTCCCAATATGTGTCTGTAAAAGGTTTGATCTTTTTCGACTCATTGGTTCTGGACTTATAACTAATAATCTGCGTAAAATGAGGTTGAATAGCTCTGTATAGAGATTGGTGATTATATTAAAATAATCAAATGATCATCGATTTTGAAAGCTGATCATCGATTATTTTTCTCTCTCCTTTTCTCTTACGTTTCTTGAGTGAATTCCCTCTTTTTCAAAGCTCTTCTCCCGAATCGTTTCCCTTTTTACTTTCTCTTTCTCACGTCTCTTCCTTTTTCTATATCTCTAAGACAACAAAAACATCGGTATGTATCGATTTTCTTCAAAATTATTGCGTCATCATCGTTAATCGTAAATCTAAACAACCTCCTATCTCTAGTTATGTACAAGTTGAAAAGCTGATCAATTGTGATGCCCGAATGAACCAATTTTGTCATCACTTTTATTCGCTCAAGTTCGTACTTGTAGAACGTTTCATTATTGTCAGGGTTTCATTTCAAAGAATTCTTTTACGGGCCTACTATGCTCAGTTAAACCATTTCTCGAGTAATAAAATGCAAAAATAAACTAGATGATTCGAATACTAATCTACATATCTGTATAATGAGTAAGTTGATCAAAAATACAAATTCGAAACTAGGGCAGAATCTTTTTCGATGACTTTAATTATTAAAATTGTATTATTTTTACGTTTAATGATTGAAGTTATTGTAAAAATATTTGGCCAGGATTCAGGCTATGATGAGTTTTCATCTTAGAAGATTATTTGGTGTTTTTCTGCTGAAGAACCCATCTCAATCAGCATCAATGTAATTAGTAAATTCTGAAATGGATTTAACAACGACGAATAAAATTTGAAAATTAAGCAAAACGCAACATTTAGAAAATATTTTGGGGAAAATTAAAGATTTTATCAATAATAATAAATGATTGAAAATTAACTGAGAATGAAGGTTCTTCGTGATAAATCGTAATATCCAAAAGAAACAAATCATGGTTATCAAAGTTATGGTGGATTATCATTAAATGATAATCCTAAAATAATAAAACTAATCAAAATTAAAAAAATTCTGATAAATTATCATGGAGACCATAAACTCGAAGAATTTTCTTCGAAACTCATCAATATAACTTAATCTAGTTGTCTTACTATTTTTCGTCGATGGATTATTGAAAAACGTTATCGACAATCAAGAGCGAATTACCAAAGTACAAATCACTGGCACTAACAATCAAGAAAAAATGATTAGAATTATAATTCTTAATGATCTGTTGATTATTGAATCTTAATAATACTTACGTTTCAATTTAGATTGAATTTCTCACGAAAGATATCAAGGTCGAAGAATGAACACTTTGTTCAGTTGATATAGTTGTTCTCTCTTTGATATTGGAACTTCCAATTATAATTTTTCAATTTTTTCTTTTCTCTAATCTAAACTGGAATAGATTCACATCGTAAAATGTGTGAAACATAATATATATATCAGTATAAAAATTGAGGGAAAAATCCTGAAATCAATCTGATTGATGATAAATAAATCATAATGAAAATTATGATTTAATGATTAAATCAATATAAAAATTATTAAATTCACTAATTTTCAAAGAAATAAAACTCAGAAAACTTCTGAGCCTTGGCTCATGACTTTTTTGTGCTCAAATTTTTTGTTTTCAATTAACTGAGTTAATTTTATTATGTATCGTTTATCTGAGTCAACTTTCTCTCGGTAACCAGTTGAAATTTGAGGTGATCCCATTGGTATTCGCATCGAATATCAACAAGTGCCTGATTCTAATTACGTTGATTTCAATGCCCCAGTACTAAGTACACAACCAGAAAGAAGAGAGTGGATAAGCCAATCCTTGGTTGATTCAGAAGAATCAGATACAATTAAACCCGATGATCTTTCGGTTGAATGTTTTTTGGATCCGAACTTAGTTCGTGATTTCGCGTGTGTTATTTGCCTCAACTTCGCCAAAGATGGTGTCACCTGCCTTTTCTGTCGAGCTTCAATTTGTTCAAGACTATGTACATATGTATTTGCATGTACGAGGAAACAACCAGAACTCAGTTCATCACTTGTCCTCAATGTCGCAGACTTGAAATTGGTTCCAAGACATCAACATGGAAAAAAGTCGATAGAAATTTTTTAAAATTTACAATGAATTTGTTATTTTGAGCCTTTTTGTAAGAAAATTATGCCATCTAAATATTACAAAGATCATGTGAGGCGATGTGACTTCAATAATGACAATTGCCAAAGTTGCAAAGTGAGCCGTCATGATTCCAATCATCATCTCAAAGTTTTCATGACACCAAATCCGAAAAAGACTGATGAACACAGTTCATTAAAAAGAGAATTGGAACGTCTAAAGAGAAAATTTTTCAAAATTCAAAGCGATTGCCCAGAAATCATATTATACCGAAGGTGCAGATAAAAATGGTGTCAAAGCTTCTAAAGAAAGAGTCACAATATTAATATGTGTTGGTATAAATGGCAAGAAAAAAGATCCGCTTGTGATTGGTAAAAGTAAAAAACCTCGTTCTCTTGCTAAGATTTTTATGATACCAAGAGATATAATATCGATTATAAAGTAAGAATGCATGGATAACAGCTGATCTATGCGACCAATGGTTGTGTGAATGGGATGATAAGTTAACATCAAAAAGCAAAAAAGTTCTACTTTTTATTGATAACTGTCGACCTCATCATGTTTCTGATCCAACAAAATATCGTGACATAAAAATTGTCTATTTACCTGTCAACACTACTAGCCATTGTCAACCCTTGGATGCCGGGATTATTAACGCATTTAAACACCACTATTTCAGTGATCTTAATTGTGTTCTGGCAACTCTCATTCCAACAGGTAAAACAATTGATGATTTAACTAAAACAATTACATTGAGAGAAGCTATTGAATGGATTCAACAAGCTTTGGAAAAAGTTACTCAATCAACAATAATTAACTGTTTTACCAAATGTCACTTTTATCCATGTAATTAATAAAACCATTAGATGGCGATAGTGTCGATTAACTCAAATGTGTAAAACGCATTATAACTTAAGTGGGTACTAGAGTGCAGTGATTAATTCAATCAATTGTTACTCTTTTTAATGCCTTTTGTTACCTATTACTCAAAAACCAAACCTTTGATCTAAGATCAATTAATTAAACAATTAATAGTTCAACATCACCCACATTGTGTCTTGTTAGTAATTCTGATTAAGTGTTTGTTGCTATATGATTAATTACCAATTGTAGTTACTATTTTTGATTCATTTAATTTGTCGTGAGAAAGACAACTTAGTTGTCTCAATTGGTCATATAATTATAATCGGTTAATAATTTAATTACAGTGGGGTAAGAAAGTAAGTTGAAATGGCGAAATTGAGAGTTTATTGTCGATATCTTTTCTTTGAGTTAATTGCAAGTAATTAAAGTCTTTTAATTTCTTAATTTGACTAATTATCTGAGGTTTTTGATTAGAATTAAATTGTTATATGTCCCATTTTCTTAGAAAAATCGTGAGATCAAAATAATAATTTGCAAAAAGTAAGTTGAATTTTTAAGAATTGACTAAATTCGGTTGAATTGTTTTTTTGATTAGTTAATTGTGACTCTTTTAGTACTTAGTATGTCCACCCTTTGCTATTAGAACAGCATTCAATCGTTTCTCCATACTTCCGACTAGTTTTTGAGTATATTCTTCCGGTATTTTTGACCAAGTTTCGGCGATTGCCTTTTATAAAGATTTGAGATTAGTACGAGCTGATTTTGGGATATGATCGTCCAAATATTGCCAAAGATTCTCAATTGGGTAGAGGTCAGGTGATTGTGGAGGCCAAGGAAGCACCGAAATTTTTTCTTGATCGAAAAAACTCCGAACAACTCGGCTGGTATGTTTCGGATCATTGTCGTGTTGAAAAACAAAGTCATTCCCTAAGCTGATTTTCTCAGCCGATTGTTTCAAATTCTCTACTAAGATTGACCTGTAGACTTCTCCTGTCATTTTGCCCTCGATAATAACCAAATTACCGACACCAGCTGACGAGAAACATCCCCAGACCATAACTGAGCCGCCGCCGTGTTTGACGGTTGGTCTTGTGTAGCCGACTTTGAAGGCTTCTCCTCTGTTTCTCCACACATATTGACGCCGATTGTTGTTTACTAACATAAATTTACTCTCATCTGACCATATGACCGAATTCGAAAACTCTATCGGGTTACCTTGATATTGATTGGCCCACTCGTATCTACCTGTTTGATTCTTTTCTGTAATCATCGGCTTCTTCCTGGCCACATACCCTCTCAATCCATTTTCATGTATTCGATTCTTAATTGTTGTGAGACTAACATCGAGATTCAATGTCTCTTTAAGCTCTTCAGCTGTTATCTTTGGATTATTGGTGATTTCTTTCATAATTTTCCGGTCATCACGATCACTTGTCTTTCTTGGCCTTCCCTCTCTCTTCATATTTTCTGGTGATCCAGTTTTTTTTATTTTCAATACGATTTTTCTAACACCTTCTGGGCTTAATTGATGCTCTTTAGCAATTTTGGTAAGTGTATCTCCATTTGATCTCTTCGGAAAAATGGTCATTCGCTCGTGACCATTTCAACTTACTTTCTTACCCCACTGTATATAAAATATGGTATGACCAACATACCGATCCGTCGATGACCCTTAATCGGAAGTATATCCAAAATTACAATCAAAGTATATTTTAGTTTGCATTTAACGTCTAGACGATAACCTTTTTAATCTTGTTAATCATCTTCATTTTCAGCATCATCGTTTTTATCATCATCTCAAAAACAATAGCAAAAACTTCAACAAAATTGAAAAAAGATTTAACATTTAAACTAAAGTTTTTTAAGTTGTAAATTGTTCATTGAAATTTTAATTCATGTTGGTTCTGGTTTTCTTTCCTTTTCTCATTCGCTTTCTTTTTCTTTTCTTCTCTTAATGTGCTGGAGTGGTCATTTTTTAACTACTATCAATTAACAACATGAATATCGTTCATTGATTAATTCTTATTCATTTCTTTTACATCTTTTATTGTCTTTTGGTGGTAAAATATCAACTATCAAGATCAATCAATTGCAATCTTGCGAAATTACTTGATTTGAACATTTTCGATTTAGAGTTTATTAATTATTATAAGGAAATGAACAATCGTTTTGACAAAACAAAAGTAAAAACTTGGAATCGGTAAAAGTGATCTCGATCCGAGTTCTGGTTTATCATGTAAATTTCCAACTTCGACTGGTAGCTTTTCGTAGACTTAAATCGTTACAATCAATTTGCTGATTATCTTAATCATTTCATCATTTTCTAAAGATCGTATTGTTACCACTCAATTAATGGTATCTAATTAATTGTTAATATTTATGGTGATATTTAAACAAGTTTAGCATCTTTCGCCATTGAATAAAATTCCGTCTTATCATTTGCTAGTAAATTGTTTGGGGAATCGTATTCAATTATGGTTCCTTTATCCATTACCATGATTTTATCATAATCCATTATGGTATTAAGTCGATGAGCGATTGTTACAATTGTACAATCGGAAAATTCCCGTCTAATTGTTTGCTGAATTAATTCATCGGTTTCTACATCAACTGCTGCCGTTGCTTCATCAAGAACCAGAACTTTAGTTTTCCTGAGTAGAGCTCGAGTTAAACAAACTAATTGTCGCTGTCCAACACTTAGATTTTCACCTCCTTCGGCAATCTCATAATCTAGACCTTGATCTAAGGTACTAACAAACTCTTTAAGATTTGCTTGTTCAAGTGCTTTCCAAATTTCTGCATCCGAGTATTTACCGAATGGATCAAAGTTATTACGGAACGATGAGGAAAATAGAACTGGATCTTGTGGAATTACAGTTAGTCGAGATCGAAGATCGTGTAAACCGAACTTGGTTATATCTTCATTATCGATTTGAATAACACCATTAGCAGGTTCGATTAAACGGAAAAGAGCCAATGTCAATGAAGATTTACCGGCACCAGTTCGTCCAACAATTCCGACCTTTTCGTTTGGATTTATGATGAATCCAATTTTTTTCAAAACTAAGTCAAGTCCAGGTCGATAGCGAGTACTGTAATCTTTGAAAACGATTCGTCCACTATCCGGCCATTCGGGTCGAGGTTTATGATTTGGATTAATCCAATCAGCCTAATAAATGGGAATGAGAATAATTCATTTGATTTAAAATACATGTAATATGATAGTATTTTAAATTTCTTTCACTTACTTCGATACCTATCTTAGTGTATTCCATACACCTTTCAATACAGACAACATTTGTTTCAATGTCTGAAACAGCTCGAACCATCATGTTCAATATAACGGTAATTTGAAGTGAGTACGAAAGTGATAAACCAGTTGATCCAGGACTCAATTGATCTCTAGTTAAAACAGCAAAATAGCGGCAAGTGTGACAACCAAGTTACCCAGAAATTCAAGTCGAACCGCAAGCCAACGGGAAGCGGCAAGATTTGGGAAAAACGAGCTGTTGTTAATATCACATCGTCGGTAACACTCTTGAATGAAACGATCTGAGGCATTGTAAGCACGAATTGAGGTCGAACCATTAACAGTTTCAGAGAAATGGGTGTAAATTGGTGATCGAGTAATAGATTCAATTCGACGTAATTGTCGTGATGAGGCGATATAAAACTTCTGAACTGCGATGTAAAGTACACCAAGAACTACGATAGCAATCACCAAGTAAATTGATTCTGTACAAATGCCAACAATAGAGACACAAGCTCGGAAAAATTGGGCAGTAAAAAACCTTAGATTAAAACCAATTGTACTATCAGCTGTATCGATGTCCTTGGTAAAACGATTCAAGACTCGTCCCAAAGGTGTGGTGTCAAAGAAGGACATTGGTGCTCTTACTACTCGATGAAGCATCTGATCGTGAATCCAAGCTGAGCCAGTCAAAACTGCGAGATTAGAGATAAGTGAATTTCCAAGAATAAGTGCCGATTCCGCAAAACCAAGAGCAGCGTAAATACCAAGTCGTTTATTACGAAGAGATGTATTGTTAGATGCACCAGGGATTAGCGAGTCGTCAGACCAAGCGGTTAACCAAAGATTGGTACCAAAGTTAAACGCAGATGAACCTACATAAAAAGCAATGGCACTGAAAACAGCCCAAAATCCGACGGCTCTGAAGTAGTCAATGTAAACGCTCAATTTGACTGAGCCCGTTTCGGTTCCTTCCATTTCCACCAATTTGTACGAAGGTCCCTCTTGACTTAATGGGTTGATTTCACTCGCCGATGGGGCAGTGTCGATTGAGGTCTTTCGTCGACGAATAGATGATTGTGTTCGTTTAAGTTTACTCATTGCACCAATCGACATAACTGAGTCCATTCTGGTGAATGTTGACCGTCTCTCAGCGACCACATCATGACCAACAACCTCTTTTATTTGTTCAACAATTGTAGCATCTTCACCTTTGAGATCTTCATCATTTGCTTCGGCTAAATATTGGATGATGAAATCAGAGAATTCACCTTTCTTGTCCATAAGTTCATGATATGTGCCCGATTCGTGAATTTGTCCATCCTTCATAACGATAATCTCATCGACTTGAGGTAAAAAGGTGATTCGATGAGTGACCAATAGACGAGTTTTGTGCCTTAGAACACCTTTAGGTCCAATTACTTTATCAAATAAATGGGAAGCGACATGAGAATCGACGGCTGATAAAGGATCGTCCAAAAAGTAAACATCCGAATTTGCGTAAACAGCTCGAGCGATTGAGATTCGTTGTTTCTGTCCACCCGATACATTGATTCCTCTCTCACCGATCTCAGTTAGATCACCTCCCGTTAGAATCTTAAAATCTGGTGCTAAAGCACAAGCCTCAACGACGCTGTTATACTTGGTCTTTGAATATGGTTCACCGAATAAGATATTGTCACGTACGGTAGCGTTTTGAATCCAAGCTGATTGAGGTACAAAAGCAACTCGGCCGCAAACATTGGCTGACCCTTGTTGTTTATGAAGATCACCCAGAAGAGCTGAAAGGAGAGATGATTTTCCACTACCAATTGTCCCAACAATGGCCACTAATTTATTCCGTTTAATTGAGAGATTTATATTCTTAAGTACTGGTTGCTCATCATATGACCAAGAAAATGTCGCGTTCTTAACGGTCAAAGGAGTTTCGTAAGCTGGTTCATGTGTTATCGTATTCGGATTTAGTTCATCTCCTTGTAAATATTTATTTATACGCTTCATTGATATCAGGAACTAATTGAATATTTAGATTAGTAATTTAATTGAGTTAAAAAATAAGTTCTATCACTTACATTGGCACCGAAAGTTACAACCATTGGTAAGAAGGCGAGTGGACCTCTTAAGATGTTAATCAAGGAAATCGAGACGAAAGCTTTGTTAGCGTCTAAGACATTATCCGGACTGATGAAGATGAAGGTCGCGAAACTAGTCAGCGAAACCTAGAATATATCAAATGAAAGTATGAGGTATATAAGTGAAAAAATTCGAAAAAGTTTGAAATTCTAAATACCAAGAAAGGAGCAACGGCAAAAGCAAAGGCCACTCCTGTTGACCAAACAGCTTGGAGTTTAAGATATCGAATTTCTTCAGCTCTTATCGAAGCGACTGTATCACCGAAAGCTCCTTCCCATGCATATAATTTCAGAACTTTCATTCCATTCAGAATTTCTGACATCATTTTTGACCTTTTATCTTTTTCTATCATAACTTTTTTCTGTAAGGCTTGAAGTCGAGCAGTAATGAACCCATTGAACGGAATCAGAGCAATCATGATTGATAGGCCTGCGATTGAGGCAACACCTAATTGTTTCCATAAAAGGACAATTGAAATGACTAACTGAATTGGTGATGACCAAACAATATTAACAATGTTAATATAATCAACAATTCGTTGGATATCAACTGCCATTAGATTGATAATCTCACCGGTGGTGAAAACATGACGACCTGAACTTGATAGTCGTAAGCTCTTGAAAGGTAAAAAAGAAAAATAATTAGAGTGATTAACTAATAATTTCCTAAAGAATTAACCAAATAATTATACATTGTAATAATACCTTTTGATAAACACAAGCAATTAGAGCCGATTTCATCCTCATGGATGTTGTCTGAATCCAGAATTCATACTGAGAGTCAATAATTGACTGAACAAAAGTGGCCATAAACATGCCTAAGGCTAAAATGGCTCCTTGCCAAACAGGAGCATCAGAAGCGATAAAGGTCAACAGATAGTCCATCAATTGAGGACTTGCAAAGACCAGAACAGCGGAGATCAGTTTAAACATAACACAAGCCGCCATCCAAGGCCAAAACCTTTCACCAAAATACTCAATAATGAGACTTTCATTGTCTTAGGTCGTTTATTCATCTTTTTGGTACCAGAAGTGAGCCCATTAAATGTTGGTTTATCTGGGATTCCCAAGTATTTAGTACCACTAACAAGGAGTCGGGAAAATTTGTCCTGAATAATTTGAGTCCGATCATCTTCCGGCAAGTCCCACATATCGGCCTGAGTTAAGGTCTTACGGAAACCATGAAGGGCCATTGTATCGTACCAAAAGAAAGTCAATCGATTCAAAAACGACGATGCTACGTATGGACACTCATACTAAAAGACAAACCAATCAATTAGCTAATCAAAGTAATCGTTAATTGTATCAATAATTACCTCGCTTGATTGTTTTATGCTACTTGACTTCTTCCTTGAATCAGCAAAACAATTAAGAAACAACAAAATTAACACAATAGTCAATTGTATTGTCCTTATAATGAAATCCGTCTTATCATAGCTCCAAACTCTGATATCCTTTAATCAATTACAATAATTGGTTAATTTTCTTAATCATTTTATTCTGATCATTAAATCACTTACTGGGTTTTTTCTAGTATCGATTATGGTCCAATAATTAAAGGCCGAAGTGATTCCCATTAGGAGCCAATAGACAAATAATACGCCCGAGGTGTGGACTCCTTTCCGTCGGTTATAAAGAACCATAAATGTTGCAATTAACTGTAATTAATTTGATTATCGTGTTAATTACAGTTTAAAATTGATAAGAGTGAAAAGTTATCACGATAACTATTAATATATTCAAGATAACGATGACAATAATACGATTTGTATCACTTTAGTGCTTTCGTACCTCAGTTATTTATAGTAATTAGAGTAAAAAAGTAACGATTGTTGATTAAAAATAGATTCAACTATGATCTTAAAATTGTCAATAAGTGCATTGTTTGATATGTAATTAAAGTTTAGTATACTTACGAATGAAATTAATCTGATAATTGGTGAAACAATTTGATATGGATAAGTGAGATAACCATTTCTTGATTTGATTGTTACATTGATTACTTCGTAGATTGTTATACCACATAGGATTATACTCAATCCCTAAAAATTAAAGTAAAATCAATTTTTAACTGTTAATATGGTTGATTGGTGGGGAGGAGGAAATAATGATTAGGTCAATTGTTTGAGATTAATTACCAATCTTGTATAAAGCCTCAGGGTAAAAGGTAAAGCTGATTTTGGTGATGTTAAGTAAATAGCAAATGGAACCAGAAACCAGAGGAAACCAGAGGAAACCCAAAGAGCAAGAGTTTCGGTTGAACAAGGTGAGAAAACTGGTTGAGGCGAATTCCATGATATCGATGGATCCTAATTAATTTAGAACAATTAAGAAAAATCAGCTCGAAACAATTAGAAATTAATTGTAACAATGAAAACTCCAAGAGAAGGGAAAAAGAATCGGAAAACTTTGATTGGAAAAAATTGATTTGCACTTGAATTTGTTTTCACAACAATTTAAACAAATTTAAATGGTAACAATTTAATTCTAATTGTGATTATAACTTACCCACAATGAGTGACCACAAAATGATTCAAAAACCATTGTGTTAATTGTAACAATTTACCAAATCGGTTGGATAATTAATTTAATTGAAAAACTTTTGTTCACTTGGAAAGTTTTACTTTTACATTTGATGTTTTTAATTTTGCTTTTCTCTGGCAAACAATTAACTTATGATCACGATTGTGGGTGAACAATTAACTAATTGCATTCACGTTCACTTTTATATATATTAAAATTGAGGCACACAGGAGAGATGAAATAATTAATTAATTACTTGAACTTTGATTATAAAAGTTTTTCTAATGATTAGTTGGCTTATAAGCCAATTTTTAAATTGTTTTTCAATTTAATTTTTTCTTACATACAATTAACTTAACCACAGGAATTGTTTTGATAATCTAAACACTTACTAACTAAATTAATTGTTATCATAAGGAAATTAATTTTCTCACTCCCTCAGTGGCAATAATTTGATTGTTTTTAGGTCATATTAATACAGATTTCTGAGAAACAATTAACTAATTACCTAGAAAGAACCTAGACTATTAGTATTACTTACAAATAGACAATAAAACAATTAAGATTCTCACAAATCTTAATTGTGATCATCATAATATTTAATTACAACGAAAAAAATAAGAACAGAAAAAAACAAAAAGGTAAATCAACTTGACTTTCAGTGTAAAAGAATCACTTTTAATTGTGATTGTTAAACCCTCGCCACTATGAAACAACAAAAACTAAATGTAAACAATTAATGATTAATATTGATTGTGAATCTACAATTAGTTGATTATTAAAATGATCACCTGATCATCATAATCGGACAATCAAAGGGTAAGTTGTTCAATTTCACTATCTGATTAGAGAAATTTAAATTTCATCCTCCCAACAAAATCGATCGGAACTGATTGAAATCATTGGAATAATATTAATATGATCAGAAAAAATTAATTCGATAATTAGAATCAATTGAAATTCGTTTTTACCGCCAAAGTTTTGTTCCACCTGCGCATGTGAGCATCGATTCTCTACTCTTTGAGTTTGACGCTTTGAAGATTTTTCTCTTTCTTTCTCTTTCTGTCTGTTTCTTTTTTTCTCTCTGTCGGTGAAAATTGTCTTTCTTTTTGGTTTTAATCTCTTCTTGTTGTTTTTTAATCATCATGATCAGTGGGCGTTAATTTAGTTTAATTTAATTGTTGTTTACACCTCACAATAAAGGTTAGATTGATTGGACACTGGATGTTTAATTCTAAATGAATAAATTGTCCAATTTTTTGCTTCAATTTCTCTGATTGTCTTTAATTTTTTTTCTTTTTTCTCTTCTCTTCTTTTTAATTTTATAGTTTTGTGACCTAAGGTTGTCAATTTGATTGTTTTTTTCTTTACTACATTCCATCATCATCAGCATCATCATCATCATTATCAACTATGGCACCGGTACGTGGTGATGGGATGAGAGGACTTGCAGTCTTCATCACGGACATTAGAAATTGTAAGTGTTTGATGTGTAATTTTGAATCTTTCTTACCTATTGTGTAACCTTTTATCACCTTTCTAACTCTTACCTTTTTTATCTTCTCTATTTTCTCCTTTCTTTTGGTATCTTTCTCTTTCTCTTTCTTGTTTTCTTTCTTTCTTAACCTTGCCCTTTTCTATTGTTCTAGGTAAGAGTAAAGAGGCGGAAATCAAAAGAATAAACAAGGAATTAGCAAATATCCGTAATAAATTTAAGGGAGATCGGACTCTTGATGGCTACCAGAAAAAGAAATATGTCTGCAAGTTATTGTTTATTTTCCTCCTTGGACATGACATAGACTTTGGACACATGGAGGCAGTTAACTTATTAAGTTCTAATAAATACTCCGAGAAACAAATTGTAAGCCAATTGTTTTGTCATATTTTATCATCATCATCTTTCCAGATACTCCCCTCTTAATGCTATTTCTACTTTTTTACACCACTTAATCTTGTTTTCAATTTTGCTTCTCTCTCTCTCTTTCTGTCTTTATCTTTCTAATCTTATCACAGGGCTATTTATTTATATCAGTTCTTATGAATGCAAACAACGAATTGATGAAATTGATCATTCAGTCAATCAAGAATGATCTTTCCTCTCGTAATCCTGTTCATGTAAACCTTGCACTTCAATGTATCGCCAATATTGGTAGTCGAGAAATGGCCGAAACGTTTGGAAATGAAATACCAAAGCTTCTAGTTTCTGGAGAGACAATTGATGTTGTCAAGCAAAGTGCTGCTCTTTGTCTTCTTCGTTTATACCGAACAATGCCGGACATATCACCAAGTGGTGAATGGACATCAAGAATAATTCATCTTCTCAATGATCAACATATGGGTGTTGTAACTGCTTCCGTTAGCTTAATTGAGAATCTTGTCAAAAAGAATCCCGATGAGTATAAAAACTGTGTCTCATTGGCTGTTTCCCGTTTAAGTCGAGTTGTAACAGCCTCATATACCGATCTTCAAGATTATACTTACTACTTTGTGCCAGCTCCATGGCTTTCAGTTAAGTTGCTCCGTCTCCTTCAAAATTATCCACCTCCAGATGATCCAGGGGTTAGAGGTCGATTGAATGAGTGTCTAGAGACAATCTTGAATAAAGCACAGGAACCACCCAAATCTAAGAAAGTGCAACATTCCAATGCTAAAAATGCCGTTCTATTTGAAGCCATAAGTCTTATTATTCACATGGATAGTGAGGCAAACCTTTTAGTACGCGCTTGTAACCAATTGGGTACATTCCTTCAACATCGAGAAACAAATTTAAGGTATTTAGCTTTGGAAAGTATGTGTCTCCTTGCAACCTCTGAATTTTCTCATGATGCAGTTAAAAAACACCAAGACACTGTTATCAATGCTCTTAAAACTGAAAGAGATGTAAGTGTTAGACAGAGAGCGGTTGATCTTCTCTATGCGATGTGTGACAAAACCAATGCAGAGGAAATTGTCGCCGAGATGCTTTCTTATCTTGAGACTGCAGATTATTCCATTAGAGAGGAAATGGTTCTCAAAGTTGCCATACTCGCAGAAAAATATGCCTCAGATTATACTTGGTATGTTGATGTTATCCTTAATTTGATTCGTATTGCCGGTGATTATGTTAGCGAAGAGGTTTGGTATCGTGTAATTCAAATTGTAATTAACCGTGAGGATGTGCAAGGTTATGCTGCTAAAACTGTTTTCGAGGCTCTTCAAGCACCAGCTTGTCATGAGAATATGGTTAAAGTTTCTGGTTATATTCTTGGTGAATTTGGTAATCTCATTGCTGGTGATCAAAGATCAAGTCCAATGATTCAATTTGAATTGTTACATTCTAAATATCATTTATGCTCGGTACCAACTCGAGCTCTTCTTCTAACCTCTTACATTAAATTTATCAACCTTTTCCCCGAGATACGTAATGAAATACAATCAGTATTGAAACAAGATAGTAATATACGAAGCGCTGATGCTGAGCTTCAACAACGAACTGTTGAATATCTTCAATTAAGTCAAATTGTTACCAATGCAGTTCTTGCCACGGTTCTTGAAGAGATGCCACCATTTACCGAAAGAGAATCCTCAATTCTAGCAATACTCAAGAAAAAGAAACCCGGTATGAGTGAAAGTATAACCACTGGTACACCCAAGGAACACAAAACCATGTCAAATAATATAATGTCCGAAATGAATGGCAGTGCCCGAACTAATGGATCAACAGATTTACTTGGCTTAAATTCATCAACACCCTCAATGGTTGGATCACAAAATCGTAATCGGACCACCAGCAGTAATCTATTAGTTGATGTGTTTGATTCATTCAATGATCCACCAGCTGAGATTGGGTCACTTGATAATAATGCACCAACAACTGGATCAAATTCAATTGTTGTCTCCAATGAAGAAGGATGTAGAAAATTAGTCTGTAAACACAATGGAATCCTTTTCGAGAACGATATTATTCAGATTGGTGTAAAAGCAGAATATAAACAAAATCTTGGTAGAATCTCCATCTATTATGGAAACAAGACAAGTTATCATTTCCAAAATTTTCTTCCCAATATCACAACACCCGGTGATTTATCTCGAGGTAAATATTATTTTTCTTTCATCTTTTCCTTTTCTCATGAGATTTTTTCTCTCAAATCAAATTGATTTTTATATTTCTCTCTCTCTTTTTATTTTCTCAGCTCTCAATATCCAAGTGAAACCTGTTGAGTCTGTTATTGAAGCTGGAGCTCAGGTTCATCAAGCATTGAACATTGAATGTGTTGAGGATTTCAAAGAAAGACCAGCATTGATTGTTCAATTCACTTATGCAGGTCAACAGCAAAGATTTGACCTTTTGATCCCTTTGACAATTAATAAGTTTTTCGAACCCACTGTAATGGGTGCTGCTGATTTCTTTGCAAGATGGAAAAAACTTGAAAAGTAAGTTTATAATAATAACAAATGATTTGTCGTGTTTTGATTAACTTTTTTTTTGTTTCTCCAAATCTTTATCCTCTCTAGTCCTCAAACGGAAGCCCAGAAAATATTTAAAGCCAAGTTTCCAATTGACATCGAAGTGATCAAAAGTAAACTAATTGGCTTTGGATTACAATTATTGGAAAAAATTGATCCAAATGATACCAATTTCGTTTGTGCCGGTATCGTACATTCAAGAGCTCTACAAGTTGGTGTTCTATTGAGGTTTGAACCAAGTATAAAAGCTCAGATGTTCCGTCTGACAATTAGATCAAGCAAGGACACCGTTTCACATCAATTGTGTGAATTACTTCATGACCAATTTTGATCAAATCCCTTTTATCAAGTGTTAAATTTAAATTGTTCATCAATTGTCAATGACAACAGAATTACATCAACCTTAATAATTAAACGTTAAAGCGTTGGAAGAGAGAGAGAGTGAGTGAAGAAAAAAATTACAAAATCAATTGGAAATCGCATGTAAACAGGTTAAAAATTGTATTAGAAAATTTAAAATAAAATTAATCTTATTTGAAATGTGTTTAATTTCAATTGTTTCCTAAATTTCAATTAATTAATCTTGTTACTCCTTCCTAATTGAATAAAACCAGAAACTAATCAATGGGAAAACTGGAAAACAAATAATCAACACAAACCGTTTTGTATGTTTAACCAAATGACATTAGTTAAACTAAATCATTTTCTATTATCTACAAAGGTGTTTACATGATGAGGGACAATTAATTGATTGTTGGGAACAGAAAAAAAAACTTAATCATTGAATCTTTTGATTAAATGAGGAGTAGCTTTGATAATCGCAATCATCAAAGCAAATAAGATAATATTGTTGGTTGTATCCTTGCGAGCGTTTCTCTCTTGGTATGGAGATGAACTGGATCCTTCAGGTAATTGGAACATTCTAATAGAACCAGAGAAAACAATTAAAAAGAATATAATTAGAGAAAAAGAATTCCAATTTACTAAACTAATTAGATTACAATCAACACAGAATTCATTGATTGATGGATGATGAATGAAAAAAAGCTTCTCACCTTTAACACTTTATCTTTGTTGACACTTTGAAACAAATTGATCGATGGAAGGTCGGAAGTTACCCGGAATGGCCAATTAATTGATTGTGGAGAAAACAATTAATAATCTTAAATATTCAATACAGTAAATTGGTTAATCACAATCAAACAAAATCAACAAAATCTTTACAGATGTAAACACGTTTTATTAGTGACTATGAAGTACACTGAATAACAAAGTCGTTGCTTTGTTATTGAGTAGTTTAAAAACTACCCCCCAGGCTTCGCAGCCATCAATTGTTTACAATATTATCATGTTACTTTCTACAATGTTATTTTGGAATTGAATTATTTTTTCTATTAATAATAATAAATATTTCATTTTTCCGCTGGTTTTATTCTTGAATCATCTTCTAGGTTCCATGACCAGTTCACCTCCATCTCCAATAAGGCCTCTGAGTGATCTCTTTCTTCCAAACAGTGTTTCAATATATTTTGTACTTTTCCGCAACAGTGAAAATATTTAATGGTTGTGAGTAATCTGAACCAGGTAATTGACATTATTGGTGAATAATAAAATCTTTTTGTTGACATCCGTGGGTTAACTATCAGATCTGGACAACTGCTCTCCTCTTTCCTCATTTTAATTATTATTTCTTTTATTTTTGATTTAATTAGGTGATTTTTCTCCAGTCTTGTGATCCATGGAATTGGTATTGTTGTTCCTTCCTCTTGGATTCTTCCTATTTGCCATTCACGAACACAGAATTTGTTTTCATTATGATGAAATTTAAAGATGATGGCTGTTAGATCAACAGAGGTGGGTGAGGAGGAGAAGATGGTTTTCCAAAGTGATGTATCCATAGGTATGTGTCTAATGTTGTTATTATTAGAGAGTTTAATAATAAGAAAAATTGCTTTGAGTTTAAATGTATTAATTGATCTTTGTCGACCAATTTCCAATATTATTTTCCTTTCTTCTATTTCTAATTGTATTTTACCATTCTTGTAGTCAATTGTTATTATTGGAAATTTACATTTACAATTTATTAATGAATTCTGGAATATCCATCGATGGTAACCAAAATGTGATTTAGGAATTAAGTTGATTTTTTCTCCATTGAATTTTCCACACCATGATTTACAGTTATTATTTTCAATGTCCCAATCCATGAACCAATTTAGTTGTATTTCAATTACTGTTGTAGTTGAATAGGCTAGTTTTAGTGACCATCTACTTGCTCTTTTAAGTTTAAAAAATTTAGATGTTTTTGAACTTATTATTTTTTGAATTTTGTTACCTAATTGTAACCAGTTATCTTTATATAACCATTCAAATCCAATGTTCAATAGGGTTGAGATGATAATACTATTTATTATCATTTGAGCGTGAGTTTGATTGAGGTATTTTAGTTGTCCAATTGCTTGGTTGCATTTGTTAAGTGCTTTAATTGTGAGATTGTGAATTCGTTGCTCTATTATTGAAGTGTTGAATTTGGAAGAAACAGTGAAGCCAAGAATCTCCAAGTTTAGATTCGCTTTCATATTGTATATTTTAGTTTTATTATTGTTTATTGTTAGATTAATTTTTGCGAATTCTAACAACACAATATTAAGTATTTGGTCTATGTTTTCTCCCTCTTTAATAATAATATACATGTCATCTGCATATCCAATTATATTAATTGATTTCTCTCTTATTGTTTTTATTACAGAATTTGCCGCAATAATAAACATCAGAGGTCCACTTGAACTTCCTTGGGGTGTTGCACCTTCCTCTTTTTTCCAGTAGATTTTCTTATTCCAGTTCCATCTCAACCAACGTTTCTCTGATATTCCTTTTAGCATCATTGATAACTGAGGATCTAATTGATTTATTTTTCCAAGAGCTTCTGACAGATTCACAACATCAAATGCTTTCGACATATCAATCGATATTATTATTTTGTCTTTAATTTGGTGATTAAATTGAAGATCAAATAATAATTGTTGTCTTGATTTGTTTCTTGTATACGCATATTGAGTATCTTTTTCGATGAGTAGGTGAAGAATTGATTGAAGTCGATTTGATAGTATTTGATCAATCAATTTGAGCAAATAATTAGGTGATTTGACGATCCGAACAGAGCAATTATCTGGTTTCTGTACAAGGCCAACTCCAAATATTCTAATCACCTCGGGTATTTCTCCCCATCTGAATATTTCATCTATTACTTTAATAATTTTATCTTTATTTTTTTCCCAGAAAATTTTCCATGATTGTTGATTGAAATCGTCCGCATCCAAGGAGCTGCCTTTTATTGTTTTTTCCAATAATAATCTTTCATATTTTGTTATTCCATCAAATCTTATTCTAGTTGAATTGCTGCTGAATATTGGTCGGTTTGTAGTGAATTTTGTTAAGTTTTCTTCAATGGATTGTTTATATTGGTCATCAATGTTAAATTCATTCATCATCAGGTTATTATTTGTTAAAATATTACGTTTTAACATTTTCCAATTTCTTTAAATTTAATTTCTCTTTCTGTCTTCTTTTGATTCTATTTTGTTTATTGTAGATTGATTTTCTTGATCCACTTTGCCATATTCCGTTCTTATTTGGAAATAATAATATATTACGACAATTTTTAATGAGATGGTGATGCTTATCCAGTGGTCGATTGTCCATCGGAAGAAGTTTAAATTTCCAGTTTCTAATCATCAATTTACGTGGTAAGTTTTCATTAACAAAGTTGATCATAATAGTAGCTTTCAACATATTATGATCGTTGTTGTTGATTGATACTATTTCTTGGTGTAATATTGATACATTTTTATAAAGAATAATATCAATCCATGAATTACAATTATTTGTATTATAAGTTGGTTTAGACGATGGATCAAAAACACTTTTAAAATTATTATTAATTATAAAATTGTCAATTTCAATTCTTTTTGTAGATTTTTTCGGTGACCATGGTGAATAATTGTAATTGGAGTCTCCACAAACTATTGTTGGAATATGATCAACGAATTGATTAAGTTGGATCCATCGGTTGAAGCACTTGTTGGGAATGTATATTCCAAAAAATTTGAACTTATTATTATTTAATTTGAAAGTAATAATAACTGTATCCGGAATCGATCTAATAACTTTAATCACATTTAAGTCAGACGAGAATGAGATTGTTGTTCTACCATTTGTAAGTAGATTGTTATTATTAATTTCTTCATATAGAAATCGGTTATTAGGTTCATTTATCACTGAGATTGTTGATAGATTTAACTTATTATTATCTATCATTTGTTTTGTTATTTGATAAGATTTATTAACATTGAATTGTATGATTTTTATCATGATGTGATTTTATCAGAACTTCTGATAAAAAGTTGATACTTGCGCCATCTATTGCTTTTTGAATTAATTTTTCAGACAAAGCGCTTTTTTATTATTATTTAAAATAAGCTATTAGTTGATTTGTTTCATATTGTTAGTTTCTTGATTTTCTGACAAAAAAAATTAATAATAATAAATAATAATTATGGTTTCTGTTATTAAACGTGAACAGGTTAGTGGGACCGATCATTTGGATCTCTTAATTTGTGGAATTTGTGACAATTTGGCCGTTAAACCTCTCGTTCATGATGGAGGATATAATCAAACTTTTTGTCAACGCTTTTTCTGTGGTTCTTGTGTACCTACTCGTGTTAATAGCTTGATGTATCAGCGTGTTAATCGTCGGGGAAATAAGGAGACCAGTTGTGTTTTTTATCCTAATTGTACCATTGATTTTAATCATCCTTATTTTAGAAAGCCTTCAGGATTTGAACGGATGGAATTCAATAAGGTTATTATTACCTGTCTTCATTGTCCACGACGATTTAATATTCAAGGTTATTTGGATCATATTATTCAATGTATTCGTGGTGAAAGTTCAGTTGTGCGACCAAGAGCTTTAAATAATAATAATGATGGAGTGGTTATTCCCGAGCAACCATGGGTACAACAATCATTGCGAAATTTAAAGCTTCAAGTCAGTTCTGTTAATCAATTACGAGTTCCAATCATTCCCGTTCAACATGGTGATAATAATAACGATAAAATTATTATTAAGTTTCGATCAATCAATGGCTTTCATTCATCTGAATTTCCTGTTAATATTAGCTGTGTTGACGCCATGAAGCAATTAGCTGATGAGTTTAATTTGGACGCTAATCAGATTGAGTTGTTATTTGTTAGCCATATGTCAATTTATCAGTTTGATAAATTGATTGATTTTGTTCAAGATTGTCCGGAACATGGAGATTTGAATTTGTTAACTAAAAATAATAGTTATTCTAATCCACGAAATGATTTACGATTAACTATTCTTGGAGCTCATCCTAATCGAGGATATTATTCAAATAATAATAATAATAATGTTGATTCTGCTTAAAGATTCAATTCTATTAAGAGCTTATTCCCTGAGTCAATTATAATTCAAACAATATTCAATCAAATTCAATCAAAATTCATTCAAGATTCAATCAAATTCAATCAAATTCAATCAAAATTCAATCATCACCGATATAAAATGTTTCTATCCAATCTATTATATTTGTAACAGTTCATCTAATCAGCTATTTTAGCTGTTCTTCATTAATCAGTTTTCATTTAATCAAATGTAATCTTTATTATTGTTTTCAAAAAAAAAAATTACTTTTCAAGATACAATATTATCTTATTATTATTAAATGTGAGAGATTCATTATTAATTAATCAAAATTTTTGTTTTTTTTAACGGAAAAAATGGAAAAAGAAATGAAAAAGAATTGAAAAATAAATGAAAAAGAAATGAAAAAGAAATGAAAAAGGAAACTGGTAATAATAATAAGATTCATTTCATGAGGTATTGGTAATCGAATGCAGTTTTTCCGGTCTCAATTTCAAGTTTTTTCAAAAACGCTGGACAGTCCATTGTTCCAGGTTTATGACCTTCCACACCACAAGAAGCGCATTTACTGAATGAACGATTTTCACAGAATTTTTCACTATGAGGCTCAGCACAGTTTCGGCAAATATCTTGTGAGTTACATGAGCTTTTCCAATGATTGAGACTGTGACATCTATTACAATAAAGTACATCAAAGTGGTCAACGGCTCTTATTATTCGAGGTCCAAGAGATATTATTCCATTTTCAACCTGTAGTTGGGATCTTACTGCCGGTGTAATAACAAGTAATAAATCTCTTTTTTGGTTACTTTTGGTTTTCTGAAGCGGAAAATGAGTATTTGTCTCATTCATGTAGCTGTTGAATTTGAAGATTTTTTCAAGAATAGAGTTTTCATCTTCATCAAAAGATTTCGAACCAACGAGTCTAATTTTTGGAGCTTTCGGTTGAAATTTTCGGATCTCAATTCCATCAAATAATTGTTCAATTATTATTGTTATTGTTAAGAGTTTCTCCAGGTTTTGAGCTCGAATCTTAACACAATTATCATTCTTGAAAAAGGAAACCTCTTTGTAAACTGGCATCTTCCCATTTTCCATCGCTTCATATATCATTTTATAAAGATTTTCAACACTGATTTGTTTATGAGTAATTAGCGCAATTGGTGAGACTTTAGTAGATGACCATTTGATCCAAGTTTTTGGTACTTTTTGTAAGAGTCTTCGTCTTTTTAGTTCATGAAGGGCTTCCTCTGCTTCTCTTTTGTTGATATTCATTATTATTTTTCCAGCACCTGATAGCTCAGCCGTTTCTTCCTCTTCTGCTTCATCATCAATCGGAATTGAAGGTTCACCATTATTATTTAATTCATCACCTTGATTTATTGGTTGTTCTTCCATTTCCTGCATAACAAATTGGTTGATTGGCTCTTGTAGTAATTGTAGTTGTTTCGTTCGTCTTACACCAACACCATGTTTCTTTTTGAAACTCGAATCATTCATTAATAGTCGATAAACTTGAATTATTATTTTTGATTCTTCCTTCGAAACACCATTTAAATGAGATTGTATTTGAGAAGGATCAATGTTAAATAATAATTCCACGTGTTTCTCCATTTTACTGTTGAGGTAACTGTTAATATAGGCACAAGTAAAAGATAGAAATAATAAGAAGTTGTTATTAGAGATACTTTTAATCAAGTGAATGATTCAAAAAATTTTAATGGTTTTTATACCATTCAAGGAATTTTGAAATCTCTATGGTGATTTCCGTTATTTTAATCCATGTAATTAATTTCCGTTACGGAAAGATCAAAGTGTTTTTAGTTAACGGTTATTTATATTACCTTTTCTAATGGTATTTTTATTTTTATTGTTATCGTCAACGATTTTTATCCAATTTCGTCAATCTTGGTCACAAAATGATCCTTGGAACATAAGTAATTTGAATTATTATATAAATAAATTTAATTAATGTTTAATTATTCACAATTTTCAATTAATTTAATCATAAATTTTCACCACGTTTCACACGTTTGTACAGAATTAGGGACCTTATAGTAATTGCCTTTGGTCGAACTTCAATGTTAATTAAATTGTTGCGAATTTAATTTGAAGTAATTAAATGTGATGTATGGTATTGCTCGAAGTTTTATCAGTATGGTGGTGTTTTTAATTAGTCAACAATTAGTTTTCAATTATGTTATATCTTGTTGATTGTTTCGAAAAGCAATTTCTACTCTTTGATTTATAATCTTTTCTGCTGGAAAATAATTACAACATAAAGATTATTGTTTCTGTCTCTTTATTTATCTGTTTCTCGTGATTGTTGATTGATTAACAATCATAAACATTGATTCCTCTTCCTATGTTTAGTTAATCACCATTCTCATCCTCTGATGTTTTGGTTAAGAGAGAGAGAGAGAGAGAGAAAGTTTTCTCTGGATGGAAAAATATACCAGATGAATAAGGTGAATGAACTGAATCATCATCGATAATGATTAAAGTGATCATCATGTTTGAGAAACAAAGTGAATGAATTTTTGATGATAGTAAATGACAATTGACCTTTACCTTTACGATCTTTCATTTGTCTAGACGAATTAACAATTCTAATCATGAAAACCAACGAAGTAGAATCATTTCCGTTTTCAATTCCATTTCAATTCTTATTAATAACAATCATAATATAATTAGAATGAATAATCTCCATGGACACTTGAAATTCATTTACAAATCAATTCATTCAACGAACAATTAGCAAGTTAATCAATCGAGAGATGGCAATAGCATCGTTTTCGTTTTTTTTTCTTTTCTTTTTCTGATAAAATTCAATTCTGAGAGTGACTCAAGATCAATAACATTATCTTTCTCTCTCTTTCTCTCTCTTTCTCTCTCTTTTTACTCTCTGTGAATTATTTTCTCTTCTCCTTCAACGGTCAAGTATCTTCCAGATAATCTCTCTCTCTCTCTCTCTCAATCTTCACATGGGACCTTGAAGATCATCACGATTCTCTGGTCAGTGTAATGAGTTGACCATCTCTCTTGATCTCCTTTTCGTTTACTCTTGTTTATTGTTCCCAATTCTTTGATTGAGACAAATAAAAAGGTGAGTGATTATTCACTAATTGTGATAATTAATTGGATTACAATTTATCTATTAATACATTGGAAGAGATAATTTGTTACTTTATTTTGTTCTTTTTGTTTTGTTTTTCTCTCATTTTTTCTGCCTCTTTGGTAACCTTACGATTGCGAATCAGTTTCTAAGGTTATAATTTGTTATTCTCTTCATTTAATTGTCATTGATTTGCTCATTTCAATGTTGATTATTATTCTTTCATCTATGACATTCATCAATTTAACTGTTGACTGAATGATTGATGAAAATCCTGACAAATTGTCATTCAATTGTTGATGATTAACCATTGAAGGTCTAATCATAATCTTTGATTATCAATACCAACTTTTATTTACTATTATTATTTTACGTTTTTCCGTCTTATAGTTGATAATTAAATGGCATCTTTATCATCATCATCATCCCTGTCATCATCTTCTTCTTCATCATCATCTCCATTATCATCTTCGTCCTCTCCATCAACATCACCCGAAGCTCCGGCAACTCCAACCCTCTCTTCATTACGAGCATCATTCATCACCAATATTCAACCTCATTCACCAATTAAAGGGTAAGTCTAATTGTAATAACAATCAATATATTCACAATAGATTAATTAGTTAATCAAATAAGATGAATAAAAAAAAGTACAAAAAAAACAATGTAACAATTATATCTCAATGAGAATTGGTTAATGATGATTCTCATAAATCTAATCTTCAACATTCACTCATCTTATCCAATCCTTTTGAAAGTTATCAGATTAATCATGATTATTACCAACAGTAAATCAATCAAAGTGATTAAATAAATCACTCAATAATAACCTTACAACAATAATCAGTTGACACTGAACTAGAAAGTATAATAATCATTACTAATCAAATGATTTTCAAATGTTAACATTGACAAGTTAATATGTGTTTTTGTCATTTAAGTTGTAATTCTGAACAAATTTGTTAACAATTAACTGATTTGTCTGAGGATAAATTTACATGATTCAGATTATTGAGATGCGACGAGGTTAATGTAACCTCTTTCTCTCTCTCTCTCTCATCTTATATGCTCTCACTGAATTTCCTCTTCCGTTTATCTTATCATCGTATTTTTTTTTGGCGGGAAAGGTAATCAAAGTCATGGAGAAAATGAATTCTCCCTTAAAGTTCATAGTAGATACAAGAAAAATATTCAATCACCATCATGATAGAGCATGAGTGAAATTCATCGATCGATAATAAACTCATTTAAACCAGGCATTCAGCTCCCATGTAATCATGGTGAAGAAAAAACCAAACCCTGGAATTACATGAAAGGATAATGGACCATAAAATAATCAACTTTTTCCTTGAAAATTTAGGCAAAAAAAAAGTTCAACATAATTAATTGTGACGATTACCATGAATTCAGTAAACTGTTAATGAGCAAATCAGAAAAACTGAATCATCTTAATCTTGAAAGATACAAAAAAATTGAATCTTAATCATTACAATTCCAATTGTTGTGATTGTTATGACACTGAATTTGCTTCATCATCAATTTCCCCCTGACCTTGAAGATAAAGATCATCTTCATTATTATCATGATAATCATGGAGACAAATGATTTAATTGATTTATATTTGAATGAATATAACACTAATCTGTATACAGAAATCATTGATCTTTAGGTGGATTCAGCTCAATGAACTTTATTCCCTCTTCTTTTAGCATCATCATCATCATGAACACATGATCATGAATATCATCATCATCATCATCATCATCATCCCATAGACACCAATTGAAATTGAGCCTTAAATCAGCAACATTCAAATTAACCGTTAGTTTTTAGTTGTTCAACTTAAATTGTGAAAATTATTGTTACCGATTGATTAACTTGAACTACCTGAATGATTAATATGAGGAAAAATAGTCAACAATCAATTAACAATTTAGTTTAACTATATAAATAAATTCACCAACAATTAGAGCATAATATTATCAATAGTAAAATTATATTTCTTTTAATTGTTTTGTTCAAATATTGATTTGATTGTAATTAACGACAGCAAACAAAATATTACAACAATTAAACGTTCAATCATCATTGTAATTGTCAATATCATTATAACATAATCTAAAAATTAATTAACAATCGCAAATTATTAATTAAGAAGATCTAAATGATAAAAAGACTTACCTTTCAGTTGATTTAATTATTTTTCCACACGATTACAGTTGAATAACTAAATTAACGCGTAATTGTGTTGATTAGTTGATTTTAAGGTCGCAAACAATTTAGTTTCTCATCTAATCTTCATAGAGATTATATTAGATTTAGAATAAGTTTACTGATTGTTTAGTCTCTTGGGATACTCATCAACAATTAATTAACTGTCAAAGTTTCTTTCACGATGGTCAATCGTTCTCGTTACAAGAAATCAACAGTTTCACCAACAGAATTACCTGATGATTACAATCAAAAAGATCCAGCAATTAAATCACCTTATGTATTCACTCAATTTTGGTTGAAATTGTTCAGTGTATTGCCACCTAATCCTGATCATCAATCTAATGGTAAAATAATGTCAACAATTTATCAAATTTATCGACAATCAATTTGTCTACTATTATGGTTACTCGCAATTCGGGGTTTCATCTTAATGTTTCTCAGTTCTTATCCTCAATTATCATGGCAACTTGGTGATTTATCAGTTCTGTTAACAATTCCAACCAATGATCATTATATTTACTATCGAATGGCTTATTTTTGTTGGTCAGCTTCAGCAGCATTAATATCAACCTCCTACCTAACTGACCATAAACAATCATGTCTAATCCCATTTAATTCATTCAAAGCCTCCCGATTAACAGTTTATCACAATCAACGAATCACCTTTAAACTTAAATCACTATTAATTACAATATTCTGTCTATCGTTAATCACAATCATCACACTAATCCTTTGTTTAATTCATTATCAATCAATACAATCAACTTACACTAATCCAACCATTTTAAGCCAATTAAATTGGGATCCAAATTCACCCGTTGACATGATTAAAGTTCAATTATGGTTAATCCTTCATGGGATTTGGTACACATACATGACGGGGATTATTGTTTTCACCGCTTTTCATTTCACTTTAATCTGCTCTCTCATGGAATCACAGTTTGACCTGGTCACTTCAGCGACAGAGTTAATCCTCTACTCAGATAATATGAAACTGGACGTTAAAGATTCATCCTTATTGGCCTCATACGTTGATCACAATTATCTCTGTGAAACTGTAATCAAATCAAACCAATTCTGGAAAAAGGTCATATCCTCCGTTTCCGGTTTCTACATCGTTAACCTTTGTTATATATTTTACACCGTTTCCTATGGACAAGTTGATTTTTACCTGTACACCTTTTACTGTCTAATTGCGGGATTTAATTTGCTCATTTTGTACCTCATCTTTTTCCCCGCTGCCGCTGTCGCTAAAAAGGCCTTTGCTGTCAACACTTCACTGTATCGTTCCGGCTCCGAACTACTTCCCAGTTTTATTTATGTCGAATCGTTTATTTTACGGCTTAAATGTACAGTCGGCTATTCGGCTTATCGGTTTTTCGTCATCAAATATACTACAATTGGAGCGGTAATTTCGGCAACAATTACCTACTTCTTAATTGTCGCCGATTTCTCAAGATCAACCGGAGGATCTTCACCGTCCAATGACACTTTAATCAACGAATCATCAGCAATCAATTTTACAATTAACTCTGATCTTTCATCAACTAATCTTGTTGTTGGTTAATCTGATTGATTTTAACTCAGGAAACTTGGTAAACCAAGAAAATCAATAATACAAAATCTTAATCTTTAACCATGATTAAGATATAATCTCAACTCTAATTTAATCCAATTACATTAAAAAGTCATCGTTATTTATTATTAATCATTAAAATGAACAAATTTAATGATTATTATTATTATCGTAACAGTTTATTACCATTAATTTGATTCATTATCATGAAAATGGTTAATAAACTTTGTTACTCTAATTAAGTGTTAATCAATTTAATTTTATTGCCTTGATTATCACTGATTGTTCAAAGTAAATCAATTAAAAAGTAAAAAATTAAAATTTAGTTTAATATGTTAGCTAATCAAGTTAATTGTTTACCAATAACCATTAACCTTAAAATATTTAAATCACCAAATAAGTTTAATCAAATCAAATCAAATTGTACAACAATTAAAGAGATGACAGAGTTAACTTGATCAACTTGATTGTAAATCATTGAACCTACAATATAAACAATTGAAACAAACCTAATTGTTAATAATTATCTTAATAACCACTAGACTATTGAATAATAAGTAAACAATCAAATTTGATTGCTGATCATTATCATGACCAAAGTAATATTTGTATGTATTAGCTGATTGTTGATTGTTGAGATTTGTTGTCCTGCGTCTTTCTGGTTGATTAGTTAATTGTTACCATTTAAAGTTGACTAATTGACTTGGCAACAAGTAACTTAATGATTGTAAAGTTAATTGTTAATGGAAGAAGAAAAAATCAAGCTTATCAAATAATAGAAACCGTTAATCAAATTTCATTCAATTGAATTGTTTCCTTAATTCCTGTTATTGTTTCTGTTTGTTGTTATTCAACTCTCAAGGTTGATATTGTTACTTTTTTTTTGCTATTCATCATCATCATTTATCTTCCTTATCTTCACACCTCTTTCTCTTTCTCTTTCCTTAATTTCCACTCTTTCTTTCAAGTCTGTCTACTTTTATCATCATCATCATCATTCATCTTCCGAGTGAGTCGCTTTCATATGTTGTATGGTTTTCAATTGATCTTCATTGAGTTATGTCGTTTCTTAAATGAGAGGTGAATTTAAAAAACTTAATTGTGAACTTAATTGTGAATTTAATTGTTAATTTAATTGTGAATTAAAAAACTTAATTGTGAATTTTACTGTGAAAATTAAAAAAGTGGAACTTCTTAATAATGAATAAGGTAAATATAATTTGACAAATATCTTAATTGACATATTCAACAATTGACCAATTTCTTACTTGATACTATACAGAAACAAAAGAAAAATGTGACAATTAATCAACTTCTTGTGGTAATGGAAGACGAAAATAAATTTAATGAAATTAAGAATAATCTTACGGATCAAGAAAAAAAGGAAATCAAAAAAGAAATCTCAATAATCTTAACAACTGATGGTGTTACTAGTGAAAGATCTAATAATCTAATAAGGTTAACGAATCTATTGGATGATATGATAATACAAGAGTTTGTGGTTGAAAAAACAAAAATGGACAAATCAAGGACAAGGAAGGAGAGTAATTCCGAGATACACATTAGATATCAACAGAAAAAAGACAGAAGTAACTGGTTCAATGTAGAGAATATGGAGATCATGCCAATACTACTGATTAATTCAGAAGAAATAGATTCAAATGAAATCGAACAAAAATTCATCGAATTCATTGAGAAAAGTGAAAAGGAATTACCAATTATCTGTGAAACGAAAACTGGAGTTAACTGTCTTAAAATCTATCTACAAAATAATAATGATAGACTTAAATTAAAAAAGATTCTTGAAGATGAATTCAAATTAGACAAAGCAACTACGATAATGGTACCAGATCTTGAAAATCCAGTTATAATGATTGAAAACTTTAAGAAAACAAACAACGAAAATTGGGAGAAATGGTGTGAAAAGATAACCAAAAGGAACCATTGGCCAGAAAACTCAATTAAACCCAAATACATTTTCGAGAACGATAAATGGAACAAAATATTGTTATCAATTTCGTCTAGGGTTAGGAATGAAATTGATAAAAGTGGAGGTTACCTAAATGTTGGATATAAGCTCATCCAAGTTTATGATTATTTTAACATTATTATATGTAATCACTGTTCGCAATATTCACACACGGTTAAACGATGTAACAATCTGAGAACTTGTCATATGTGTTCTGGTCATCATACTAATGAATGTCCTGTTCAGAATGACAAAAGTAAGTGGCAATGTCCTAGATGTGGCCAAAAAGGTCATAGTGCTAGATCCAGAACTTGTCCAATCTTTCAAAGTTTTCTTAAAACTGAATTAGAGAAGACTAACCATTACTATAACAATATTATTCTCTCTAAGTATTTTACTGACTAATTGAATTAACCGCCAAAGAGTGTAGAAAAACAAAATGACTCTCCTCTTACACCTTATTATGATTGTTTATTTTGAACCTCTTTCTATACACCATGTTTACCTTAATTTGTGCTGATTCTTTTAGAATCAGAATCAAAAATAATAAAAACAATAAACTTATAATTATTAAAAAGGATCCTAGTGTTTACTTTCATCAACAGATTCAAGAAATTAGAATTAAAATTAAAAAAATTACAAGTGAAATCAGAATTAATCAACAAAATGGATTCATCTTACTTGAAGTTGATAAAGAAGTTTATGAACAAGTGAAAGCTGAATTAGAGAAAACAATGACGATCATGGCCCTCAATAAACCAACGATTAAAATTATCATCAAAGGAGAAATTAAAGCTGATCTGGTACAACAATTGATTGTGGAAAATAATTTTCAAAGTAATTCGATACTAATCAAAAGGATAGAGAAGCATAAGAAAGACAAATATATTACCATTGAGATGGATAAGGAAACAAGAAGACTAATTGGTGAAAGAGGTGGTAATCTACTTTTAGATGGAAAAAAGATTGAAATTATTGATCATTTCTTGATTAAATTTTGTACTAAGTGTCTAAGTTACACTCATACAAAAAATTATTGTCCAAATGAAGTAACTTGTGCTCTATGCTCAGGCAATCATTCTCAATGTCCAATAATTGGTGATGTCAACAACTACAAATGTCCATGCTGTTTCACTAGAGGACATAGTGCTTGGTTCTGGGATTGCAGTGAATTTAAAAATAAAATCATGATAAATATCATGATGAATGAGTTTGAATACGACAAAATTTTTCTAGAAAAAAGAAGACAATTTTGAGCGACATCTAAATTTTTTAATTATAACTTCACTCTAAGACAAATTTCTTCTGATCAATTCATTGTTTACCTTTCTCTCAGTTGTTTAATTTTCTTTCTCTACTCTACTTTAGTATCTACTCATTAAACTGTTTATTAAATAACTAATTATGAGTTCAATTGTCATCATTAACTGTGAAAAAGGTTATAATTCAATGGACATCATGAACACAATCAAACAATTCAAATGTAGTGAACAGATAATAATCTATATGAATAAATATAATTGTCTTCTACTATTAATTGGTGAAATAGATAAGAATTTGTTTAAGTTAATTCTGAACAATATTAAAGGAATTAAACAGTTTATAATATATGAGTGAAATTAAATAACTAAAAGAAATTAACCTTGATCAATATCCTAGACTAAATTGAATGTATTAATTAATGGGATTAATTGAGCCTAATTTCTGATCAACTTGATTAATTGATGTAATTAATAAATGCCCCCTTGAAAAAGAACAATTTTTTATTCTATTCTCTTTTCAAATGTAAACATTAACCTTTGATACTTTATATTAAATTGATTCTCTTTTAACTGAATAAACATCATGTATCAAAACAAATTAATTGTTGATAAAAATTTTGATTGTAAGTGCCTTCTAATTAAGTGCTCAAGTAATAATCAACAGATAATTGAATTAGTGAGAAAACAATTAAAGATTGGAAGACTAATCATCGACTATCAATTGAGTGAAAATGATATCAAAGTGTTTATATTGAATAATGATATTCCGAATTTTACAACAATTGTAAACAATATTAAAGGAGTTGAAGATATACAAACAATTCAAAAAAGAAAACCGATAATATCCTTCGTAACTCAGGAATCAAAACAAGCTAATTATCATTATGAAGAAGAATCAATTAATCTTAAGAGAGAGAATAATTTCTCATCTCCTTATGTTAAAATTATTGATGTTAAAGATGATATGGAGATAAACCCAGTTGAGACAAAAATAACAATAGAATTAGACAAAGAAAATAGGAAAGCCATCAGAGACGGACAGATTAAATATAAAGGATGTTATTACCAGTATCAAGATGAGATTGGCCTGGAAATTTGCCATTGTTGCCAACAATTAGATAAACACTATGAATGTAAACTCTGGACCTGTGGCTTCTGCAATTCATCAGAAAAGTATCACCGCTGTGTAAACACCATAAAAAAGTGTCCATTATGTAAAATTATCGGTCATGACCTCTTCTCAAAGAAATGTTTATTACTCAAGGAAAAAATACATAAGCTGATAACAAATATTAACTTTGATTATGATTGTGTCTATATCAATCATACTTACATCACTGGAAATTAATTAACTAATTATTGTTGACCATAATGTTGCTTCTTTAAAGCACAATCAATTTAAACATAATTATTGTAAACAATTACAATCAGCTGATTATAAACAAACTTTGCTTAATAGTAAGCAACTTAATTCAGTTATAATTCATCACTCAAACACTAAACAACAAATTATGACTTTGATTTATTGGAGAGTTAAAAATACAATAAATGAACAATTTTTTGCCTTAATCTCTTTTGAATCTCCTAGAATTAAATTTGTTGATACTTTTCTTAAATTAAGTGATATTCTTTACAATCATGAAAACAATGAATATAATATTCTGATTGATATCAACAAAATTTTGATTGACACACAAATAAGTAGAATAATTAATTTTTTCAATTGTGAAATTAATCCAACTGACAATTCATCACAATTTCTGTTTTATTTTGAAAGAAGTGAAAACAATATTAATGAACTAATTAATTTCTGTGAACAATTAAACATAAGTGTTAACTTACTTATAATTCAACTTTGGGAAGAAACCAGAAGAATCGCCTTACACATACAATTCATAATATGATCAACTCTACTAAGAACTCAGGTAAAAATGATAATTTTCAATTCCAACTAGACAATAATAAAGATCTAAAAATAGTAGCTAAACATCCTCTAATTAACTCTTTTAATTCAAATGAAATTAGAGAGAAATTTCCATCATTATTAAGAATAAGATACAATGAAGAAAATATTCTTTATGGCTTATTAGATAATGAGGAGGAAATTTATAATACTCTTGAAAATTTAACTAAAGAAAACTTCAATTATTATTTTCCACAGAAATTTGTTTACTTTTTGGAAATTAACACTGATATTAGTCAATTACTGATAGAAGAACTTGAAAACTTCATATTAGTCAAAGGAATTATCGGAAATCAACATAAACTTTTCACAAATAATAAAATTAATTTAGAAACTTTCAAAAAGTTAAAACGTGAAACAATTAGATTTCATATAATTGGCTTTTGTCATGAATCACCTTAATATCTTTCTTTTCAAATACAATTTTGGAGATAAAATTAATGACATAAACTGGATGAATGAGAAAAATATTAATATTATCTTTTCCATTAGCATATTTGATAGAACGATAGAGAATTATTTTAGACAAGAAGAAAAAATAATTAATACTCTAAGGAATCAAATAATTTTTAGAGTATCACCAAGGAAACTTGAGCAAATCGAAACAATTGAACTAATTGAACTTACAGGAGCGAGAGTTGAATTCATACAAGGAATCAATTTAAAACTTAGAATTGAGCCTCATTCAACTAATTTGCAATTAATTCAGGAAAGTATAAACAATCTAAATAACTTAGGAACGAATCCAAAAATCACTCAGGTTTACATTGACAGTCGAAACAATTTAAACACTAATAACAATATTTACATTTCAATACATATTAATTAATATGAAAATCACATTAACACAGTGGAATATCAATAAGAATGGTAAAGCTCTTACTAAATTAATAAATGAAAAGGAAATTGACTCACCAATGATCACTGTTATTAATGAACCACCAGAAAGAATCAATAGAGAAATTCTAAACATTAAAAATATTATAATACATGATAAACTTACAATAGTAGTAAGTGATGAAATTGTGATTAGAATGATTGAAGAATTAGGAAGAAGCTCCCTAATAATTGACTTAGAAATAAGAAACTACAGAATTTTCCTTTTAGCAACATATCGGTATAATAATGATTATCAATGGTACACAGAAATCACAGAGACAATATTAAGATTTAACAATCAAAATCTAATAATAATTGGTGATGTTAATTGTGATAATGAGATTTGGTCGCTAATTATGAGACCAGATACAATGAAAAATAGACTATTAAAAAGAATATTGGAGGAAAATAATTTCAAATCTATGATAAATAGAGAAACTACTACAAGACCTAATCATTTTGGAGAAGACCATTCAATCGACATCATGTTAACAAACCTTAATTTCATTAAATTATCTGAATCAGTCAAAAAACTTAAACTATCAGATCACAAAATAATTAGAATTAAATTATTACTTAAATTAAGAGGAAAGAAAGTAAATAATATTTATATATACAAATTCAAAAAACTGAATAGTACAAACAATATTCACAATGATATCAATCAAATTTACCTTTCACCTTTTAGATATAAGAAAATAGTTAATAAAAAACAAAACAAAATAGTAGATAATGATGAAACTTTATGGGAACTGATTAATAGACTAATGAAGAGGGGAAAAATCACTCAACTCAAATATAAAAGAAACTTTCTTATAACTAGACCGATAGAAGAAAAAATGAATCTAACAGAATATTATCAGGGTTATATCAAAGATGATGAAATTGAATTAATCAAAGATAAAACTTTTAAAAGCTCATCAGGAAATGCGGATGACTTTTCAATAAAAACATGGTCATACTTCTTAAAAATAAATAAAGAATTTGTGTTGAATATTTTAAAGAGAATATTAGAGTTAAGTTACATACCTTCCTTATTAAAAATAAGTGGAGGAACCAAAATATTAAAAGAAGATGGATCATATCGTACTGTATTTACACAATCCTTTTTAATGAAATATTTAGATCTAATATTAGTGAAAAGAATAGAAATGAAAAGAGAACAATTAATTGACGATGAATTACAATTCGCTTATGGAAAAAAAACAAGATTTGACTTTATGATTAAATTAAATAAATTAAATAATAAATTTAAATATAAAATCAAATGCGATATAAAAGGTGCCTTTGATAATATATCGAAAGAGAAAATACTGAAAAAGATTAAAATACATCTTAATATGAGCACATACAATTTAGTTGTATCCTTTTTAACCCAAAGAGAAGTTAGAATTAGAAACAGAGATGAATTGAATATCTTACCTATTGAAAAAGGAGTACCACAAGGCTCTTCATGTGGTCCAATACTCTTTAATATTGGACTTAATGATGCATTAATTAAGATGAATGAAAGAGATGATGTTGAAGTAATTGCTTATGCAGATGATTTGATTATCTTCTATCAAGATGAAACTCCAATGAACTTTATACAAGAGAAACTAGAAGAAATTAATCTAAACATTAACTATAAAAAAACTTACCTCATTACAAAAGAAGATGAAAAGATGATTGGTATCTACATTAATGATATCACAAGAAAAAATACAATAATTAAAAAGCTCTGCAGAAAAAAAATTAATAAACAAATATTAGAAATTCATAAATCATTAGAATTAAAAGAAAGAAAAATAATTATAAATGCTTATACATCATACATAATGATACCTTTAGGAATTAAGCCTTGGTATAAACGAATTGATTGGCTAAGTAAAATTGAACAATTAACTATTATTGGAAGAAGAATTAACTCACATTTAATAGAAAATAAGATTAATTATTGGTTTGATAAAATATTAGGTAATATTAATCCAATAGAATCATACTTATCACAACTACTATTTAGCTTGAAAAAAAATAATTGCAGTCAAATAGACTTTCCTATTCTTGAATTAATAAATTATACACCAAGGGAACAGATGAAAAACAGACCAAAAATTGAAATTATCTTAACGGAGACAATTGATGAACAAACTTGTATCACTTTTGAAGATAAACATTTACACTTTAAAGTACTAACTAAACAATCAAATAAGATAGTTACAATTATTAAATACTTAGAGGAATTTTTTGAAATTAAGAAAATTTACATGAAAAACAATGACAATATAAATAGAAACAGAATTAAAATAATTCGAATTGAATTAGTTAAATGTAATAAACTAATTGATTGTATAACAATCAAACCAAAATACAATAGTAAGAAAGAAATCAAACTATTGATTAAAGATTTTATCAACAAACTGGAAGTGAAATTATATAAGAAATATGCTCCAATAATGTGGAAGGTATGGTTCAAGAACCCAAAATTGGCTTTTTTATTCTACCCAATTAAAATTTATAATATAATTAAGCTAATCAACATTTACCATCAAAAAATTGAATGTGATTGTGATACTATTGGTGACCGAATATATCATCTACTAATGGAATGCCCTGATTGGAAGATCTTTACAAATGGAATCGATTTTAATCTACAAAAAAATAATCGATCTGCTATTGAAACGATGTCTGAATTGGCTACGATCTGGAAAACCCAAACCTAACACGAAAGGTGTGTGGTAGGATTAGTTACATCAATCCTAAGTTGTTGGTTAATCAATCAACTACCAAAAATTAGAGGATAACTTTTTGTTTTTTTTTGTTTCTCTCATCATCCTCATCATCTCATCTCATCTCATGTTAAAATCTCATGGTTATCATCAATTATCATCCTAATCCTAATCCTAATCATTATCATCATCATCATCATCAAAGTAGTTAATTCATTAAATATTCAAGTTGTGAATTGATTTCATTTTTTTTTTCTTCTGCCAAAATAAAAGTAACTTTTGTTTCTCGTTTCCATGTTTTCCTGTTATCACTTGATTGTTGTGATTAATTAATTAACATCATAATCAACAACCATCATCAACCATCATGCTCATAATTAATGTTACAATGTATGTTGTTACTATTTTTAATTCATCTTACTTTGATTAACCATTCATTCATATTACCAGAGCATCACTTCCGGTCTTGTTATTATCAACTTCCTTTACTCCTTTACTCATCATTTTCATATGATAATCAAGATGATTATCATGATGATAATCATCTCTCTCTCTCTCTAACAATTGCCCACCTCCTACCTCTTTGCTTCCCACCAGCACTAACTGACCTGTTTCCATACTAATGTAATATTATTTGACCAAAAATCAATGATCAATTTCAATAATATTATCCTAATCATCATTATCATCCCTGTCATCTTAATCATCCTTAATTTTTTGCACTCTAAATTAATAGTTGATATACTAATCAATTTCTTTTTCTTTCATCTTCTTATTGTTGAATCAATTTGATGCTTTTCCCCTAAAAAAAACTAATTGTAATTAATTTAGGAAATCAAGTACAGAAAAATTACCCACAAATGGAAATGACCTGAAATCATCTTCATCTGATCTGTTAATGATTGACGATTTAACCGAAAATGGTTCTCAAAGTAGTACCAGTGCTAGTAGGAGTCTCCATTGTAATGGACCTAAAACCGTTGGTGGGACAATCACCGGCACTACAACAACCAAACCAATCGGAGTAGCAGTTAACAGTGTCACCGGTGGTACCGGGAGTGGACTTACAAGGGTCAATCCAATCAACAACACCTCCACCATCACCACCACCAACAACAACAGTAGCATTATAAGTAACTGTAAAACAAATACATGTACCAATAGTGGCACCAACAGTAGTAATCCTAATAGTAGTGTTTCCGGTGGTGTGACCCGGTTAAGGTCAATTAACTATGTAAACAATGACCACTTGACCAGTGTGTTTTCATCAATGAATAATATGAGGAAAAATGGTCAACTTTGTGATATTATTTTACAAGCATCCGGATCTCAATTGAAAGCTCATAAAGTTGTTTTATCAGCTAATTCTGCTTACTTTAACGCCATGTTTAACAGTAAGTATCCACAATTATAATCACAATTTAATCAAATTATCTGTTACCTTAATTCATATAATCAAAGACCATGATTATCAATTGTCAACTGAACTCATATGTATTTATACAATCAATGGTCTAATTGATACTACTCATTTTACAACTATTAGCTCATGTTATATCATATATCATATCCAACTTATATTATAATCAATTATCCAATTATATATTACATATTTAATAAATATATCTGTATTAATTATATATATCAATATTATCATATCTATGATTAGTTAATTTCATAACTTGAGTTTTTTAATATTGATCACCATATAATGTATAATATTATATATGCTCAGTTCCTGGGTTTAAATTGTTGCCCTTTTTTTGATTGTTGATAAAAAAAAATTAAGGCTCAAGATTATCAACATCATCAGTTATCATATTAGATTAGTTTAAATCTTTTGATTGTGGTTTGAAAAGATCACCATTGGGTATGATTAGACTGTTAATTAATTGTTCTCAGTGCATTACAATTAAAAGTTTTATTGTTGATTCAATTGTTTGTCCATTACAATTGATTGTGGGTGGTTAGTGTTGGTAATTTTTTCACTATTGATCAGTTAACTAATTGTTGAAGCAGTAATTTCAATATCTTATCTGATTAAATCATCGTCATTATTATAACTTTTTTCATTATTATTTCTTGTTGATTGTTGTTGATTCTGATTGTGAGCTTAATTGTTGATTGTCTCTCTCTCTCTCTCTCTCTTGGGTTTGATGTTCAACTTTTCCGGTTACACCCGAGAGCTTAAATGAATTGCTATTTATATATAGAGATTTTTAATTTAATTAAAAATGATGACAGACAATTAACAAGTTAACATTTGAAGCCAAAATCAACAATCAACAATCAACTCAATTTAATTTCCATTAATCAAACAAAACAATCAGGACTAACAAGGAATTAGTTTCTTGTTGATGTGTCAACCAGTTTCTTTTTAATTGTTAATCACAACGTGATTATGTCAAACAACAATCAATTTTTATCAATCATCGTAATCACTATTATCCTAATCATGATGATGAGAATAAACAAATTGCCAACAATTAACTATAACTGAGGTGATTTAAATTAGAGTGACAATCTAATAGTTATTAAAACCAGAAACCCAAATGTAATCAAAAAATTGCCAATTCACCATTGGCAATATGTTAATTGTCCCAATTAAAAATACACTGATTAACTTAATAGTTTATAATTTGTTTTGCCGTTAATTTAGTTTAATAACAAACTCATATCGGTTTAATAACTAAAATTTGATCAATTGTTGATCAAAATCAAACTCAATTAAAACTAATAACACAATTAAACTTATGTCTGAACTTCAACAATTAACCAATCAGTAATTGAAATTAATCAACTGAATTTGAATCAATTGGTAAAATTTATATAAACTGACCTAAAGATCAAATCATTTAACGGTCAGTTGAATCAATTTGATATACATCAGTCCAGTTAAATTGTTGAAAGGTCAATTTTATCCTCATCATCATCTATCATCCTTGTTTATTATCCTCCAATCATCATCATCATCATCCATTTTCATCATCTTTTCCCACAATTAACTGTATAATATTTCAATTGTTATCATTAATTGAATAATCAAATCTCAGCGATAACAATTGAAAACGATTCTCATAGAAACTGAATTAATTTTTTTTCTTGGTGATTGTTGACTTTTAATCATTTCCAATTTAACCATTAGTTAGCCAACACTCATGATAGAATCAATTGAGTTTCTTAATTGTCCTTAATTGTGATGAAATAAACTACTACGATAAACACTAATCACGATAAGTTGATTTAACTTTGGGTAAAAAATATTATCCCATCGCCTCAGGCTAAATATTTATGTATCTATGTTTATTAAATTGGTCATTATATCATTTCAACAATCTGGGGATTTCCTTAATTGTTAATCAACTATTATTCTGACCAATCAATCAGCAATTTGATTTGATATCAACAATTTCCAATCCTTGAGTCTTAAATTTGATTGTGATTGTGGTGGTATGATAATTGATTCTAATTACCATTAATTAGTTAGTATTTTTTTTTAATTATTTACTGTGATTTACCATCAACAATTAACTTGTATACTATTAATAGCTCATTGCCCTTGTCTATTGATCTGAACATCATCGTTAGTTAATTGTTGAAATAATCAAGATATTAACCTTGACTATTTTACTAGGGAAAGTAAAGAGTTGATTATAATAACTTTTTTTTTCTTATTGTTAAATCATCTAACAATGATTAGAATCAGCTAATTGTGATCACCTTGATTGTAAACCTTATCAACTTTGAATTAACTCAACCTTGTCTAGTGAATTAACTTGATCCTCAATGATTAACAATTAATGTCTTCATTATGATTAACCTAAACTTCATGTGGTTATTATTATTATTATTGTTTTCCTATGGACAATGTTCACACTTTGTATTAATAAACCTTACAATCAGTTAATTGTTCAATTCAATAGTGTTAATTGTTTCTGATGATAGTTCGTGATAATTGTCAACAACTCCAAGTTTCATTTATAATTAATAAATTGTTGTCAATGTTGAAAAACTTTCAAAATGATGAAAAAAAAGTTAACTGTACATTTTCATGGGCAATTAATGATTATCAAATTTAATTATACAATCAACTAAATACTAACAGTTAATTACACTGGTAACCACATGAATATAGTAATTAAATTGTTGATTAAATGACCATTTGAATCAATTTTTGAGGCAATTTAAGTGATAAGCTTGATTAACAATCAGCTAAATTGCTGATTAACTCAAATGAATCAGCTTATTTATGGGCCAAGAAATTAAATATCATGAAATTTGATTTCTTAATGAATTTAATTACAGGTTGATCATGATTAGCCTTATTCTTAATTGTAATTTAGTTAATTGCAATCAATATAAGATTAACCAATGAACATGATTAAAATGATGAGGGTTTTTGTTTGTTTACCTAAAAGTTTAAAGTCTTGTAATTAGTTAATTTAAATTTAGTTGAAACATTTTTCTGTTTGATTGATTACCTTTTGATTACCTTGATGATCATTTTTTGACGTTTCTTTAATTGTTGTCAATTAATTGTTGACTAACTAATAATAATTTTCATTCAATCATCACCATTATCATCATGATCATCATTAACTAGATCAAGTTAATTAGATTAAATAAAATCATTGATCCTTTACAGAGCCCGGAAGAAATAAAGTTTTCTTGATCAGATGATTAAATCGTTAAACTAAATCAACATACAATGTAACTACAATTAACTTAATGGTGATGTAAACAAATGATTAGTTACTATGAAAATCAATGATTTGGATTAACTCCAATTTATAATCAACAAAGTGATTTGATCAAAGTTGATGGCAGTTGATTAACATGGTAAACAAATAACCTCAATTTAATTGTGACAATTGGATTTGGATATTTTTTTTCAAGTTAATTGTTTCCAGTTTAATAACAATGTTTAGTTTATCAATAGATTGTTGAATCCAATCAATAATTAACTTTATATTACTTTTATCATGTTAATTGTTGGTTAATATTTTGAACTGAACTTGAAAAAATAGTGAAAACAATTAAATTAAATAACAATCACACCCGAATTGAAAATCCAATCCTAACAATCAAAATACAATTGAACTGAATTAAGGTCAATATACAATTGAAATCATACCAATAATTAACATACAATACATAATGTAATGATCTTGATGATTTTAATTGTAAATATGATCCTAATTAACAACGACAAGTTGATTAGATGATTGAATAATTAGTAGTTTTGTTCATTAATTGTCATGATCAGATTAAAGTATTTGATTATCAAATTGAATCAATTGACTATTAACTGGACATTTGGAATTACTTTTATCCTTGAAATTAAATTGTCAATGTAATCAGTTTAATAACCTTTAATTTGGTTCCTAATTGTTCAGGCCAATTGATTGATTATTTCTGATCAAAGACTAACAATCAATAAATTCATGGACACAATCATTCAATAACCATTGGGATTAGTTGGTAATGTATTTCAATGACTGTCAACAATTAACTTGATTCCGATCATTTAACCCAAGAAAAATTTTGTTAATTGTAACAATTGATCAAAATAAAAAAAAATAATAGAAAAAAAAGTTAATTTAAAATTAGTATCAGCTAATGAATCTTTGATTAACAATAAAGTGAAAAACTCAATTAAGTTTGAACTAATTAATACTTGATTAGTTTAAACACAAAATAATTGGATACAAATAAAGTCAATCAACCAGGATAACAATTAAAGTCACAATTTGTTGATTTAAATGTTAGTCAAAAACAATCAAGACACTTTTAGATTAACATGCAACTATTGAAATCTCACAATTTAGAGATTTAATCGTAAATGTTATTGAGATTATCGATTTAATTGTTGACCTAATTGTTACCATAGATTTGTAAATCTATTGAATAACCTTGAACCTGATGAATTAAGAAATCAAATTGTGATAATAATCAATAATAAATTAGATCAACCAAGTTTAATTTTGTCTAAACTGTTACCAGTTAATGTGAATAATTAACTGGACATTACAAAGATACTAAATCTTTGTCTTTTTAATTAGCACAATTAACCTTGACATTTATAGTTACTTTAACTGTTACACTCGCAAGTAAATTAACCACAATTAACTAATGATTATGTTACTTTGAATCTAATTAAATTTACAGGTGAAATGAGCGAGAAAACAAAATCTGTGATTACTTTACATGACATTGAATTTAATGCTCTTAAATTATTAATTGATTATTCATATTCGGGTGAAATTGTAATCAGCGAGGAAAATGTCCAAGCCCTACTGCCCACCGCAAGTCTACTCCAAGTATCCGCCGTTCGTGAGGCTTGTTGCAAATTTTTACTTCGACAACTTGACCCGACCAATTGCCTTGGGATAAGATCATTTGCCGATGCCCATTCGTGTGAAGAGCTACATCAAACATCAGATAAATTTGTGGTCGAAAATTTTCCCGCCGTAGCTGCGACCGAAGAGTTTTTACTTTTACCATATAGCGAGGTGAGCGAATGGACTAATTTTTTCAGTCCCGATTTCTCGTGGTACTAATTGTATCTTTCTCTTTGATTTTTTCTCTTCTTTCAAGGTTGAAGATCTCATTTCTAGTAATCATTTGAATGTTCATGATGAAAACGAGGTTTACAATGCGGTCATTCGTTGGGTCAAATTTGACCTGAAATCACGAGAAGGTCGACTTGGTTCTTTACTTCAGCATATTCGTTTCCCGTTGATTCATAAAAATACGCTTCTAAATCACGTTTGCAAAGAGCCATTGATCGAGGGTAACCCGGACGGTAAAGATTTGCTCATTGAGGCGATGAGGTATCACCTTAGTCCCGATCAACGAACCAGCATTAAAAACATACGAACTCAATATCGACGACCGAAAGGTTTAAAAACGTACATTTTTGCCATCGGCGGTGGTTCATTGTTCGCCATTCACAACGAGTGTGAATTTTATGATCCAATAAGTGATACTTGGTGTTCGTTTGCACCCTCGTTCAAGAGGCGATCAAGAGCTGGTGTGACCACTTTGGGACGAAATCTTTTCGCCATTGGTGGTTACAATGAGAACAAGGAATTATCATCTGGTGAATTTTACGATCCAATTGTAAATTCGTGGCAACCATTAGCTCAAGATATGGGAACTAAACGCTCTTGTCTGGCCACTGCTTCGCTAAATGGTCTGGTCTATGTTGCCGGTGGTTATGATGGTGCTTCTTGTCTTGCTTCAGTTGAAAGGTTTGATCCTCTTTCTGATATGTGGACATCGGTCGAAGCGATGACCAGTCGAAGGCGCCATGGACGGTTAACCGTTCTCGATGGGTGTCTCTATGCCGTCGGCGGCTATGATGGTACTAATTATCAATCGTCAATGGAAAGATTTGATCCACGAGTAAGACATTAACATAATTACCATTACACTTAATCAATCATAAAAACAAAGATAATTTTTTTTCTGCACCTCAAACAATTTATGAATCCATTTAATTGTTATTAACAATTCAATTTATTACACTTAATGATTTGAATCATCAGAGTGAAAGTGTTACTATTAACAATCAAGGAAGTTGAAGTAAATTCATTCAAATGAAAACAATTCCCTTGATCGTAAAGTTTAGTAATGAAACAAAGGGTTGATTCAACTCGAGGAAATTAATAATTTACAACGGAAAGGTTATTGTATTATTAGTTAATTAGTTTGATTATCATTCTCATTTATCACTAATCATCTTCGTCATAACGTCAGTTGAATTCTGAACGTGTTTATATTTTCACTTATCGATCGATATTTTCTATCTCTAAATTGTTCTGTCAAAATCTTTTAATAACTTTTCATCTATTAATATCTCTCTCTCTCTCTCTCCTTGGTTACATCATAATCTTTTGAAGTTCATTGACATTTCATTTTCATGACAAAGGCCAATTCTCAGGGTGATAGATCAGATTCATTGTGCTTTTGTAAACTTTTCAATTCATTTCAATCGATTGGATAATAATACGAGATTATAGTTTGAATTGTGATATTAAATTGTTTTGTTATCATTTTCTTTTCATTTCCAGGAAGGAAAATGGCAGTTGATGCCACCGATGACAAATCGACGTTCTAGTTCAGGAGTGGCCACTTTGAGTGGTAAAATCTATGCCGCCGGTGGAAACGACGGGAGCCTTTGCATGAATTCAGTTGAAAAGTTTGACCCAACTCGAAATGCTTGGGAATCAACGGCTCCAATGCACACAAGAAGGTAATAGATCATTAAATCATTAATTTATCCTTAATAACAATTAACTAATCGATGGTTCAATTTAATTATTTCAGGAGTACACATGAAGTGGTTGAAGCTGATGGTTTCCTTTATGCAATCGGAGGTAACGATGGATCGTCGAGCCTGAATACGGTGGAAAGATATGAATTGAAAAAGAACCACTGGATTCCGATTAGTTCAATGATGTTAAGACGATCGTCGGTCGGAGCGGCAGCACTCGAATGTCCAAATATGGAGAAAATTCTTGAAGCATTGACCCACCACAACAACTTGACCACATCAACGACCACTAATGGCAACGCACCCGAAGCAATAGTTCACTAGTTAGACTAAATCACTGTTAATTGTTACTTTGCTTTTCTCATCAATTCTGAGATTTAATTACCATTGTTTTTTTTCATTCCCTTTGTTTACCTTCACTCAAATTGAGACAATTAACCAGACAATTTATTAATTACTCTAATCATCATTAACCAACGTCTCTTTTTACTGGCAAACCACCAAGAAGCCTTGAGTTGATTGATTTTTTTTTCTATCATGATTAAGATCACCTTAATTTAAATCAATCGGTGATCAGATCACAAAGATATTACCTTAATTATTATGCTTACAACCAAAGGATTTAATTGTTTAACCTTTTTTTCTGTTGACAATTATTATTGTAATTTGTTCCTGTAGTTTAATTGATTGAAAATCAACTGCAAACTTTTCTCCTTCTCTGAACAATCAATTAAAAAATTGAATCAACGTTAATTTCTTGCTGATTTAAAACAATCAATTTTCATCATTAGAATTTCCTTAAATGATTATTATTAAAAAAAACCTGACAATCTGGACCACAAAAATGATTTGATTAAAAACCAAAATTGTACGACAGTTAAATAAAAAATCATTTTGATATCTGAATAATTAGTCTAATAAATTAATTATCTTGATGCGAATCAAATATGAACAGTAAAGTTTGCAAACAGAAATGCCTATTTGATAAGAAGTTGAGAATTCTGATAAACTATCATAGAAATAAGATAAAGTATACAAATTGACTATTCTGTTAAAAAATCTTCCTTTTTCAAGGCCATTTGAAGGCCATAAACTCAATTAACTAATTGTTTTTTATTCTAATTGGTACAGAGAGATTTATGACAAAAAAGCTTCCGATTAAAGAGCCTCGTATCGATGCTAAGGTCCCCGTTAGAAGCTGCCTCGTTGCCTTGGAATGGAAAATTTTATTTTGACCATCAAATGATCTTGACAAAATGACCGGAATGAACTTGAAACGTTTTGTCGTTTTGTTTATATTTGAATCTCTTAGATAATCAAAAACTTTTTCTTTCTTATTTTCATTTACAAAGTACCAAAAGAGGATCATACAAATGCTGATTATCTGTTCATCTTTATTCAGATTCATAAAAAAACGATACTTATGGGCTAGTGTTCCTAATAATAAACCTGATATTGTTCGAACATTTCAACGCGAAATTGATATAAATTGACTTGGAAACCGAAAATGTTTTTTATTGACCTAAGTTCATTGTTAATCATCTAAATTTTCAAAGCAAAAAGATTAAAGTTGAGTATTAAACACTTTTCTTATATTTGGTTCAAGTTACGAGAACGCGTTACTATTATAGACTGATTATGATATGACCCTCGAAGGTCATTTATTTGAAACAAAGATATGTGTTTTTATTCATGAGCACACTTCGAAATATTTTCGCTGAGCTACAGTACAAAAGGCATCTTTCTTTTAAATGACTTCGTAAAACTTTAATATGATGAAAACTCTTTAAAAAATATCAGATTAAAGCTTAAGAGTTTGTATAAAATTCATGGAAGTTAGTTAATCATTATAGCCAACATGATAGTTTGAAATATTACTCCAAACTTTACCGTTCGTGCCTTAGCGCTCAATCAACAAGCAGATCGAAAATTAATACATCCACCCATTCACCGCCTCAATTAGCAACTTTCACTTTAAAATTTCAATTCAGATTTTGTTAGAATTTGGAGTTTATCAGAGTATCGAGAATAGAATCTGAATATACTTATTATTATAACAATCGACTCTGAATTTGAACGATACTATTTTCCAATTGGAGAGAAAATAAGTTGAATTAGTAAACAATCAACTGAATAGAGTAAAGATTTTAAAGTGATGAGGAAGAGAAATAAATTATTCTAATGATGATAAAAGTAACATTATCATCATCATGAAGCCTCACAAACACTAATGAAGTTGAACAGAAAAAAAAGAAGCAAAAATAGACAGTAAAGAGCAAAAGAAGATGCAAATTTAGGTGATCGGTCTTAAAGAGATGACAACAGGTAAGAAGATGGATAAGATGATTTGCTCCGATTTCGAAGGAAAAAAAACTGATGTCGTAACCGAAATGACCTTATTCCAGCCCATCGTTAGCTTATTCTTCTCTTTATTTATCTTCTCATTATATTCTTACTCCTCCTTCAACCTGATCCCCGAAAATCGTTAGCAAAACAAGCGCTAATGTATCTTATTCTTCATCATCATTATTGTTGGTGGAACGATAAAGTTCATCGTTCTCAGAATCGACGCCATATTGTTTACTTTTAAGAAAAAGTTTCTTCTATTCTTTTTGTAGAATTTTAGTTTTTTTCTTTCTCCCGAATTCAACTGACTAACAAGTGATTCTCATTGTTGAAACTAATTGTGATTGCAATCACTGCAATCGCCATAGCAATTAACCAATTCACCATGAGTTTAATTGTCTCCAATCAGTTTAACAAGTCAAATGTATTAACAGTGACTTGTTGCCTTTTAATTGTTTGCTATTTAATTCAAATTGTTCATCTTGCTGATAAACTTGATGATTTCGTTGAATCAGGTATGTGTTGATTACTTTAAACTTTCATTTTAAGAAATTTAATCAATTCAATTGTGATTCCAAATTGTGATTGATAATCTTTGGTGATGAATTCTGTGTTTGTTAAGGTGCCGTTGAGGGAATTCCTTGTGTTTCCAATGGTAAATTTTATCGAAATCCGGAGCAAATTGGAATTCGAGATTGTGCCAAATACTATTGGTGCCCTCGGGGTAAAGTTCTTGAGTTCCGTTGTTCATCTGGACTTTGGTTTGACATCGATCGGCAAATTTGTGACTTTAAATCAAAAATTAATGCGCAAAATTGTGAAAAATCACATGGTAATTATGATTTTGTTTTCATTTAAAAATTTAACAACTCGATTTAATTTGATTCCATTTTGGTTTGTCTGTTTGATTGTGATTTGAATTCATTAACAGCCATTAGCATTTGATTGTTCAAACGTTTTAAATTTAACAACAGCAACAACTAAAATCAGGTTAAGGTGAACAAAAATTAAAGAAAGTAATTAACTCAATTGCTTTAAGATTAAAATCTAAATACATGTTAAGATGAGTTATTGATTAACCAGAAAATCAACAAGTTTTTGGTGTGATTAAGTTTTAAATTGTTACCCATTTGCATTTATTGTGAGTCGGTCATTGACTTAATTGTTGAAGAGTAAGAAAAACTTAAATCAACGCAACAATCAACAATAAATCAGATCAATTAGTTTGTACACCTACAAGTGATTTAGTGTTTTTTTTACTTTAAGTTTACTAATTAAAAAAACATTCAATTACTAAATCATCTTAATTTAGATGCATCAACTCCTCGTCCTCTTTTGGCAACTGAAAGTCCAATTTGCCCAGAAGGTCAATTAGCTTGTGCCGATCGGAAATGTCTTAATCGCGACGTTTTTTGTGACGGTACCGTTGATTGTAATGATGGTTCAGATGAGTCTTGGTGTGACCCAGAAAACGATCCAAATTCACCTGCCCGATGTGATCTGAATAACTGTACATTACCAGATTGTTTCTGTTCCATTGACGGGACCCGAATACCAAATGACCTGAAGCTTGAAGAGACACCGCAAATGGTTATAATCACTTTCGATGATGCGGTTAACAATGAAAATTGGGAAATCTATCAATCCATTTTCACACCAAACCGAACCAACGCCAACGGGTGTCCAATAAGGTCAACTTTTTTCCTCTCTCATGAATATACCAACTATCGACATGTTCAGAAACTTTGGAATGATAATCACGAAATTGCCGTTCATTCAATTACGTAAGTTAAACTTTAGTAAAAGAAAGACTGAAAATCATATTATGTAATTATAACTGTCGATTTGTCCATTCATAGACATCGACAACCTGAACTTTGGTGGACTTTCAATGCTACAATCGAAGATTGGTTCGATGAGTTCGCAGGAATGGCCAATATAATTAACAAATTCGCTGGTATTCCCTTAGAGGAATTAAGAGGAACTCGAGTTCCATTCTTGAGAATTGGTTGGAATACTCAGTTAATTATGATGAGAGAATTTGGTTTCCTTTATGATTCCTCGATGGTTCCACCCAAATCAGATCCTCCGATTTGGCCTTACACTTTCGACTTCCGTATTCCTCATAAATGTGCCGGTTCTCTCCAGAAATGTCCATCTCGTTCATTCCCAGGAATGTGGGAAATGGTCATGAACCCACTGGACATTGAGGTGAATAATAATAATGCAACTTATTGATTAGAATTCAATCAACTAATTATTTCTTTTCTCAATGTTTTCGTATTCAAACAGGGACATACTTGTGCTATGGTCGATTCGTGTCCAACTCATTTATCCGAGGAAGAACTATTGGCCATGTTCTTGGACAATTTCAATCGCCACTATCGAACCAATAAAGCACCGTTTGGATTGTTTTTCCATACGATTTGGTTCAAGGATAAGAAAAATTTCAAGGTTTTCCTTCAATTCATTGATGAACTCATCAAGAAGCCCGATGTTTACATTGTCACCAACTATCAGGCCATCGAATGGATGAGGACACCGACACCATTGAGCCAATTGAACAATTTCGAACCCTGGAAATGCCAGAAAAACATTGATCCAAATTTAGTTGCTTGTAATCATCCGAAATTGTGTAAATTACATAGTCGCCATTTAAAAGGTGAAAGATATTTGCACACTTGCTTTGAATGTCCAGAGGTTTATCCATGGGTCAAGAATGAATTTGGACTTGAATTCAAATAGAACAATTAACAATGTAATTTTCATTCGATTGCTAATTAACTTCAACAAGTGATCAAATTTCATGTATCGAAATCACTTGTGTTTGTGATACATTAAAATCATTTGTCTTTTTTTATGTTAACAATCAGACGCACAATTATTCATTGAAAGTCACAATTAAGATTGTAAGACTTAATTTGATTAGATTGGAAAGTTATTAACCGTTAATATTAACCGTAAGTCTTAATTATTTGATTACAGAGGCTTAACCGATTAACAATTATCAATAGAAAATGAGAAGGTTAATATCGTCGCGTAATTGATTCCAGTTAATTTAGTTTAACTCAATTAACAGTTTCTTGTTCAATTTTGATCATCTTAATTGATTGGTGAGTGAATAATTAACCATGTCATCAAGTAATGTGTCCAATTTTGATCAAAATCAAAGACAAAAAGTGGTACGAAGAGTTAAAGTTACCACTGGATGTTTGGTATGTGACAATTAATTAACTATTCAATGATAATCAACTAAATCTCTTTTTTTTCACCATTTCATCAGTGTGTTGGTTTGATATTAGTTATTCTTGGTGCTCTTGGATGTGTTGAGATAATCGCACTTGGTTCAGTGCTATCGGGCATCGTTGTGGTCATTGGAATCCTCAGTTTCTTAATCAGTGTTAAAATATTACAACACAATATAAATTATCTGGACTCTCATCGATCCGAAATGGCTTGAAAATTTCCCAATTATAATTGATAACAATTAACTGTAACAATAAAATATATATTGAATTAATTACCTTTAAGATTTGATACAGGTCAGTCTCATTTATGAGGCGGTTATTGTTTTCATATCATAATTAGAAACATTCAAATTGATTAAACGTGACTAAACAGCAATCACTGTCAATGAATTGCAACTAGTTTGAACAAAATTAACTAAAAAACGAGCAGAAATAATTATTCATATCCATTGACAATAAAGAGAACGGAAAAGTAATTGATGAAAAATGACCTTACAAGAGCACTTTTCCTAGTACGAAATAGCTTTCGATACATCAACTATACCAATCGGTTCAATTTTATCCTTTGTTGATTAAAAATCCCATCAAAAAATTAAGTGTCTTGATGACCATTGATCAGAAAAATATATTAATTGGTGAAAAAAACTTTTGGTTTAAATGAAGCGGTGATTAGATATCAGAATTTGAATCATTTGAGTTGATCAGGTGAGACTCTCACCTGATGAAAATACTGTTATAATAGTAATAACTAAATCTAAATCAGAATCAATTAAGTTTTTCTAGTCAAGTTGATTACTGGTTGAATAGTCTAGATGATTGTCATTCTTCCCAGAAATTAGAGTGGTCACCAATAAACATAGAATATGATCCAAGTAACAAGTTCGTCCACCCGAAAGGATCTAGAAAAAAAGTTGAAAATAACTGTTAGTTTTGCGGTAAGTTGATTATTTAAAATCCTAATGATTAAATTGAAATTGTAGCTTTTCTAGTTTACATTAATGTCATGAATTTCAGTTCTAGTCAAATAAACTTTTTCTTGTGTTATTTTGTTTCTTACCGAATTTAAACTTTTCTAAATCGTGATTGGTACTACGATTACAAAATTACATGTTATCCCATTGTTTAGATTATCGGTCTGTTATGTGCAATCGTCGCAGTTATCCTAATGGTTATGGGTCAACTTTATATGGGTTTCCTGTTGGTAATTGGTATGGTTACCTTTTCAGTCAGTTCAACTATCGGCTGGGCAGTCATTAGGCGACTTGACTCAGATTGGCCTGATGATCTTGAATGAATTACTTAAACCCGATCGTAAAGAAAAAGATTAACACATAAATGATAACTCGAAATAAAATCGCCTGATTCCAGTTGTTTGGTCGAACTTGATCTTTGAATGTTTAGTCTTATCCAAAGTGATCATCAATCAATATTATATCGATTTTTTAAGAAATCGTCCAACAGTATTAATTAAAGTTCAAACAGATCTTTTAATCAACCAATTTGATTTTTCTCTTTGCCGATTAAAATTGAATTAAATCTCTTTCCACCAAGGGAACTTGACTGAGAAAGTTATCAGTTTGAATGAGGCGGTAAATGTTAAGATATCAGATTTTGGCTCATTCGAGTCGATCAGGTGAGACTCACCTCATATTATTAGACTAATAAATTATTAGTAACAAATTGTTACTAACAATGCAAAATTTTCATTTAAATGTTTTAACAATCATTTTATATCAGTTGATTGTTTGCAGTTAATTAAGTTGATTGTTGAGTAAATCCAGTATCTCAAATGATCGAGTGATCAGAGTGTTCAACAATTGTACCATTAGAATATGATTCAAATAATCAATTCGTCCAGGAGAAAAGATTTAGAGAAAAAGTTATATGTATCTGTTAGTTTCACAGTAAGTTGATTGTTAACAATTTAACTGATTAAAATGAACTGTCCACAATCATGTAATGAAAAACTAATTATTTCATCACGCTTTCCATTAATTAGTTTATCGGCCTGTTATGTGCCATTGTCGCAATCATCCTTATGTTAATGGGTCAAGTTTATATGGATATCCTTTTGATAGCTGGTTTAATCACCTTTGCAATCGGTGGAACTATCAGTCTTGGAATCATGATGCACCTTGATTCAGTTTGGCCTGATGATCTCGATTAAATGTCTCCAATTACACAATTTATACACCAAACCGAAGATAATCAACTGTGTTTTAATGATTATCGATATTGATCACCAATTTAATCTTCCATCTCCTCCTGTTCACCCAAGGAAATCGGTTAATCCACAAATCTAAGTCCAAACGTGCCAGATGTACATTATATTGTATCACCTTCGTATCAGAATTGACCATAACAATCAAAATTTAATTTCAACACAAACAAACAAAAAACGAAACTTAATTACTCTTTTTACATTTCAATTTTCTTTCCTTTGTCGATTAAAAAATGTTACAAATTCGCATCTCTCTGTCCATTACTAACCACTCCAGTAACTGAGAAAACCTAATCAGTGTTAAAGTTAACAGAATATAAATGATCTTAAAAATTAACAAAAAGAAATTTAAAAAAAAACCAACAATTAATTGAAAACGAGAAAAAAATGAAATCAAAACAAAAGAAGAAAATTCGATAGTCGATTAATCGATAATCGAATTGAGTTGTTTTGAAATTTTTTCTCTTTCTGATTTCCCCTTTCAGCGATTACGTGTCTTTACGTTTAATTGTTTTCATGTTAAATTAATTACTTCTCATTTAGATTAATTTAATTTCTCTTTCAATTAGTAGTGTTCCCTTAGATTGTATCAATTGTTTTCTACCAAAATGGAGGATATAAAGTCCATCTTATTGACTGTTGTTTCTATCGTATTATCCATGGCCGTCATTGGAAATGCTTATTACCAGAAGAAACAATTTTATCCTTCAGTTGTCTACATAACTAAATCTAATCCATCAATGGCGGTCATTTATTCACAAGCATTTGTCTTTGTCCTTTTAATGGGTACGTAAAAGAATGAGAAAAGAAAAACCAAAATGAAACAATAACTTTACCACCACCGGTCATTACATTCACCATATTGTTTCTCCTTCATTCATTTGGAAAAACCTTTTTCTCTCTTTACAGCTGATTCGTTTTTCTATAATTTTCCTCTTTTTATATTCCTGATTAGTGATTTAATATTTTTCTTTTTCTTTCTCTCTTTCAATTAGGTAAACTTATGAGAAAGATATTTTTCGGCCAATTACGAGCAGCCGAATTGGAACATTTAATTGAGAGAGCTTGGTATGCGGTAACAGAGACTTGTCTTGCATTTACCGTTTTTCGTGATGATTTGAGTCCCAAATTTGTGGCTCTTTTTACATTACTTTTATTTCTCAAATGTTTCCATTGGCTGGCAGAAGATCGTGTTGACTTTATGGAGAGAAGTCCAAATATACCATTTATTTTCCATTTTCGAGTAATATCACTTCTCTGTCTATTAGCATTCCTTGATATCTTCTTTGTGAATTTAGCTTATTACAGTACATTGACTAAAGGAGCATCTGTTCAACTAGTATTTGGTTTTGAGGTGAGAATTTGAGAATATATAATTTCTATTTTCTACCCTGATCGATATTCTAATCATTCTTCTTCTTTTTCATCTTCCTTTAAATTAGTATGCAATCCTTTTTACGGCTGTTTTTAACATAGTCATGAAATATGGTCTTCACTTTATGGATCTTCGACGTGAAAATCCATGGGAGAATAAGGCTGTTTACTTATTGTACACTGAGCTTTTGATGGGATTTTTAAAAGTTATTCTTTACCTTACTTTCATCTCGATAATGATGAAAATTCATACCTTCCCATTATTTGCCATTCGACCAATGTACCTAAGCATGAGAGCCTTAAGAAAAGCTCTTAATGATGTAATAATGTCTCGTCGAGCAATACGAAATATGAATACATTATATCCAAATGCTTCAGCTGAAGATTTGGCTAATAATGATAATATTTGTATAATTTGTCGAGAAGAGATGACAGGCAATGGTTCGGCCAAGAAACTTCCCTGTAATCATATTTTCCATGTTTCTTGTTTACGTTCATGGTTCCAGCGACAACAAACTTGCCCTACCTGCCGAATGGATGTTCTTCAATCAATTACACCCCAACAACCCGCTCCCCAACAAGCTAATCGTCAGGTCAGAGCTGGAGCACCAGTTAATCAAGCAGCTCAACCTCCGTTGCCTCCTCAAGGTTCGTTATGAATTATTATTACTTTGGCTTATTTATCCAAACCTCATTTCATTTGTCATTTCTAACTTTTTGGCTTATTTTCTATTCTAGTTCAAATTCTGCTTGGTCCTTTTCTTGCCCAATTTGCACAACAAATGCAACAAAATCAACAGCAAGCTCAACAGCAGCAACAACAACAGCAACAACAACAACAACAACAATCAACATCTAACCAACAGTCTCAGGCACCGGCTACTAGTGTCACCTCTTCAACTGCAACCACATCTACCGGTGCATCAACATCATCAACTTCATCATCATCCAATCAATCACAACCATCATCATCATCATCGTCATCATCATCTGTATCGTCAACATCAACAACCACATCAACTACTACATCAAATTCATTGCCTCGATCTATATTCACTTTACCAGGTTTTCCTCACTTCATGCCTTTTGTGCCATTCCCTCCACCACCTCCACCTCCACCTATGGCTACATCACCACCCAATTTATCTCAATTAACTGATGAAGAATTGAGAAAAATGGAGGGTACAGAAAGAGAAGCAGTTGAGGCAAGAATTAAATGTCTTCTCAACATTAAAACTCTTCTTGATTCTGCTGTTGCTCAACTTAATCAATATCAACTAGTCGCTGGTCCACTCTTTGCTGGCCTTGATCGACAAGGAGAATCATCTTTATTATCCTCTTCATTATCATCATCATCATTATCACCACCAACAACAACCAGTAATTCACAAAAAATTAATCTTGCTAATCATGTGCCGGATGATGTGAGGAAACTAAGAATCCAAAGGTTTTCTCAAACCAATACTCCAATGGTTGATAATAAAAGCAACATTTTAGGATATGAAATTGATACCAGAGGCAATGATAAACCTTCAACGTCCAGCCCACAATCGTCAAGTGGTCAACAATCAAATGGTGATGATGAAAGCAAACATGTGCCAACGGATACAAAGCAAGAGAGCTAAAGAAATACAATTAGAATCACTAATAATAGAAATAGATTGTTTTTTAATCAATCGGTATTAGTAATCGCGATATCAGATCAATTCAGTGATAAATTTGATTCTTATAGCAAACAGAAAATATGTGATCTTCTCATCTCCTATTCTTCTCGTTCTTTTCTTCTTATCTCCCTATTTCTCTCTCTCTCTCTCTCTCTCTCTCTCTCTCTCTTTCTTTCTTTCTATTTGCAATCACACTCTCATCACAATGTTTGCATATAAATATTTATTTTCTCAACCCGTTCTCTCCTATAACCTTAATTTAAGGTTCCATAGATAATGATGATTGATTTAATTGGTGTTTCTTTCCTTTGGATAAATTATCTCTCTCTCTCTTTCTCTCTCGCTCTCCATTTACCATCCATTTACCATCCATCACACCGTCAATGATTGTTACTACTGAATCAACTTATACCATTGAAACAAATTTAAATCCAGATCCTCACTTGTTCATCAAACAACAATCAACAGAAAACATCTCTGATTAATTTTTGAACAAAGTTTCTCTCTCTCTATTAACTTATCATATAAACACACACATACAATATAATCCAATAAGAAAACATTGAGAAGCAAAAAAAAAACATGAAAATTATATTTATCATAATGTAAATACCAATAAGAAAATAAGAAAAATTGTAATAACAACAATTAACACCAAAAGCAATTAAACTAATGCGCTTGTATACAATTAAATTGTTTTTTTTTATAACAATCAAATTGAGACAAAAAGCTATGAAAACATAGATGATGAAATAAACAACTAATCTTGTTGGTAGATTTGCCTTTTAAAGAAAAGAAGATGATTAAAACTAATCATCATCGAGGATTTTAAACGCATTGACCTTTGTGAATCTTAATTCTGTTTACATTTGTTGCTTTTTAATTGTCTTTAATTAGTCAGCTTTTTTCATCCATAGGCGGAGCTTTTAATTGCTCATCTCTCAAGACAATTAAACATTAGGTTCACTTTTTTATTAACCTTCACTTTAAATTTGTCTCTTGACTACAACTGACTAATTGTTTTCATTATTTGAATTTTTTTTCTTCTCATTTACCATCAACCATCTAAATTTTTTTCTTAATTGTGATTTAATTTTGTTTCTTTTTTATTCTAAATTGTAAAAATGTCTTTTCCACCCAATCGTGATCGTAAGGAATACGATATCAGATTACTTGGACATTTCACCGGCTTAGAAGTGGAATTTCAAACCCGAAACAATGGTAAGAAATCGTTAATTTGATTGTTCTACTCATCTAAATTGTGTGTGTTTCCTTTGCTAATCATTTAATTACTTCTAATTTTCTTCCAGAGCATTTGATTGGAATGCTGAGCAATCATAATTCCGAAATTGGAACTTTTACTTTTACTAATTGTAAGTTGATTTTCTTTGTATTCTATTTGATTGAAACAAAAGTGATTCTAATTTTTTTTTGGGAACTAATTGTGTCTCTTTCTGATTGTTATTGATTAGTGCGTAAAATTGATGGCAATCATTGGGCTATGAAGCAAATATATACTTATGCTGATTTCTTTGGGAAGTTTATTGCCACTGCCAACATGGATTTCAGACCATCGGGAAATTCAGGTCAAACGGCAGCCGAAGAGGAATTGAACTCCGTTCTAACCGACAAGGAAACCAGATTGGTTAAGATTGAGAGTACTGATGTTTCAGGAATTATCAATAATGATCCATTGGAAATCATAGTCAATCCCGATATTAAGAATCTACAATATGAATCAATTGATTTCTCTTTTACTCTTGATCAAGATGAGTTCGAAACTGTCATTTCAAATGATGTAACTCGAATCACTTCACCAAATGATCATTCACTTAACGAAGTTATCGAGACACTTTCATCTCGACAACTAATCAGCATGGTTGTTTTGCCTTTTTCCATCGATAATCGTAATGAACCAATGGAATTCATTATTTTCGGCTGTGATAAAGGTTCTTTTATATTTACCGTTAATCAAGAGGTAATGAAAAGGTTGAAAGCTATTCTCGAATCGAAAGAAATTACCAAAGTTCTTCACGATTCCGCCATTACTACAGCTCGTTTACGCCATTTGTTTGATATCGACATTGAAAATGTCGATGATACTGCTGTTCTCAATACTCACTACATTCTAAAACATAACAAAGACAATCGAAAATCAGATCAGTTTCTTAATCGTTTTCGATCGTACAGTTCGTGTGTCAAAAGTTTTCTTGGAATTAAACTTCCATGGGAGCCATATGTTGGATTCTATCAAAGGTGCGGTAAAGGTAAGCTACTTGCCGCCGAACTGGACGATACTGGACGTGGTTATGCTCGAGGATTGGCCATGCTTTTACCTGAGCTTCGAATGGAAATACTCAAACATATTGTAATCCCGTTAGTCGCCAAGCAATTCACCTATTCTAATGTCGTTAAATATGCTTCCGATCTCGAGTATACTGAGCTTCGAAATGGTAATCTAATTAGTCCCCATAATCTAAGTAACGCTGATTGGGGTAATTCTGATGAATTTAATCTATCAATTACTGCCACTATTTCTGAATTATTGTTGAAGAAATTTAAGCTCTTCAATCGAATTAGAAAACCATTAACTCGAGATTCTTGTACTCAAACGGATCCAATGTTAGTTGGACAATCGACTAGAAGAACTTTTTCCCCTTCTTATTCACGGGTTCTTGCTCATATAAATTCATCAAGATCATCAACCGTCTCACCATGTGATTCATCTGATGAATCTCTTGTTAAAACAACCATCCAATCATCCGCATCTTCATCATCATCATCGACAATTAAATCAAATGGCCATTGTAATGGGAACGATAAGAAATTACTTCGAATTGATAAAAATCATCCACAATTATCTGAGAATACAAATGATGATATTGATTGGAGTTTAGTAAGTGGTTCTAAATACTAAATGCTAATTACATTTCCACGTCCGATATTTGTATTCACGTCTTCTTAATTGTTCCAACTGATTAATTCTCAATTCTAATCACAATTTTTTCTTTTCTTTTCATATTTTTTTTTCATCTTTACCTCTTTCTCCTTTTTTTACCGTTACTTTTTCCACTCGATTTTGTTTTCAATCAACTTTTCGCTTTTCCTCAAATTCTCATAACAAATAATTGTATAAACTCAAAGGCGAGGTTAAGCAAACTCAGCTCATCCTCCGATTCCTGGGGTATAAAACACCCTGATATTATACCCGCAGGCTTTAATCGCTAAAATTATTAAAATAAATTTAAAAATTTAAACTAATAAAATAAATTATGTAGACAAAAAAAAATACATATTCTATTTACTTTTTTCCAAGTAAACTCTTGGTTAAAGTAAAGGGAAAAACCACTCTTCAATTGGCTTGATATTTAATATTCTCTTTTAATTGTTAATTTAATTGTAAAATTTAATGAGACTTAATTGTAACAGTTTGAATTGGAAATAAACTAAATTTACTCTTAGAATTAATTCTCACCCATAGATGGAGCTCTTTAAACGCGTGTTGCTTTTTTCGGTTTTTTTTTGTTGATTATTATCTGATTTTCTGAAACCAATTTGTTTCTTTCTTCAGTTGATTTAATTTCTACTGGTTTTAGCCACGTTGTCAACTTAATTTTGTTAATTAATTACTTAGCTAATTGTTCCCTTTGTGTAACAAGTTCCTTCTTTAATCGTAAATAATCAACTATGACTAAACCACAATACAAAGTTGGTAAGTGTTGATCCCAATATCTCATCAAGAGATAAGTAAACTGTTGTTTTGAGATTAATTTAATTCCTTTTGGATTAGATTTTGATTTTGACTTTGATTGTTACTATTTATTTTATTGATTAACTTTGTAACTAATTTGATTGTTTATATTGGTTATCTTTTGTTGTTTTTGTCTTAATTGGGGATATGGTTTGTTTGTTTGGTCTCCATTTACTTTAGCTGATATTAAGCTCGCTGAGTTTGGGCGTAAGGAAATTGAAATTGCCGAAAATGAGATGCCTGGTTTAATGGCCTTACGGTCAAAATATGGTCCAAGTAAACCATTGAAAGGTGCTCGAATTGCTGGTTGTCTTCATATGACCATTCAAACCGCTGTTCTTATTGAGACTCTCATTGATTTAGGTGCTGAAGTTCAATGGTCATCATGTAACATTTTCAGGTACATTTGCACTTGAAAAAATTTTCCATTCTCACTAATGGTTTATCCTCGTTCTTTGATTAATCTTAATTACATTTTTAATCAACAGTACTCAAGATCATGCTGCTTCTGCCATTGCTGCTCGTGGTGTTGCCGTTTACGCTTGGAAAGGTGAAACCGAAGAGGAGTATCTTTGGTGCATTGAACAAACCATTTTCTGGCCTGATGGTCAACCTCTTAACATGATTCTCGATGATGGTGGTGATTTAACTAATCATGTTCACGAGAAATACCCACAACTGTTAGCCGGTATTAAAGGTATCTCCGAGGAGACAACCACCGGTGTCCACAATTTAAATCGTATGCTACGAAAGGGGCTTCTTAAATGTCCAGCCTTTAACGTTAACGATTCCGTTACCAAGTCTAAATTTGACAATCTTTATGGTTGCCGAGAATCATTGGTCGATGGTATTAAACGGGCAACTGATGTCATGATTGCGGGTAAAACTTGTGTTGTCGCCGGTTTTGGTGATGTTGGTAAAGGTTCAGCCGGATCTTTACGAGCTTTAGGTGCCCGAGTAATTATAACCGAAATTGATCCAATTAATGCACTTCAAGCTTGCATGGAGGGTTATCAAGTTACCACCATGGAAGAAGCCGCACCCCAAGCATCAATTTTCGTGACAACAACCGGTTGTAAGGATATCATTCGAGGTGAACACTTTGAGGTGATGCAAAACGATGCCATAGTTTGTAATATTGGACATTTTGATATCGAGATTGATGTTAAATGGCTCGATGCTAATGCTGTTAAAAAGGTTGAAGTTAAACCTCAAGTTGATCGGTATCAACTTAAAAATGGCCGACATATAATCTTACTCGCCTCTGGAAGACTTGTTAACCTTGGTTGTGCCACTGGTCATCCAAGTTTCGTTATGAGTAACTCATTTTCCAATCAAGTTCTTGCTCAAATTGAGCTTTGGACAGCAAGTGCAGGAAAATATCCCGTTGGTGTTTACCTGCTTCCCAAAAAGGTAAATTCAATTAACTTTTTTTTATGCTAATTAACTTTTACAAAACCTAATTATCCTTTGTGTCTTTGTTGTTTCTAATTGTTTCCTTAGCTTGACGAGGAAGTGGCCGCTTTACATTTACCTCATCTTGGTGCTAAATTGACTAAATTGACTCAATCACAATCTGATTATCTTGGTCTTCCTATTGAAGGTCCTTTCAAACCGGAATTGTATCGATATTGATCAGTTAATTAACTCGTTTCTCTTTTTTTTTCCATTCATTATCATGGAAAATTTAACTCGCTTAGTAACAACAATTAAGGGGAAAAAATATCTTTGTGTATTTTTGGAATCACTCTTTTGGACTTTAACATAATCAACTAATTGTCAATCAAACTAATCCCAAGTTCACGTTTTATATGAGATTAACGATTAACTTTTTGTTAATCTCATTAAAATTTGTTTAAGAAAAAAAAAAGTTTAATCCAAGTTTATTTGGTTAATTTCATTCATCTTTACAATATAAAAATATCTCATTTCAACAATCAGATTTATTCATCTAATCAACTGAGCTTATAAAACTTTCCCAACAATTGAATCTCTACAATCTAATCAACTGGAAGAGTAATCAAGTACTTGTGATTAAATCTCAAAGATATCAAATAATTAAGGCCGAAATCAGGTTACAATCACTTGAAATTTAAAATCAATTTCTCACAGTTAATCAAATTTAGTGGAAAAAAGCTCAACACCAATTAAGTTTTCATGAGAATAAACAAAAATTTCATCCTGAGACTTGAATCAATCAGAATTTGACTTAATTTGATTGCTATCAAAGTAAATTATCAGTGAGAAATTATCAAAGTTCACAATTAGAATTGATTCCGCGATCCATTGGTAAGTAAATTAGTTGAAACAATTAACTTTATCATCATTGATAGTGAACAACTACCAATGTATTAATGAAAGCAAGTGGTTTTTTCTTAATCATTTACAGCTTTTAATTGCTGGCAAAGGATATGAGTTATATTAGCAATTAGTGTCATTGTAACTTGTTACAATTAATCATCTAAATTGTCTCTGTAAAAACCTGTTAATCATGTTGATGAATCTAATATTAGTTAAATTGCTTCCTTTTGTTATTTCATTTCAAATGATAATTGAAAAAATACAACTTAACAATTAACATCACGGTTAAGCAAATCAACAATTAACAATTAAAAGTTTAACAAACTCATAGATGTGATTGTTTCACAATCAAATATGAATTGTAAAAATAATTGTAGGTAAAAAAGTAAATAATGATACGATTTTTTAATTGTCATGTTAATTGTGATACAAAACCCAATCAGATTAACTCAATCAAAATAATTGGTTAATCAATTGATGTTTAATTATTTTCACTTTTTTCCGTCTCAAATGTAACAAATTGTTACTAATAAATTTACTTGTCGTTTTGAAGCTGTTTGAATTACTACTGATTAATTGATTGTTGTAGGGTAAATGATTGGATTTCTTGACGAATTAATTTAATAGAAATAGATTTTTATTATTAGACTGTTAATTTAGTTAGAAATTGATTGTCAGAGTTGCAAAAACTTTCGACAACAATTAAACTACTTTAACGGGAAAGCGATTACAGAAAACAGTTTCACTTGTGGCAGCATTTTGAAGGCAGAACTGAACGGAGGTCGATATGGATGGAGCGATTCCTGGAATGGTCAGTGATGATTTAAGAGTATAAGCTTGACCTGCTACAAGGGGACAGGTAATGTCGGTACCACAGTTAACTGGAGGTGCACCAGGCCATGGAATCCAAACACCGAAGACTCGAGCCTTAATTGCGACTTGCAAGGAATCAGCAGCAATCGGAGATTCGAAACCGAAGGCAAACTCATAAGTATTTCCTCTTTCTACTGAACAAGGAGCCTCATCACAACCGGAAACAGAAAAAGATGTTGGCTGATTTGAATCATCGCCTTAAATCACAACAATTAAGCGAAAATCATTACAATTAACACAAAGAAATCAGAAAATAATCAACAATTTACTTACCACAATCTTGGAATTCAATATCACCAGCAAAGGTGAAACTTACCAAAGCACAAAGAATCAAAGTCTTAATCATTTTTACAATTCTACAATTAAACTAATTGTTTTAGATGAAATTAACAACTTGACTGTTGGATACAATCAATGGCTAAATACCCTAATTGATTTGATTGATATTAATTGTAACAAAAGAACAAAAAAATGGCCAATCTAATCAATTAGTAAATTGTCATGATTTGATTATCATGAATCAAATGATTATTACTCTGATAATCTACAAACACAATTAACTTTCACGGGTAATAAAACTTAGTCCAATTGTGATTAAATCACTAAACAATTAACTAATCGTTACTTTTTTGTTCAACAACAAGTGTACATATGATTAAAATTACCAATAAAATAATCAGCAGATTAACAATTAAACTCGATTAATTAAAGTTCAATTGTTAATCGTTACAAGTCAATGTTCAATCAGAATCAATTACAATGAAATGATTCATCAGAAATTAATGGTCAAGTTTATGCTCTCATTTAATTAACTTCAACAAATAACCTAATTGCAGATGAAACTTATTGATTACAATTAAATAGATCGATTCAAACTGATTGTGATAATAATTAAATAGCGAAACAAAACTCGAACGAGGCCACGACAGGAGATACAATTAATAGGAAAAAAATGGTTTGATCTTAAATCGCGATTTGATTTTATTGCGATTAGTGTTTTTATCAGAGACAAAGTCAAAGTCGAGGATAAAATTACATGTTCAATGCTGGAAATTAACGCGTCTTGATTGTCCAAAGCTCGACTTTTCCAATGAATTAAATTGAATTATCTCCTTCTTTTCTCTTGCACTCCTGGATAATAGTGTAGGTGGATTTATAATTGATGATAATAATAATATTAAAAGATTTTTGATTGTATATAAAAATTTTGTATATAAAAATAATTAATTATTAATTAGAAAAAATTGTCAATGTCAATATTGTTATAAAGGAATTGATTACCAATGACCAATATTTAAAAACCTTGTTACCCGAAGAAACTGAATTGGATGATAAAATAGTTGATGATGATGATGATGATTGTTTATGGTGGTCATCATCATGGTCATAACCGTCATTGTGATGATGATCAGGATCATGAGCTGATCTTTTACTTAAATTATGATGAACTTCAACATGAGTGGATGATGAGGTTCCGTCTGATTTAGAGACAATTTTAACCTCAGGGGGAGCAGCGTTATCGGCAATAAGTGACATGATGTGAGATAAGATTGCATCATCGGTACCATTAGAACTGATTGATGATGAAGATGATGAAGAAGATGATGAAGATAAGGTCATTCCATCGGATCCAAAGAAATCAAATGGTCCAGAATTAAAAGATTCATCTATTGGTTGGGTTGTTGTTTCCGGTTGTGATTGATGGTCACCAAAAGTGTTTGTTGATTGTGATTGTTGGTTAATTGTTTCAGTGTATGATGATAATTGACTAGAAGATGAATCTGAAGGTGAAATTGAAACAGATGAGGAGGATGGTGCTAGTGAAGATGCTGATGATGAAGGAGATGGAGATGATTGTGAGGAAGATGATGGAGGTAAAGATGATGAAGATGAAGGTGCGATTCCATAATGAGATGGATAAAATGATGAGAAAAATGGATAATCGATAATCGGATGACTAGAGATTATTGGGCTGCTGAAAAGGTTAATTGGCACCGTTGATGTTGGTAATATAATCGGTTTTGAATTGAATGGAACTCCAGTTAATCCTTTCTCGATTATGCTTGGATTTGATTGTTGTGGGTGAATAGATGAAGATGGTATGAATGATGGTGAAGATGAAATATCAACGGATGAGGGATCGAAAACTTCTGAAGATGAAGTTGACTTTTTGTCTTCTCCACTGCTAACATTTTCCTCAGATGAATCAGTTCCATGTAGCATTGGATAAATATTACCCAAACCAAATGATTGATTAAACATTTTCATGATAACTTGATCAAGTGTTGATGTTTCTTTTGAATTTAATTTACTGGCATCAATATTTTCACCTGAGGTTAATTCACTTCCCATATTTGCAACAGGTAATAAAATGTTTTCCCATTTATCTTGATCACTTGTTGGACGGTAACCTAAATTGTTCAATTCAATTGGACTAAAGGTTGTATTAGCTGCCGATGTTGTAAAGTAATAAGGTAATCCAGTGATTGGGTTACGGGTTAAATCGAAGCCTCTATTAAAGAAAGATGATGAATCTTTTGTTGATTGTAAGTCATCGAGTGTTGTTCGAGGTTGTTCAGTTGTTACTGTTGTTGGACCTTTGGAGTTAATTAGTACAGGAAGGAAGCCACCATGAAGATTTTCAGCTAATCCAGTTTCGCTTGAATCACTTGAAGTTGGTTGTTTAGTTGTGGTGGTTGTTGATGATGGTAATGATGATGATGAAACTTGATTGGGTTTAGTTGTTGTTACTAATTTAGCTGATACAGTTGTCATCGGTTTGGTTATTAGAGGTGCGAGTGTTGTTACTGTGGTTGGTTTGGTTGTGGGAGCTACTGTTGACTTTTTCCTTGCCACTGGAGCGGTTGTAAGTTTATTTAATTTGGGTGCAAGTGAACGAGGAGGAGTGGGGGGAATTGGAGGTGGAAGTCGTTGTCTGACATAAACTGGAGTTCGTTTCATTTGATTTGGATTAAAGGGCGGCGGTGGTGGTGGAATTGGTCCAATATGCATATCAAGTGGTCTTATGGGCCCAAAAGGGGAATTAGGTGGTAAAGATGAATAAAGAACAGGTAGTGAAGGTGTTACGTATCGAGGTGGAAAGGTGAGTAAGGGCTTGCATAACTTAGAACTGGCTTCCTTTCTCGAAATCGGATATCACCATTAACAGCATCAGATGGTTGTTGTTTTGGTCTAACTCGAACTGTGCCATTCTTGACATTAGCGTTGCTGGTTACGTTTGTTGGTAAGGAGGATGGAGGAATAGCACCACGAGCTCGATTGCTTGGTCCAGTTTTACGCTGTTTTTTCTCGGCTTTACGACGAGGAGCAATTTCCAAGTTCTGGGCTGATGAACCGATTCGGGTTGAGTTATCTGCAGTAGCATGATAAATATGGGTAATCGAAGCAGATGCTAATTGATCACATGAATCCACTACTCTGATCTTCCAACCGAGGTACCGATGAGTGTAACATTGATAATAGACAATGTCTGGTGTATTTGCATCAGGTTTCCATCTTAAAACTCCTGGTTCTCCAGATGAACATTGAAGTGACAAAGTTCGTTGGAAATCAAAGAAATCTTTAAAATCATCTGGTTGCTCCCTTGTTCGAGTATCTATTTTCCACTCACAGAGACGACCCTCAGCCGTTGGAACTAAATCACCTCGTTTGGTTATTCCAACACCAGCGAAAATTCGTTCTCTGCTTCTTTCTTCTCTTGTTTTATGGTCAAATCCACCTTCAGCTGAGTCAGTTATATAAAGAGGATGATGTCGAGAAGAGTGAACCTTATCATTTCCACCTTCAACAATGAAGGTGTAAGTTTTACCTCGTTCAACAGTCAATTCTGGAACAATTAATCCATTAATATACCAAGCGATTCCCCAGCCAACTTTACCAGTTATACCTTGATAACCTTTCTTACCACCTACTGGTCCTATTTGAGCACGGAAAGTGTAATCAGAGGGACAAATAACCGGTGGGATATCCCAAACTGCTGATCCAACAGTTGATTGTGGCTTAGGTGAACGAGGTGGATAAGCTGATGGTGGGGATGATGTTCCTGTTCTTGAAGATGTTGATGATGGTGTTGAAGATGATGAGCCAGACAATGAGGGAGTGGATGATGATGTTGTTGGTGATGATGCTTCTGAATTAGGACAATTCCATTTAGGTGTTCGAGCAAAATCGATAAAAATATTACTACGGGATCGCAATCGATGATAAGATACTTCATTTCGATCATTTAATGGTCCAATCGCCCAAATAACTGCTTGATTACCATCACTATAAACATGCTGGTCGAATCTATCATCAACTGTTATTGTGATTAATAAATTGCAATAATCATCAAATTGGATGAAAAAAAAAGAGACATAAAAAAGGTTGAGTTAAACTTCATCCGTTAATAATAATCAACTACCCGTTGACAAGTTAAATTATAATCCAATTTATTGATAAAAATAGACTCAAAAAACATCAATTTATTTTCACCTTAACCTTACTGAGAAAAAAAAACCAAATTGTAATCAAAATAATCAACAAATAAAGATCGATTATGAATAATTCATTTCCTTAAATAGCTGTTGATAAACTATTTGATTAGCAATTAACCTTCAAAAAGTTTATTCAAGTTAATTATTAATTTTGTTGACGTTAATTGATCAAAAAAAAGTAAATCAAGTAAGAATTAATAAAAAAAAACAATTAAAGTTAACCAGTTCAATAAACTTCAACCATGGAGACTCATGTAAATATCCTGAATATTCATTCAAAAATAAGGTAAATTTGAAAAATTGGTTGAGTAAATTGTAGTTGTAATATTTTGATTACAATCAATTTAATAAATTAACACTTACTCTAAGTGTTTGATTATTGTTAAACAAGTTGAACTCAGTTGTTGACGATAAGTGTAACCAAAACTGAGTAGTATTCAAGAGTCAATTCTTGTTTTAATTGTTAATGTTTAGTTGATTAATGACTAAAATTAAGTATCAATTGATGAGAAGTTAATTTAAAAATCATTCTCACCTCCTAATTGTGGCCGTTTAAAGGTAACCAAGGTAAATCCATTAACGAGAGCTGCATGTAAAAGTGTGATGCTATCTGATGCTCCTGAGTATTTCAAGTCAGGACAACTTCCGCTTGTTCCAACACACTAATTAAGGAAAAAAATATGAGATTAATTAATTAGCAACAATCTTGTATTGCAAAACCTTGAATTAGATATTATCTTAAGTGAAATTCAGTATCTTTTGAAAAAATGATTCTCATGTGTAATGAGAAATCGTAAAACTTTTTTACTCATCACATTGAATTAATATTTTTTCAAGAATATTTGATTCACAAATTAATATCAACTTTTGCATCTTTAATTATCTAAATTTTCCGATTAGCTTAATTTTGGACAATTTGAAATCCAATCAGAGTTGTAATTACCTGTTCCTTACTACCAAGATAGTAATCAACAGCATGACCCTTTCCATTTGAATCGAACCAGGTAACAACAGAATCAGATCCAACCATATTGGATTTAGAGTCATCTTTAGATAATCCAAACGCCATATATTCATTGGGCTCTATTAGTGAAATAAAAGGTAGAACAATTAAGAAAAAAAAGAACAAGAAAAGCAAATTGAATAGGAAAAATTGACACCAGTTAAAAGTATGTTAAATAAATGACTGAATAATCAGATTAAATCGGTCGACAATAACGATAACAAAACATGATAAATATTAATGGATTAACGGATTTAAGGAGAGAGAAAAAAAGAAGTAAACAAAGAAATTAAAAAGAAGAGAAATTGATGGAAAAAAATTTCATCAATCCATGAATTTCATGGTAAGTTGAGGGTCAAGATCAGGGTCAAAATAATGTTTCAAATGAAATGTTGCTATTTAGAGCGTGTTGATTGATGCTGATGGTAAAGATGAAATAGAATCAAATCAAATGATCAAGTGCATGAAGAAAACCAACAGAGTTAACTGGTTATAATCAAAGTGAAACTATTTACCTATTTTACCAACAAGTTGCATGACAATATCATCTCCGTCCATTACCCAACGTAATTCAAAGCCAAGTTGATCATAGAGAACTTCACAATTTAGTTTACTCTATTGGATAGAAAAGATTAACATTGGATTAGTTCAGAATTGATTGATTAATGTTTTCTATTTTATTTCTTAATCTACCTCTGGTTTAACACCGAGCATTTTTGGTGAGGAGGAACACGAATATTTTGAGGTATTCGAGTATTACCAAAGTCTACTTGATACTCTTCACACCAAACGCCGATATAATCATAGTCCCAAATTGTTTTGCCTTCGGGAAGTGAGATAACCACGGTTTCACCTGAGTAACGTCGTAAAGGTTTTTCCGAGCCGTTTTCATCCTTTAATCTTAAACCCGATGAACTTTGCCGTGAACCTGCAGTAGCCCACCAATAGCCGGCTGGACCTTGGCCATCATAATGGAAATCATTGATGAGAAAAGTTTGTGCATCAACTATTGTAATTGGGCCTGATTTAACTCCATGGTCTAATTGTGACAAGGGACGAATCTCAACCGGAGTTGGTATGATTAAATTACGAGGAACATTGATATGTCCAAAATTGGCCTTAAATTTACGACACCAAACGGAAAACCATTTGATATCTTTAAATGTTTTACCCTCAGGCAAACGCAAGACAATATCCTTATTTGTATATGCTCCAAGTGGTTTGGTCCTGTGATTGAAGTAAAAAGAAAACAATTATCAACAATTAGTAGATGATTAGAGTAGATTCTTGATTTTTAATTTCATTTTTAGCCTCTTCTCATAATGTACACAATTGTTATCATGTTTGTACAATAATTAGTAAGATTATTTATGTTTTTCATGTTACTATTATTAAAACAAAATTAATAATTGTAATTAATAATACAATCATCATCACCATCATTAGGCTTAACATGATAAAATTAAAATCTAATGTTTATATTATGGTGAGTTTATTTTTTTAACGATCTCTCCTCCTAACTTTTAAATTGCAATTTAATTAAGGTGAGGCTTTAATTATGATGCTATCTTCAAATGTGATCTAAAAACTAAAAGAAATGTATTTTGATTTGATTTCAATTAACAAGAAAAGTAAATTAACCAACAAAAATTAATAATTTACTGAATTGGTATAAAACTTTTTTCCCTCATCTTTTCCTACAATCAAGTTAATTTAAAATTTGCTAAAATTAAAATTGTATTGTAATTAAATTAATTTTTACACTAAACTTGTGACACAATTGATCAACCATTAAAAATCCTTTGTTTTATGCAATAATAATTAACAATAATGAAATTAAAATTAATTCACCAACGCAAAGGTAACAACTTTTTTTTTCTGCACAAAAAGTTATGAAAATAAGGGAAAAAAACAAAACGGATCAAATTATAATTAACTTAGTAGATTTGTTAATTAATCGACTTACGATCCTTTCTCATCTGGTACAATGAAACCCGTCACATCGGGATTGGTTGTGGTTCCAGCCCAGAAATAAGCGTCAGGAGCTGTTCCGTCATAAGAAAATCCTTTAATGAAAATTGTGTTTTCATCGACTGAGAAAACATCCCCAGCAACATTATGCAAAGTAGTGTCCAGTTTACCGATATAAGTCCCATAATATGGACTTCGCTGGGATTGTCCAGAGATTAATCCACCTACGATAAAAATAATCAATCAATATAATATGAATAACCAATCATTAGGTAAAAAATGATAATTAATTTGTCTCATAAATCAAAACAATAACGAGATTTTCGCTTCTACTCATTTCAATCATTTTAATCAAAAAGTAATCAATCAAATTATTTGTAATTCCAATCACAATATATTGACCAATAGATGATGATATTATCATCATGGTGATTATCATTTTGATTCAGTTTGATGAAGAAAAACAATAGTATTCAACATAATTCATTTAACCTCATCCATCATGTTTAATATTAGTTAAATCATTATAATAAATCAAAGTAAAACAAGACATTGATTTTAATGAATGGACTTGACTAGATGCAATTAACTGATAACAATTGTAACAAATGATGTTCACTCTTGATTAAGATTCAGGTTGATCATCATTAAAATCATTAGTTTATGATAAAAATGATTAATTAACTAACAACAGTTGACATTGATACGTTTAACTGTTAACAGCAAAACTATTGATGAGATTGGTGATACTAAAGATAATAATGATCATGATGATTGATAAAAACTTGATTCAAATCGTAACAATTTATAATAAGAACCAGGAAACAACAGACAAAAGATAATTGTAAATGATTAAGAGATGAGCAATTACACCAAGCAATAATAATAATAATAATATTGACCATCAAAAGTAATGTCAATGTTGATTGTTAAGAGCGATAAACATTGAACGATCAAATTAACCTAAAAATGGATAATAATAGTTAATTATAATCCAAGACATAACTTGGGATTAATTGTTGATTAAAATTGGTTTATAAGGATTGACAAAGATAATCACTGTCACCAATGTTAATCAGCTTTTCACCGTCAACCCAAAAATACTGTTAATCGCATTTAAAAACTCAATTCAAATCAATCCGGTTACTCGGTTAGTATATTTTACGATTATTCCGGTTACAATTTGACCGCATTCCAATCAAATGTGATTATTTATCATCAAATGTTAAATTTCTTATCCTTTTTTTTTCTCATCCTCATCATTTTCTCATCTTAATCATCTTCACAAACCATCAGAGTCAGAAAATTATCATCTGATTGAGTTCATCATCACCATCTTATTATTTTGTTGTTAAATATTAACGGGATTGTAAGGTTGATTTAGTGTTAACCGAAATTGTTGTTAATAATCACAACACCAATCAGCTCAATGATTATTATAATAACCAAATGATGATTAATATTTTAGTATTTAAATCACAACTAAATTATATTATATTTATTGATAATTTAATTATACATAATATTTGAAGGGTTGTTATTGTTGATTATGAGAGCTGTCAATCAACAGCTTATTGACAACAATTAAGGTTTATTAGAATGAATGACTTTGACAACTCAATTGAACAATTAAATTTGATTTTGGAAAACAAAATCAAGATTAACTGTAAAAATATGAAAACAATTAATAGAAAGGGAAATGATATTATTTTTAGCATTTGTTTACATGATAATCAAAAGTTAACTTCTTAATTTGATGTTTTTTACTTTCTCGTGAGAAATGATCAACGACAACACATATGACAATCAACATAAACAATTAAAAAACTTCATCATCTTGTTTACAAACAAAAAAAGGCTGATAACCTGATGATGATGATGATGAGAAAAAAAAGTTTCCTCAATCGTTGGTGTGTTGAAATAATCATCGTTACAATTACCAACATTAGTAATCGTGAGTAATCATCAATTAGTATAAACCTTAATTCATTGATTGTAATGATTAATGAAAGTGTAAAATGAAAAATCTAAAATTAACAACAGTTTAGGAAAACAAGCAAACCTTTGATTGGAATTAAATTTATTTCTTTCACCAAAGTTTCGTTGAATGATTGAAAATGAATTGTCTGAAAGGTTTGATTGTTGCTAATTCATGTCAATATATTCAATATTATTTTTGATATCATGATCATTATCAATCTTGATTGTAGAAAAAACTTAAATGGTTAATTGTTGATTAACCGTCAAAATTGAAAAAAAAAACTATGGGTCAGCGGAACTAAATTCATTGTTATGATCGTTTTGTTTATATAAATAACTTTCTCATCATTACAATAACTTTTACATGAAGATGAAGATGAAGACGATAATAGTAATCATCCTATTCTTATAATTATAATCTTTTGACAATTGGTAATAACTTTTCAAATCAACACTTGAATATATGTGTAGGTATTTAAATATGGGTTAAACAAGGTAACATCAATTGACCTAGAAGATGATGATGATAATTAAAGAGATGGGAGAAAGAGAAGGTTTGTCTTCTCTTTCTTTTCATCATCATTGACGAGCGAGAAAATATAAAATCAGCACGAGCAAATCATCTCATCATTATTGTTATTGTTGTTTATTAGAATCAATTGATTTATTGATTGTTCAGGTGAATATGTAACTGACAACATCAACAACAATCTCGTAATCATCATCATCATCATTATTTTTTTGTTGTTGTTGTTATTATCACTCTCATCTTCCACTTCAGGCCTTCATCCTCTTCCTCATCATCTATTTAAACAATTATCATTATAACCATTTAAATGATGGTTATTATTATTATCTTCATCATCATCATCATCATGGTAAACATTGATTTTTATGGTGAAACTTAATCAACATTTACCAATGATGATAATAATAACATAACTCATCTTCAATGAAGATGACAATGAAAATTGTAAACAAACAGATCACTGTCAATGTTGATTATGATCATTTTCATCATCATTATCATTTGATTGCTGGTAAGATAAAGGTCAAATCGTGAAGTAATTTATTACATTAATATAATGGTCATCCCTTATTATTATTACCTAACATACAAACCTATTTCATGATACATATTTTTAAATAACAATGATAATCATAATAGTAATTCAATCAATTTGGTATTACTATTATTTAAATAATTATCAATGAAATCAGACAAAAAAACCAATCAACATAAGAGCTAACAATCAATTCAATGTTACAATCACTTAACTGCATTAACAATTTACCCTCTAAAAGGTTACCCTTTTGATGATTACCTTAAGATGATCATAAAAAGATACCCTTAATCACGCAAAAAGGGATTGTAATTAACTTTTAAATTGATTAAATTTACTTGTCCAAATAGAGTAAACTTGTAATCAGCAAGCACACAAACAATCAATTGAGCAGTGACAATCAGAATCAAAACATGACTGATCATGTTAATCAAAAAGGTTAACAATTAACAATCGAATTAACAAAAAAAATAACCGATTTTGCTAAAAAAGATTGAATTTGTAATCAATTAATTGAAATTATTGATGGTTTACAATTTTGATTGATTGGTCAGTTGAGCATAAAAGATGGGACATACATCATAGAGAAGGAGACTCAATTGCGTGTAATCAACAGGCACAAAATAAGCCGATTTTGTTAATCACAAGCAAATTAGTTTTCATTGAATTTGACAGGACAACAATTAATGAATAGCAATAATTCATTATCAATGTATTATCATCAATTTATATTACAATTAATGTTATTGATGAAAATAACGGTAAATAATATGAACTAATAATGTCGATGTCTTTTATCAGAATATTTCATTTTTTTTTCATCAACTTGAATCCTCCATAGGGATTGTGATAATATGATCACATTTGAATGAGCTGAATATGATGATGAAATGATGAAGAAAAATGATGAGAAATGATTCTAATGATGATAGCCACAGAAAAGTCATTCAATTATTTTTCTAGTATCACCTTTTCATCCGCATCACTTTTATAGTACATAAAAATATTGATCTAAGATGATTCATCGAAAGGAGAAGAGAGAGAAAGATGAGGATGATAATGATGTTTAGGATGAAAAGATGACTACTCATAGGGATGCTTTGTCATTCTTATCTTCATCATCTTGTTCCTATAAAGTTTCACTGCCTCTTCCACAATCCAGAGTCATCTTTATCCTCATCCTTTTCTTGCTCATCAACCCACCATCCGATTAAAACTGTACTTTTCATCCTTGTGTAAATTCAACTTGACTGAATCATAAAAATATTTTCATCATCCTTTTGTGATGCGGATCATGATGATTGTTGTAACAAGATTTTTCCATTTTATTGAGCGTGTTACATTCATTTAACCTTGAAATTGCTTCAGCATCTTATTATCTCTCTACTTTCAATGATGATAAAGATCAATAGAAGAAGAAAAAAATCTAATCTCAATATCACCCATGATGATTGATACAAAATGGTCAATGATAAAATTGACCAAATCTCTACCAACAGAATGATAAAACTCTTTAACCACCAACCCTTATTTACTTTCACTTTCCAATCAATACAATCAATTGATTATTATCACAATTAATTTTCCAATCAATTGTTTTCAAATCAACTTCTTGTCACCTTGATCAGTTCCCATGTTATCATCAATGAATATCAACTGAAATTATCTCTTTCTATCCCCATGAACTCTATATACTCATAAACAATGGAACTTTTCAATTTGTTAAATATTATTACTACAATTGATAATTTCCCTTTCTCTAACATCTTAATCTAATTTGATAACATAAATAGAAAAATTAATTTAACATTTCATGTAATTCGTGATAATATCAACAAACTACTCAGTAAACGTATTCGCGATTGTATTAATAATAAAATAACAATAATAATAATCAACATTATGATTAAATCGTTGATGATTTTCTTTTACATAATCAGAAACAATTTAAGAAAAACGTTGTAAATGCAAATTGAATTGACCTATTAAAAAAAAGTAACTTTTGATTATCATCATTAACATTTTTCATTATGATTCCAATTCAATTAGGTTTACCTGGAAACATTTCAATTCATATATTACCTACAAAATAAATTGTAATCATAATTACAGTTTATTATTAATCATTGTTGTTATAAATGATTATGGTTTACCTTAGTTATTTTTTTCTGGTTACTACATTTAGTTAATTGTTACTATTAAAAAACTGTTACCAACTACTATTACATGATAATATTAGTCTGGTGAGTCTTTTGGGTGATTAGTTAATTGCTGATGATTTTTTTTTTGTTACCAAATGAAAGTGAACAATCAATCAAAAGATTGCACTTTTAATTAGTATGCAAATTAATTGCTTATTGATTGTTTCATGTTTGAATTAGAGATTAGAGGAATCAAAGGAGGGGAAAATGATGATAACAATTTGTTGATTAGCAAATGTTAATCATATAATAATAATAAAACTATAACAATTAAATGGGAATTGTGTAAAAATTTCATCTCATCCATCTTCATTGTGACCCAATTGAAGAGACAATTTACCGACAAATTTAGCAATTTAGTTAGACTGTGATGATTAGGATGAGGATGAGAAAACCTGGAAAATGATGATGAGATAAATGAAATTTACCCTGAGGGCAAATTTGACCGGAGGTAAAAAAAAAGCCGCTAATAACAAGGGATTGGTTTCATTCATGTTGTATTGGTAGTATGATCAAGTTAATCAAGTAGATTCACTTTGATTAAGATGAACATCAATTAGATTATATCGAGAGAGTCAAATTGAAATTGTATTAATATTTACTTTTCTACTTTAATTGTTGTTGATCAATAGCTTTAATCATATCAACACAAGCAAACTATCATCAGACAGATATTTAATTATTATCAATCAATCAATCAGATGATTTAGCTGAACAGCAAATTGTAATTAATTAATTCATCAATTAAGGTAAATCGAGCATTTTATTTTCAATGATTTGGTGAAAAAAAGGGAAACATTGATAACAAAAATCAGTCCTTACTAATCATCATCATACTAATCAAAAGTATTAATATCAATTATTGGTTACAATTAATTAATACAGTTATTAGAGTCAATTGATTACAATCTATTAATATAATCTTTATATGATTAGTTAATTTGATAAAATTGTAACCAATTTTTTGGTTAAATAGCTGATTACAGTAGCGAGGATACGATTATGCTGATTGCGAATAAAGTTTGGATATAATTAACATAATCTCAATTAGTTAAAATTGAGATCACACTAAATCAATAGTATTTCTGTTTGGTAATTAGAAAATTGTTCAATGGTGGATAAATAATTGGATGTTACTTTCAATTGTGTTGATAGTTTTTTTTTGCTTCATTCCAATTCACCATTACATCAATTATCAACGAATCATCTGAAAACAAATTAACAAACTGATTGTTGAAATGTTTTTTAAGATGACCTTGAAATTTGTCAACAGTAACAATCAATAATCACAAGTGAAATTGATTAACCACAAATTGGTTAATCAGTGTTTCTATTAATATATTGGGTCAATAGCAAACATCAAATTATTTGTAGAAAAAAAAAAGTTTTAAAGTTAATTGTTGACAGTTAGTGTTGAAAAAAACTTGTGGACTAAAATTGTAGAAGCTTAATTGTTGTTGATTAGTTGGATGGTTGAACAAATCGCAACAATTAAATATTCGACGAAAAAATGAACAAGTAAGAGTTTTTTTTAAGAAGATGACAAAAAAAACAATCTAAATCTTTTTTTCTCAGGTTTATCTACAATTAAAATCCACCAAGATTAGATGAAGAAAAAAATCAATTGGTATCTAATCTATTTTCAAGCAATTTACTTTCTATTCTTGAACAATTTAACCAATTAAAGTACAAAATTGTATATGACTGAGTAACTTTTTCTTTACTATTCTCTTATAATCAACCATAGTTGATTTTAAATTGATCTAATCAAAGGTAATGAGTATAAAAAATTAACGAAAAAAACAATCAACATGATGATGATCAACTTTCCATAACAATTAATGATAATTGAATGTATTTTTTTTGTGTATTCTTACTGTTGCTAAAAAGTTAATCTGGTTTAATCTACAATCTTCCATAAGAACAAGTCTATTAATCACGTTTCGTTGATTATGATTAATGTAAAAAAAATACATTGACAGACACAATTGATTATAATCTAAATAAACAATCAAAAATTGAGTCAAAAACCTGAATAATTGAACAAGAACAACTGACATTCAATATGAATGAATAGTATCCTGGTTAAGTGTTAATCTAATCCAATAATCTAAATAGTGTATCAAATCTTAAAGATGATTTAGTTGACAATTAAGATTAAGAGGTAGATAGGGGGGAGGGTAAACAGAACCAATAAGATGCTAATAATTATATTATCAATTTATTATTAATAATAATTGTAATTGCTGATTGTATTACTATTATTAATAGTAGTTGAAGATAAGCGTTAAAGAGAGATGAATATACCTTGAGGCTTTTCAAATATTCGGGTTTAAAATAAGATTTGTTTTTCGGAGGAAGCAAATGAAAAAGGTAACAAATCGATTGGTCAATAAGAATTTTCAATTAATCTAAACTTTTTCTGCTCTCTAATTACATCATCATCATCATCATTATCCATAAGCACGTTGGTTAGGTGATGATGACCTAGAAGACATCAACATTTACCGGCTTTAAGAATATGATTATGTTAATATGTTTCATTTTCTTTCTGTCAACCATCATATCTTTTCACTAAATCATCAACATCATTATCATTTTACTTTCGTTCATGATCATGCTACTAATAGTAATCATGTTAGGAATTAAATATCACGCACATATCGACGTAATGAATAACATTTTTCTGTATTACACTGGTCACTACTTTAATATTCTAATATCATCATCATCATCTTGGTCTACAATTAGAGTTTAATAGTAGCTTGACTAGTTAATGAGGAAGAAAATAAGAGAAATGAAGATATTAGTTAATTAGCTTTCAAATAAAATGTCTATTAATATAAAACTCGTGCATCTAAATCAAGTGAAAGGAATCAAAGTTGGTTAGTTAATCTTTCTAATCTGTCAAAAAATAAATCATCACATCACTTTTTTGCTAAGTAACATAAGAAAAAAAGGAATAAAATCAAACTTCAGACCAAATCAGACATAAAATGAAATTATCTTTTCATATAAACAAGTAGAAAGAGTCAAAAGTGAAATGAAAATCTAGTCATCACATAGTCACAGTTAATAAAAAAGAGACAAAAAGATCAACAGATTAACACAATTTACTTACTTTGAAAGATTAATCCAAGGGTAATAAATGTTATCCTTGTGAGTATCATGTTAACTGTCGGTTAAATAATCATGTAAATGAGTAATAAATTGATGAGCAATAGAAATTAAAGTAATTAAAACGATCAAAAGAAAAATATTTATCCAATTAATTAGTCACAAGAGAGAAATTAAAATGGCGACACTTTGATTAGCAAAAGAGAATAGAAAAAAAAAAGTTCGACGATCGTTGATTGGCCGAAACACTTTTGTCATATGTTGATTAATGTTCCCAATGGTCCGTAGGTGGCGATGGAAACGATCACTATTGTTTTCCAAATCAATTTGAATTGTTAAGTTTTTCTTTAATGTGGTGATGATTAATTAACTAATTGTGATAAAATTTAAATTGGATTATAAACTGTGTGGATGATGAGGTTCCAAGTGATTGTGTTAAAAGATGAAATCACATCAAAACGAATCAACAAGATTAACCTTTACCTGTTGTTGCGTTTTCTTCACCAAACAAGTAACTATAAATGTGGATAAGGATGAAGATGAAGATGACCAAAAGAGAGAGGGAGAGAGAGCCGTGTGTTTTGTTACCGTTATTCAGGCTCACTCGGTGTTAGAGAGATAGATAGAGAGAGAGAGAGAGAGAAAGAGAGAGGAGGGAAAAGGTAAGTAAAACAAGTGATGATGATGATAAGAAAGAGAGATGATGAAGTCCGGGAGTTATGTTTATCATAATTTTTTTCTTCTCTCTTCTGATTTACTTTTTTTCTATTACATGTTGAACCACAACAGAAAAGAGAGGGAGAGAGAGAGAGAGAAAACAGCATTTCAAGTCTCACTCTCTATCATCTTTCTCCCGTTCAAGATCAGCGACCCAGAAACATATCAAGACTCTCATTGAGAGAGAAAGACTCGGGTAAGATGATGACGACTCTTATGAAGATGAACATCATCACCATCTTCATGCCCATCGTGATTGAAGCCTGAAGCATGACCCAACGGATAAGGTAAGCCTTATACAAAGTGTGTAAGTAATACCTTTAAAAAATGGACGAGGATCAAGATGAAAATTAGGTATATTTGGTTTCCATTTTTACCTTTATAAGGCTTTTCAATTTTACTATTACAACAATTGAATTTCATTGTTAGTATTTAAATTAAGCCTGTTCATCTTTACCACCAGCATCACCATCAATTTCATCTTCATCTTCCTCCATTTCAATCATCATCAAACCAGAATAGTAAACAAAAAGAGACCCAATAAAATCCCACCAGTGAAACTGAAAACCATTGAGGTTATATATAAATTTCAACACTCAACTAATAGCCAATTAACTTTAAACAATTAACTAATTATGTCATTTAATTGATTTAAAGATAATTTTTCTGATCAAATTGAAAAAAAAAGTGAGAAAACTTAAATTGTCGTGACCCATGTGAACAAGATCACCAACACGTTTAATTGTATATCATTTATCTGATCATCTTGTTAGGATGTAAGCAACATGATACATTAGCTTGTTGATTATTAACAACTGATTATTATGATGATACAAAAAAAGAGCGGGAATCAAATGAACCCAATTGAAAGAGGGAAAAAGTTGAGAAAACTTGATTAGATTAAAATTAGTGATTAAGAAAAGTGTATAAGAAAGAGATCAACCAACGATTAATGGGCTTGATTGTTGGAATACTAAAATGATATTCAAACAATTTCCTTAATTGTTGTTGCGAGTATTCAGACAAGATCTAAATTACAATTGAATCGATTTATGATTAGTAAACAATATGACCCAATATTATATTTTCTAAACCTTTTATTACCTATTATTATTTACCTTTCGATAAAATTAGGAGTGTGATTAGATTAAATTGTGATCCTTAATCATGATAATATGAATCTCTCAATATAATTACTATTATCATCAAACTAACATGAAGATCAACAATCAAAGTCTCTCCCACTTAATATAACCAAGGAAAACTTTTCCCCCCTCTAATTTGGTTGACCTTTACCGGTTACAATTAACTTAATCATTACTATTAACAGATCAACAAGTGACCTTATTTTACCTTAATTGACAATCAAAACTAATTACAATCTCCTAGTGTCCAAAAAGTTTATTTTGATTAAGTTTTAAAACTTTATCATCATTATTAATATTAACCAAAATATGATTAACTTTCATTTATATAATACTAATAATTTCTGATGTTAATACTACAATCAAGCTAATTGTTATTTTATTAATAGTTAATCATCTCAGGTAAATTCATCAGATGATAATTATAAAAACAAAAGTGAAATGTAATTTTGCTGTTTCGATTAACGGTAAAAATTATTATTTTATTTATATTTAATTTTAAATTGTTTAATTATCACAATTTGAGTTGTTGTTGATGATAATCAAACAGATGATGATAAAAAAAGATGAGGATGATAAATGCGTGAGAAGAAGATGAAGAAAAATAATCAAAAATGATTAGTAGTAAAAGTGAGAAGAAAAATTTCCCTCTCATTTTCATCATTCTTATTCATCATCATCATCATCATCTTAAATCATGATTGGAAATTATTAGTTTTTAAAAAGTAAATTAAAAAAAAGTAAAAACAAAAATTGGGAGACAATTAAAAGTTAATTGTGTAAAAAAGTAATCATGATGATAATATTAATCACAATTATATTAATAGTAATCAGAAGCATCTCTTTGAGGCATCGAAGTGATAAAACTGTGATTAGCTTAACTTAATTGCTATTATTGATTAACCTGATCAATAATAATCATTTAATGAAAAATAAATTGTTTCGTATTAAGATGCTGATAATATCCTTTAATTGCAACAATATAATCACAATTAACTTTTTGATTGGTAACAAGAAAAAGTTGTTTTCTTTTTGGATAAAAACTTTCACTTTGATTGTAAAATGATTAATTTGCAAACTATTATAATATAATACAATTAACTTTTACTCCGATCATCAATTTGATTATTGATCCACTAAATTTGATTGGAAATTTCTGTTAATCATCAAATGTGCTAATTACAATTAAATTATTACATTTACACTTTTCATTTTCCCGTTAACTGTTATGTTGTTATTATTACATCAAAACAGAAAAAGTTTAATATAAAAAACTCATTCAACCATAATCAAAGTAATCTCTTGATTCCTCTTCATCTTCATCATCATTTTCCATCCTCATCACTTGAAAGATGATAAGTTTATCTTCATCATCATCATATGTTTTTTTATACACACTCTGAATTATATCATGTAATCTGCTTCCAGATTGATGAACAAAACCTTAATAACATTGGGATAATCCATTGACAGAGATTAAGTATCTCTGATAAACAATGAAAAGGGGAAAAGGATTAAAATTAAATTGTTGATGAGTCACAATTTAATCACTTGATTATTATTGAAGAAAAGTTTTCATTTCAATCATTTAAATCCGATGAAAATAATAATAATAGATTGTTACTTAATTGTGAGTTCTTTACAACAATTTGATTGAAATCTGTCAGCGTAACAATTAATTTTCACTTTGATTAATTATAAACTTTTCTTTCAAATAATCCTAATTGAGTGCGTATGATTAGTTAATTTAGTTTCTCATCATTTGCTAATCTATCCCCCTTATCCGATTAGTTGATTGTTGTTAATCATTTCTCATTATGCGGATTTTTAATGAATCGGATTTACCTTGACATTCAGAGGATTAATATTTGTTACTTTTTCTCATGATAACCTGAATCCTTTTCTTTGCCTCTCCAATCATCACCATCATCCAGTAATCATCTTGATCATCATCATGGTATTTACGTCGGAATAACTGAATTAAAAATCTGGGTTAATCTGATTTATTTTTCTTCCTATTTTTCCCCTTTCATTTTGATTCCATTTGATTCTGATTGAATAAAGAATTGGCTTAATTTAACCAATTAATTTCTTCATCTGGTTTACCAAGATTAAAGGATCAGCAAAGATGATGATGATTTTCATAGTAACTTGAGTAAAGTTATTGTGTCAATGTCTTGTTACAATTGTGAATGAGAGAAAAGATGATTTCATCATGAATTCATGATGAATCCACAGGAAGGAAGGAAGAAAGAAAAAAAAATTGATGATTAAGATTCGGATGATAATGAAGATGAAGAGGAAATGATACATGATGATTAAGAAAACAGAAACCTAATCATTCAGAATGATGATGAGCTTTTCATTTAATGAATGTTAAATCTCAAGAGAAATTAGCAAAAAAAAATCACTGATTAATCAACCGCAATTAACTGCATATTTTCAAGGTAATCGTAAGAATCAAAATTATCAATCTTAATGATTAACATTGATATTGATAACAATTTAAAACTAGTTTATTAACAGTAGTAAATTGTTACAATAGTTGCGATATTTGATTCAATTGTTCATACTGATTAACATGATGATGATCAGGGTGAACGATAGAGAAAAGCTAATCTATTAACCAGTTAAGTATTTATCATGATGATTTACCCTCAAGAAGAAAAGAGGAAAAAAAAGTTAAAGTAAATGTTATTAGAAGAGGGTATTCAATGTTAATCATTAGTCTTACTCATACTCGTAACCAATTACAATGTATTCTTGTTGCTGTTTGTGTTACTCATTCAATTGCAGAGAAATTCAAGAAAAAGCAATAACCATCCAAGAAGATGAAGAGTATGAGTCAACCTTGAAATTGATAAAGAAGATAAAGAAAGAGAGAAAGAAAGAGAAATGAGTAAGAAGGGATTCTCTCCCTGAATCTCTCTGTGTGTTCAAAACCCTCCCATCATCATCATCATCATCTTCCTACATCATCGGGGAGTTTACACTCCAAAGGTGGTAATAGTTATATTATTATTAGTATTTTCCTCGGCGCCACCTTACGGTTCCAACTTTTCACTCTGTCAATTCCTATCAGAATATTGAGTCAGAATTGATAGAATCTTTTGTTCAGTTTCTCTTTCTCTCTTTCTCAGTGTGATATCTTATTCCGATTCTTGTAACAACAATTATCTCCATTTCTTTTTTTTGTAATGTGTCAAAATCGCCTTTAGGTAAATATCATCAGAAGGAAGATAGTAAAGTGTTAATTATCTTCCCTTATTCTTTTTCTCTTCATCATTATCATTTGTCATCACCATCATGAAGTTCAGTACATTGGAACAGTTATTTAACCATCATGGTGATGATAAAGTTTCACCATTAGAATGAGACGGAAGAAAAGATTATCTTCTCTCTTCTCTTTTTCTTCGTTATCCTTTGATTGAAATTAGAACTTTTTTTTCTCCATCAATTTTCGTCATTGATTGTGATCAATTTCTTAATTGTTCTTGATTTTCTTTCCTTTGTTAATATCTCTTTGGGAATTGTTCAACGTTTTCATCGTATCAATATGCCATTAATATTAACCAATGATAATTATGTTCTCCTTGATTCTCCTTCTGAATCACCTGATAGTTGTGAAATTAAATCAACAACAGGATCATCAACAGTTCACCAGCAAACAATTGGTAAATCATCTTCATCTTCTCGATCCATGCCAACGATATCTTCTCCATTTATCCAAGGATGGTTAAGACGACAATTAATTCCCGTTATCATCCGATCCAAAGTTAATGATTCCAAATCGTCCTGGAAAGGTTCAGTTGACTTATCAACATCTACGATGAAAACAAATGCAAATGAATACACAAATATGAGTAAATTATCGGCAACAATCAACAATAATATCAACTCAAGTAACTGTGCAATCAACAATCTAACCAATAATTTACACAGTAATTGTTTCACACCCAACCATCAATCTCCTCTTAAAAGTAAATTGATTGATAACTCATTAGAACTACAATCACAATCAGCTCCATGTACACCGAAGTTCATGATGAAACGTCCACCACCATTAGAGACAATCTATTCAACACCAATGACAATCGATTGTGGAGAGATTGATTTTCTTTCTCGACAATTAACTGAAAAGGATAAAATATTAACAGAATTACGATTAGAACTGTTATCAACGGAAGATCAAATTGAAGAGCTACGTGAATTAATTGGTAAATTAGGTAAACAATTAGTTAACCTAAGAGAGGAAAATAAAAGATTGAACAATTTAGTTGATTCACTTACAACACTTTCTTGTTATAAATTATCGAGAGTAAATGGACAATCTTCAAAAATCAACAATCAAAACACTGAACAATCAACAACAATCACAATCTAATCAAACCATTTTATTTAAAATCTTTTCACCTAATCAACATTTTCTTTCGTATTCTTATAATCAAATGTCAATTCATCATCAAATCAACATGGAATCAACATATCAACTAAATTGTAGCAAAATTTTTTTTTTTCATTTCTCACTTTACATATTATGCAAACTCCTTAGATACAGTTAATTAACCTTTTGTTTTAATTGTATTTCTCAATGATAAATTTTCTCAATCAAGATCTAATCATTGAATTGTGCCGGTAAATGTGCAATTTAACAGACACAAGATTAAAACCTAACCAATCATATTAGAATCACAATCAAGGGTAAATCGAAATGTAACCCAACATATAAATGGAAACAATTTAAGTGAAAATACAATTGGCTTTTGTTAATCTTTTCCATTCAATGTTGTTTTAATCAATTCTTTCTCTCTCTCTCTGTATATCAACACAAATAAATATTACTAATCATCTCAGCTTATTAGAGATTGAAAAAGACGCGAAAATTGTTGTCTCTTGATTATCCCAACGAATTGAATTAAGACGAAGATAATTAAGTTAATTACTTACCATTTTCTCTCCTTGGAATTAAGGTGACAAATTAACCTTGATTTGGAACGGAAGAAGAAGAGAGAACAATTTAAAATGGCGATGGAATGACGAAGAATTGGCTGAGTAAGGAAAAGAATTCACCTTGGAAAAGAAAGTGGGTGGAAAAGGAAGAGAATAAGAGAGAATAAAAAAAACTGAAGGTGATAATGAACAAGAGGAAGTGATTGTTGGTAAGAAGGTTACATGAAATTAGAAGAGAAAAAAAATAAAATTCTATCTGATTGTTAATCAAACAATGAACTTGAATGAGAATAAATTTTCGAAAATCAAGTCAACTGGTAAATCAACTTTTCTCTTGTTAATCAAACATTCAAATGGAGACAAAAACATTTTCCCTCCAATTTTATTCTCTTCACTTTCGTTCTCACTCTCGTTAGTCACTGTTGACTCACCGGTTCTCTTTTCTCTTTGGAACAATTAATTTTAATTTTCTGTTAATTGTTGGTCATTTTCTCGATTCCATGGATTCATTTTCTCTCGTGTTTTTGGTGCTTTTCGTGTGAGAATCTTGATTCGGTTTGGAGAATCTTTTGTTCTTCTCATGTTGTTCAATTTCTTTTCTCTCCGTGTGTTGCTATGGGCGCCATTTTCTTCTGATTTGTGATCTTCTCTTTTCTTTTCTTTTCTTGTCCTTTCTTTTTTGTTTTATTCGCTGGTTAATCTTTGTGTTGATTTACTTTGATTCCATTTCATCTTCTCACTTTGATGGTTGTGACAAATGAAGGATTATCTGTTCAATTGGTTAACAACTAATTCCACTTTTGATGATATTGATTGGACAATTGTCTCTGGTTGTGCTTTCATGATGATCTCAACCAGTTTCATCTACATTTATCAAAACTCTCGACTGGTCAAGCAATTTCTTTCTACATTTAGAGTGGCCATTGCTTTGTAAGTAATTAACTTCTACTATATTTCCAACATCCTCCTTTTTATCATCTTCCTTTACTTCATTGTCTTGATTTTTTATTTTCTCTTTTGAGACTCTGTCACTTTGAGAATCTATTTTTACATTCAAACGATAAAATTGAGAAATTGGTATCGACCGATAGACAACAAACAAAAACGTATCATTAATTAGTGACTTTTCCGGTTCCATGACCTGTCCTGTTGTTCATCCATCTTTTTTAATGATTATTGGAAAAAAAAGACGACACAGTAAAGGTCAATATTTTACCTTTAATAATAATTATCTCTACATTTACTTACCTTGACTGTTAATTGTTGACTAATAAATGAGGATGATGATTATTATTATTTTCTGATCCAGAAACAATTTTTTTTTTCTCTTGACCAGCATACATTTATTATCTATCTCTTACTCTTGACCTTAAATGTCTGACAAAAGTGAAAGAGAGAAAGAAAAATTGATCAAGAGTAGCCAACGATTAAGGGGTCAAGTAGATCAGTCAATTGAAGTCAAATGATTAAAGGTAAACTTTTAAGTAAATCAAGATGGTCACTATTAATCAATTTACCTGATCTTCATTTGATTATCTAGCATTTAAATTGACATGCAATTGATGTTGATCAACCTCCTTTATCCTGAAAACATTTTGATTGTTTTTGTTGATCAATCAAAATTTGATTTGATGATATTTAATTGACTTTGTCCTGTGTTCACTTTAACATGAAAAAATAACATTGAAACACTTACCTGGAGAAATGAGTAGGAACAACAAAGTTCACCCAAATGACAAAAATAAACCGGAAAAGGGAAACATTGGTAAAAAAAAATGTAATTTCCGCTTCCTTGAGATAACAAAGTGACAATATTCATAAAGACAAAATATTAGAAAATGATAATAACTCATAAATATCCAAACAATAAAGGAAACGAGCAAAATGACAAATTGTTTCCAATTAACCCTTAAGGGTAAATACGAAATAATCAATTTCTATCAACACTCAATTGTTGATACAATCTTAAGACAATTACATTAATCAATTACTCTAAATATTATTGAATTAATCACTAATCACAATGTACTTACATTGAGATGTTGATAACAATAATTACTTTTGGTTGTTTCTCTTTTTTTTTATTTCTCCTTCAATATCTATCGGTATTATTATTGTTCTTGTAACATATTAAACTTAACTCAGAACATTTCAAGATTAGATTCATGTATTACATGTTACATGATGATTATCTCATGATGAAAGATTAGATGGAAATCTATCCATCTTAAATATGATATATTTCTGAAAGAAATAACAATTTGGGTCAAGTGAATGACAAACTTTTCCAATTCATCTTTTTTGATTATTGTTGTTGTTTCAAATTCATGATGAATGGGTAATGTGATTCTTACTATTATCAAGTTTGTTTCAAGAATTATCTATTCTCCTGAATTTTATATATCATGAAATTCATGAAATTATTATAATTCAACCTTCATGTAAATGGTAATAATATAAAGGTAAACACTTTTGATGATAGGTTTTACCAATTGATGACCATCAATTTATTAAATTGTAATTTAAATTACAGAGACATTGAGTAAATTTAATTTCTTTTCAATTTTAAATTAGTTAATAAAACACAATTAACTTTTTCTCACTCAACTTTAATTAACATCTAATTTTCATTTGATTGCTGTAAACGTAGATGGAGTTACTTGATTTTCTGTGACATTGATTTGAATTTATTTTGAGAGTTAAATTTGTCTATTCAATTAATCAATTAATTGTTGATCATTTTTTAAATCTCTTACTATTATTATTAATAATTTTGTATTTTTTTCTTCTTCTCATTAGATTGTGATAACTAAAAATAAATCATGAACCGGGTCGACAATTAAAATTGGAGGAAAAAAAAATGAGCAACAATCAACTTATCACACCAATTTGATAGCAAACAATTTATAAATCAACGTCTAGTCAACAGTTAATTACCCACCACTACTGTTTCCATTCAGGATGGACAATTAAGGAACAATTTATTATTAGCAATTGTATTTCATCTTGTTTGTTTTAATCACCATTAGAATTGATTATCCTTCATCAGACAATTGTTTTAATCAACAACAGAAACAAACAATTAATTTCATCCTGACATTTACATATCACAATTTAAATTGTTATTAAGTGTGATAATGTTTTACAAAAGGAAAGGTTTTAACAATTAGTTTAGCCCACCTAAATATGATATTAGGTGATTAAGATGATGATTAAGATGGATTAGCTGTGTTGGGAGAAAAATGTAATTAATTAATTAAGTATTCAGATTTAATCTTAATTTTGTTATTATTTTTAATCTTTAATTTGATTTTTTGATTTTTTGAGTGTTTTTTTTGGTTGTTACAATTAGTTTTGATTGTAATTACTTTTTATGATTGACTTTTTCCTTGAAACTACTGATGTGTCTCTGTGGAAACAAAAATATTAACAAAAAGTTAAATTAATTTAATTGTTAACAAAAAAACAAATTGTTAATTTACTTTCAACTGTCAAAAAAAACCATTATGATTAAGTAATTGTAGTAATTTATATTATAATTTAACAAAATCAAAATGAAACAACATTTGATTATTAAAAGGGGACAATAATCATTGATCAGATTAAAAGATTGGAAGATAATTTTTCTTAATTATTTACAATTTGATTTAATTTCGTTAATTGTTATTTATATATTATCAGTGGAAAAGGTTTAATTATTATTATCAGATGAAGATGATTATGTTTGTTGTGATGATGATGAAAAAAGAAGCAAAAAAAAAATCAATTATGATTATGAATTAATTAAGTTTCTCAATTAACTTTTGATGTTGATTGTTTTGAAATGAGCAAGTTAATTGTTGACAACAATTAACGCGTCGTTTGTGCATTGGATTATGATGATTAGTGTTAAGGTCCAATTTAAATTGTAATCCAATTGAACGTAAACACTGATGATTAAAGGACGGTCAATGCATACCCATTGTTAATTGTTAATTGTTGATGATTAAGATTCACAATTAATGTTGTAAACTTTTTTCCTCTCGTTAATTTAGATTTGCAGGTTAATAATTATCATTGAGCGATCCAAATCAATTTAATTAATAATTAGGTTTTCTCTTGTATATATAATTTTGTGTCTTAATTGTTATTACAATTATAATTAGTTGTCTTAATTGTAACCATTATAATTAGGACGGGTAATCATAATCTAAATCAGATAATCATCATGATGATCATTATAATAATCACAACAACAACAATTAGTTAAACATTTTTGATAAGTTTTGTTTGTCTATCTGTTGATTAATTAATTGAAATTAAATTCGTTGTTTCCAACTTTAATTGTTGGCATTTAGTTGATAACAATTAATTAGATTAATTTATTTAGCTCTTTACCAGATGATTAAGTAAATTAATCTAATTGATTTGATTTTTCGTCGATTTTAAATTAACTTTCTTTCTTTTTTTAAATTCTATTTGCTCTCAATTATGATTAAAGTTAATTAGTTAACTTTTTATGTACTTTATCATTGAATTTTTTTCTTCATCTTGATTAAAGATGCTCTTAATCATGATTAAGATTGTCAATTAAATGGTTGATGATTTAGTAATTATGAATTTGTTGTGTGTGTGTGTGTTTGTTTGTTTGTGTTTTCCGTTGATACAAAAATTAAGTTGTTACAATCAAATTGATTGATTGTTGATCAAACATAATGATTATTGGTTCTAGTTGGTTGATTGTGATGAACCTTAATTGTGAAGATGGCGAGAGAAACAAATAACTTGATAAATATAATAATTAGTTAATCCAATTTGATTGTATCACTTTCCCCTTTCCTCCTTGATTATGATGATGATAAACAATTGACCGTCCATCTGATTGACTATAATAATAATAATAATCAAATAATTGATTTGATTTGATTTTTAATTGTTGAGCTACATCTCCATTGATGATAATCAAATATCCAAGGTAATTGATTGATTGTTTTTGTCCAAATTGTTTAGTATTTTTGTCAAAATAAACTTGATCATATAAAGTAAAACATATTAATCATCTTTGTCTCTCTTTCTCTCCACAGTAATTTAAACTAAATTAAAGTTAATTAGCCCAATATCACGACATAAGTTATCCAATAAACGACATTGAACAGACTGAACATTAGAGGAAATAAAATTCGTGCTAAAACATCAATACGTTTGGATCGAGTTTGAAACGCTGAGAACCAACGAGATAAAAAGTTCTGATTATAAGGGGCAGTGCGAACTTCCACTTGACGGAATTTATTACTGGACACCGGCGGGTTCGGCGATGGGGCCGGTCCACGAAGTACTGGTTTCTAAAAGTTCGTGAAAATGGACACAAGAGAAAACAAAAGGTTCGAAATCAATTTGAGATTCTCAATACAACATTCGATCGAGTTCTAATTTATGATTATCATTCCATTTCTTTCAAATTCTTCTTTTTAATTCTCTATTTAAATCTTAATTGTTTCTTTATCATTTACTAATCATCATTAGTTTGTCTCTTTAATTTTGTCGCAACTTCTTGTTTACTAATTGTGAACATTTCGATTAGTCCCTTTTAGTGAAATGATCCCTTCATCTTTTTACATCTATTTTTGGTGACAATTCACTGATTTATCATTAATTTCATTTATATATTATATTAATAGAACCTTAATTTGGTTTATTTAATTGATTCAATTAAGTAAACAGTTGGTTGATTAACTTTTTTGTTCATTCAACGAAATATTAGTTTCAATCTCTACCAATAGATGGAGACTCGTTTTCTTTAATTGTATTTTCAGTTTTTTTTCAATTTTCGTCATTGATTGATAATAATTATGATTTCTTGTGCATCGTAATTAAAATTACTAATTTGAGACGTTGGTTGTATTGACGATTTAATTTTGGGTGTTGTGTAAAAGTTATAAATAGGATTGGTTATGATAGATTATCTCAAGATGAGATAATCTTTTCTGATCATCGGGAAAATATTTAATCTTTGTTAGTTTTTTTGTTCTGTCTCAAGTGATTTTTAATCGATTAATCATTTTACTATTTTCTTTATCAGAATGTTATTTTATTATCAAGATTTCCAGGAGTTTTCAAGATTCACTCTCATCAATTGTTACATCATGGAAAGAGATTGATGTTTACAGAATTGAAGAAGAGGGAAAAATAGAAGAGGAGGAAGAAGAGGAAGTTGAAAAGTGGGTGAAAAACTTATATTTATGTTGCGAAATGGGAAAGATGAAGATAACTTGAAAGGACTAGAAGTTATTTACGAGAGAAAAACTGTTAGGAGGAGTAGAGAGAGAGAGAGAGATGAGGATGAGGAGGCGGAGGTGGAAATGGGAGAGAAAGATAAAAAAGTCGAGATACGCATGGAACTTATAAGTTTAGCCTACTTATTGAGTTGACCTAATCAGTGAAGAAGAAGATTCAGAAAATGATGAGAAGAAAGGGAAAGAGAGAGAGAGAATCATCATCATTATCATGATGTTGGAAAAGATGATGATAAAAGGAAAATGAAGAAAAAATAAGAGTGAAGACGAGAGTGGAAGTGGGAGTGTGAGGGTGGATGATGAGGATGAAGCAATAGTAGTATTAGTAAGAGGTGTAGTCTTTAGTCTTTCGGTTTGAATGAAACTCTTAACAAAGACTTTTTTCAATTCTCTTTCATCTTCCCTCGAGAAGAGAGAGAGAGAGAGATGAAGATGAAACCTGCGAAGTAAGTAGAATAACAGAGCTAGAAAACACAGAGAAAATACGGAAGATGAATGAATACTTGTTAAGAATCTGAAGTTACCTGTTTTCGAGTTTTGTTTTCTATTCTTCTCTCAGTGGGAAATGGATTTTTTTTTCCAGAACAAAACAAAAATAAGATAATCGAAGATGAATATTTACCATTACATAAGATGCTCTTGATGAATGGAAATTATCAGATGAATATTGGAAACCTCTTGGTTTCATGTCAACTCGAGCCTCCCATTTGGTGGGTTGAGGCTCCATTGATCCAGGGTGGGGTGGAAGTGGTTGATGTGGTTCCCAACCCATGGCTGAATCCCATTTGGGTGGAGGTGGAGGGAAACCAGCAGCCATACCAAATCCTGTAGGTCCCAAACCACCACCACCTCCAATACCACCAGGATTACCAAATCCACCGGTTCCCACACCAAGACCACCACCACCAGCACCTCCTCCCCCTAATACTTGTTGAACTTGTTGCTGTTGGTGTTCCTGGTGTCGTTTACGTGCTGCCCGGTGGGCATCACTTCGAGAAGCATAATTTACAAGGGCAAACTCAAGGAGGGCACCAAAAACAAAGAAAAGGCAAACTCCGGTCCAAACATCAATTGCTTTAATGTAACTGACTGGCGGAAGTGAGGCATTAATACCGGATATTTGGGTTGCCATTGTGAGTAAAGTGGTAACACCAAGACTAACCCGGGCGGGAATAGCATTCGGGTCTAACCAGAATGAAACCCATGAGACGATAACAAGCATTATACAGGGAATATAGATTTGAATCAAATAGTAACTAAATTCACGGCGAAAAATTAACTTTACTTGGACACAACTATATTCACCTGATTGTAGAGAAGAAAAAAAAATTGAAATCAAAACACAATTAACTCATAACAATCAGTGAATTGTTAACTCAAATCAAAAATCATCCAATTGAAATTTCACCAATAACTGAAAATATTTTTTTCTCTGAGAAAATTTCTTTTTTTTTTTCCTTACTTTCTATTTTTATAATACTATTATTATTATCTACTCAAGTTTCATACTCTCAAGGTCAAGGTCGTATGAAACTTGACCACTGTCCAATGTCAAATCAATATCATTATCTAAATGGATGATTAAATTTGACACAGAACAAAAAAATCCTAATCAACTTGAAACTTGAGTTGTAGAGATGGAGAAAGTTTCTCGAATTGGATTAACATTATTTTCTACTATTTGAAAGTGAAAATTATGCAAATTAAAGGTGATTAACAATTGATTGTTTCGATGATAATTAGTTAAGATGGTTAATTGTTTACCTGTGTTTGTTCGGGAAGTACAATATTCGGTAATATAATCAGATAAAGCGAATGTCGGAAGATGAAGTTGCTTAGTAACTTGAACTGGATCAGTTTTTTTCCAAACGAAAACCAAATCCTCTGTTGTGTAGCCATCTTTTCATCCAGAATGATGATGAGGAAGATAAATATAAACATCATCATCAATGTTCATCATTCAGTTGATGAGGATGAAAATGGTGATTCGTTTTAATCAGGTTACCAGGTCAAACCAACGAGGATTTTAAGGTGACAAAATCACATTTGAAATGGAAAAATGGAGAAAAAAAAATTTTCTCAGTAAAAGTTAATTGTTGTTAGTTTACTTAATCAATTGATTGATTATCTTTTCCTCCCTATCGATAATTGATATTGTTCATTAATCATGATTAACTATTGATAATGATGATGATTCCAAGATCTTGTAATCAATAGTTTTTCATTAATTGTTTCTTTCCTAATAATAATAATCAGTTAATTTGATTACTTTGATATTTGATTGTTGTCATTGATTAATATTATTTTTTGCTTCTCATGATGTTGATGATGATGATTTATTCAAGTTGTAAATTTATAGTGATGTAAATTGTATGTTATTAATGAATTGGAATAACAATTGATTGTGTTGTTTAGATTCAACAATCAAAATAAATTGTTAATTTTGTTGTTTCTGTCAATGAATTCATTTGAGTTGTATAACTTATTGTCCTACTTTTATCCCTTATCATCAACATTGTCATCTGATTTCATCCTAATCCTCAATCCTTATCATCATCATCATCATCATGTTGAATCTATTTCATGGGTGTAAATGATTATTTCATTTCATTTGATTGCATTTAGTATATAAGATTTGGTGTATTTTGTTTTTCTTGTTCATGAGACATTGAAACTTTTATCCCCGAAAAAAAGTAAGCATCAGGAGTGGGATGATGAGGATGAGGTGAGGGTAGATAATTTATCAGATATAATCCAATGAATAAAAGAAGAAAAATAAATATACCGTTAGGAATGATAGAAAATGGGAAAAAGATGATGAAAGAAAAATCGGTAACCATGGTTACGAATTTGATGGAGATGAACTTATTTTTTTTCAATTTCGTTTGATTTAGATTCCCAATTCAATCAATGATAAAAAGATGTATACATTATATATTATGTAGTAAGGATTTTCTGTCAATAATAATAAGTCTCTTGAATTTGGAACTTTTTTTTCTCTCTCTTCTTATGATATATATATATTTTCTGTGATCATCATGATGACAATGAACAATTTCAGTGAATGAATAATAAAAGATGGACACACTTACAACTGGCCATTTTGATATAACAATTTTGCTTATCCAATGGATAATATTTAAGGTTCATTGGACAGGATAATATTAACGACAACCTAATTGAATAAAGGACACCCCCGTCTGAGCCGATTCTCAATAGGACATTGGGCATTATGATGTTATGAAAGTGACCTTCTTTTTCATTGGTAAAGAAAACATCGGGTTTCCAAATTCGATCGGGATCCGTTAAGGTCAAATAGCGAATTTTTTCACTTGGATCTCGATATTGAAGACGAGAGTCTTTCCATTCCTCCCTGAAAGTTATTTGTACAGAATATTCCTGAGAATAGAATAAAAAGAAAATGTTAGAGAGAGAGAGAGAGAGAGAGCAGCAAATAGTTTCCCATTCGATTTTCAGGAAACGGAAAGGAGAAGAAAAATAAAATTATTTTCGAACTTTGTTTTCCTTGTTAGCATTTCGAATTTGAAAGTTTCGAACTTACCATATCTAGATCACTTATTTTACTTATACTTCGAAGATAAATATTAATTGAAACTATACAGGGTCCATCTGAAATTAGAATTTAAATTTAACCGGATTAGTTTTAATTGTTATTCTCAAATGTTATTGTGAATATTATTATTATTTTTCCATTAAATCAATCAACCAATTTCATTGGGAGCTTTTTTTTCATGTCAAATTATTTCGTGCTCTTAATTGTTGTTACATTTTATCATTAACTGAATCAACTAATTACAAGAAAATTAGTGTTACAATTGAAAATGTTTTAAAATTTCTTAAAACACAATTAACACTTTTTCAAGTTTTTCCATAGAAAAAGTGAAAAATAATTAGCACATTCATTAAGAAAACATAATTTGATTTTAATCACTTTTTGAATAATTGGATTAAATTTAATTATCTCATCACTTTGTTGTTGTTGTTTTAGCAATGAATTTTCAATGGACAATTAACTTTAATATATATTAGCTATTGGTCATTAATTCATTCATCCAGATTGAATATTAATCATCATCAGCTAGACTTGTACAAAACTGTAGAGAGTTAATCAAGTTACAACAATTAGTAAATTCGGTTTGAAAGGTTGAAGAGACCGAGAGAGAGAGAAAAACATAATAACCATCACATAATCACCAGAACTTGATCATTATTCTTGATATAATATATTGAGAATTCAGCCAACTATGAAACACCATGGTTACCACCTCTTAAACCACCACAACCTCCCACTCCCATAATCATCATCCCACCCTGATCATCATTCACTCATCATCTTCTGCCTCTTTGATTTAACTTATCACCTCAATATATTAATAACAATTTTCCCTTCACATCATCATAATAATAATAAGATAAGTTTTTCAATTTTCAACTTGATATTCATTCATCATTTCAACTCATAGATTCATGATAATCATAATCATCATCACTAATTTATAATTTTCTGATAACTTCCTTTACTTCATTATTACTGTTAATTAGTATAAGATTAAAATAATTACTGAATCATAATCTCACAAGGGAATTGAATTGAACTCATGAAACGAGATACCAAATGAGGTTTACATGGTTACTTATATGAAATTGATGGTTACTGTTGAAGTTTATGTTCGTGTCTCAATGATAATAGATGATGATGATAATGATGAAGATAATATAATATTCATATTTATACATTAATGTTTCAAAGAATCAAAAAGTTCAATATTATCTGCAGATAATATTATCTTCATGATAATATATATTTTTCACTCCTTGGAATAACTTTTTTTATATTCTATCGTCATGAAAATGAAGTAATAAGGTGTGACCTTTACTAGACCTCATGAAAGGAGATTTCAGGTCAGAAGAAGAAGAGGAAGATGATGATGATGATGTGATGAGGATGAAGAGTTATATACTATTATTGTAAAGAAGAGGAAGTCCAATCGATGGAGAATAAAAGAAAGAAAAGAAAGAGGATCAAGATGGAATAAGATTCTAAAAAAGTTCTGATCAAGTACTTATTCTGTTTCTGGTCTTTCTCATTTTCTCTCTCTCTCTCTCTCTCTCTCTCTCTCTTCCCAGGAGGAAATCGCTGATGATCATGAAAAAGATGAGGATAATGATGAAGTAGAAAACTGTATTCATGATGATGATGTGAATGTTATATGGTCAGTAGTAGGGATTGAAGAAAGTAGGAGATGATGGAGACAAAAAAGACTCAAATATAACTGATATTATGTCATTTCCTTTAAGCATTTATCCTTTGGTCCAATCAAACTTTCATTTATATCTTCATCCTCATCATTAACCGTTTTCAATAACCAACTAGTTTTCATCATGTTCACCCAAATCATGAAAATTTTGAACATCGAGAAGCAAAAACTATCATTTCCAATGTCAAATTCATGTTCTACCCTTGAATGTCTTCATCAAGTGTTAACATGATAATAAAAGCAAAGAAGGCGAGAAAGATGAAGATGATGATGATGATGATGATGAGAAGCCTCAAAAGTAATCTTCCTAATCCCTAACACTATTGAATTAAAATGGATACAAATTATTGGAACGAAATTAAGTTAATTTCAATTTTTGGGCTCATTTTCACCTCTCGATAAAAGTTTATCAATTGTTGTATTCAAAATGCAGGAGTAAATTGTTCAATTAAAAGTCAACAATTAATGAAAATAATGATGTTTTTTGGTTACATTTAGTAAATAGTGATAACAATTAAGCCCCAATGTCATTAATTTTGTTTGAGACAATTAATTTCAATCACATTTACTTTCTTGATTAATGATTATTATGTAACTAACAAGTTAGGTATTAATATATGATAATATTGATCAATTCATATTATCATCATCATCATTAGCATGTGATGAGGATGATAATATAATAAATGATAATGTAACATTGGCCAATGACCTAGTCTCATTATTAACTGAGTTTCATGATGAGAATCATCATCATGTTGTTATTTTCATGATAAATGGGATTGATAAACATTCAGATAACTTTTTTATCCTGTTATCAAGGTAACTTTATTATCATCATCATCGATCCAGAATTGTTCAGTATCCTGTTGAGCAGTTAGAAGAAGAAGAAGAAGAAGATGATGATGATGATGACGATAAGAGAAGAGAAATAACATTTTTTCTTTTTCTTTTCTTTTCTTCTTCATCTATGATCATCATTTCTATGTTTCTGTGTTCATGTTATTGTGTCTGATAAACATGATAATGACGAGGAAGATGAAGAAGGAAAAAAGTTCTGTATCCAGAGAAGGAGGAAAAAATCTCTTCTGGTCTCTGTTCATGTTAATATTATTCATGATGATGATGCTAATGAAATTCAATTGAACAACGTTGATGGAAATCATTCCGTTTATATAACCGGAAGACTGAATAGATTCCAGATAAACTCTGATTATTATCATGAAAGATGAGGATGATAAGGGTCTCTCTCTCTCTCTCTCTTCCATGATGGTGACTAGGGAGTAAAAGAATATCGAAAAATCCTTGCTGGAAGATGAAGAAGAAAAAAAAGTTCCAAAGGTTGTATAATTTACTTTAGTTTTGTAATTCACTTCAGGGCGTGACTTTGTCTCTAACTTTTATCATCATTATCATCATCAAGTCAACTTGAACAATCAGCTAATCATCATCATCATCATCGTAATGAAAATAAAAGGTAGAAACATTTTTCCACCATCATCAAGATTATTGTTATTTAGACTGTTGATTGACTGACATGGATACACTCAGAACTTTTTTTTTCCTTGTTATTGTTCATCATCATCATCAAGACTCAATTTGATTCAACTCAGTGACCAGTAAATATCAACAACCATCATGATAATATAACAATAACAATCATGATCAACATAATATCAACTCATTTTCAATCATCTATCAAAACCATATAACATTTTTTTTCACCATGAAATACAATGAACTTGATGAATACGAAATCATGATATTCATCACAAGAACAGTTTTTTTGCAACAATTTCAACATCGATAATGTTGTTGACGTTTTTTTTTTCATGATGAAATTTTTCAAGGAAAATGATATGAACCAATTTAAAAGACTTACATGCAAACATATTATATATTGGAAACAACTTGACCACTGATAATACTTGACCAATATAATAAATATAATAAGGTGACATATTCAGTTTCAATGCTCAGATGATTATGTTTACACTTTGATTCAGTAAATATTGAAAAATGATAATATGAACCATTAGATTATCGTAACAATTTAATGATATATTTGATATCATGATTGCTAATAGTAACCAGGGAGTTTGAAGATGATGATCAATGATGATTAAGATGATGACAATATCAGGAAGAAGACAATAAAACAAAAAGTTTCCATGGTTATCTTAATCATCTTTGATCATTATCCCTCTGTTTTGTTTTCATGGTAATATTCAGATGAGCAATAATAATAATAATAATAATAACCATCATCAAAGTTATTCCTTGTTTTTTTTATCATCATTACCATGAAAAGTTTTTCCATCGTTACAATTATAATGATAATGATGAAGATAAAGTTGATGTGATGAAAATTTTAGGTTCAATTGTTCAATGAAAAAAAAGTAGAAATAAAAATAAATAAATGAGCTTCAAGAATGTTAACAAGATATCATGATAAATAATAGTGTCAACTATCATGTTGGTTGATGAAGATGATAAAAAATTCATCATGTTATTCAATATCATCATCATGAATAATATTATCATTATTTGGGTGAAGTTTATGGAAAGGGAAACAATTTTTTTTCTTCCTATTTCTAAATATCATATTGATGAATTTCAAGTTATTGACTTTGAGTATATTTTTCTTGTCGTAACTTTTTTTTTTCTGTGTAATATTTGTTTTTATATATACTATTGGTGAACTCCCTGGTTGATGGTATTGATTGATTGATTGATTTGGAGGCTGAGTATTGGGTGTAGTAGGTTTTGGGTGAGATCACTTACCTCCATCGGCGGTTGCATTTTGCCCAGAGGGTCTGATGCGTCTATCGTAAGCACCCTGACCGATGATTGAGTCGAGAATCTTTTTCTCTTGCTCTCGGAAGCTTACGGACGCTGAGCTGAAGGGAAGGTTAAGAAGCCAGGGAATGATAAAAAAATCGGAAAAATAGACCTGTAGGTGCAATGGAATTGGGTGTGGAAATTTTCATGGAGAGAAAGAGAGAGAGAGAGAAAAGAACAAATTTCAAATATAAGATTCATATTCTTCAGGTGAGTTATTCTGCTTCATGAGAATAGGTTAAAGGTAAAAATATTAAGGTTCATTTCATTTGTTGCTTTGATGGTGAAAATGATGATGGTGATGATGATGAATGAATGAATGAAAATCATAATCCATACACATTTAATTTGATAAGATTAATAGTAAATTAATCACACATACCCACATGTAGATGATGAACTCACACTTTGGTGCAGGTAAACACAACATGTGAATACACAGGATGATGTTTTGATTTAACAATCAAATGGTAAGAAAAACAAAAGAAAACAAATTAACCAAATTGTTACAATTAAACTATTGTTGGTGTTGTTGTGAAAAATTCATCAGATTATCATTTAGATTTGCGTAATCCTTAAGGTGCATTAATGAGGAAAGGAGAGAGATGGAGATGATAATGATGATGTTGACGATTGGAATGATAAGTAATCCGGATAAAAATTCGAAAAAAAAACACGAAAACAAACACTGACACTCGAGGAAGAGAAGTAGAAAATGAGAGAGAGAGAGAGCACAAAATGATGAGAAGAAAGAAGATGATAAGAAAGATGATAATGATGAAGATGAAAATTCGGAGGAAGAAAAAAAAAGTTCGTCTTGAATAGTGAACAAGTCAGAGAACAGAATGTTTCTTGGTTAAGGAAATGTTTTCATCTTCTCTCTTTCTACCTTCTTCTCTCTCTTATCTTCTTTTATCTTCCTTTATCATCTTTGCCTTCTTTTCTCCTTATAAAATATATAACATTATCTGGAGCATTCGTGATAGTCACAGTTTTCATGGAGAAAGAGAAGATGAAAAAAGAGAAAGATAATATTGGAAGATACGTCGTAACTAGTTACTCTTTTTCTCATGCTCGTCTTCTCGAAACTGTAATTCTTGTTCATCCCCTTTACTTTCCCTCCTATTATTCTCATCTTCATCTTCTCATCATCATTCTGAGACGAATCATGGTGATTTTCCACCCTGAACCCACCCCACCCTTCACCTTCCATACTCAATACTGTTCGAATTGAAGATAATATTATATAACAAAAACCTCGAGCATCTTTCAAGCCTCTCTTTTTGTCGATCGATTTATTTTTCTCTCTCTTTCTCTTTCTCTTCTCTTAATCCTTTTCTTTTGCATCATCATCATCATCATCTTCCTCTTCCTCTTCATCATCCTTATCATCATCTTGTTGTTGTATCTATCATATGATAGTAAATTTATCTCGATCCCGAATTTGAAACAGAATCTTCAGATTGTTCAGAATTCCCTTCCCAAGCTCGATATCATTGTTGAGACAGTTTTTTTTTATTCTTTCTTATTGTCTACCCTAATTAACCAACTAATTAACTAATTATGTTCATTCAGTTTATTTCAAGTTTATTAAATCAGTTAATTTAGTAGTAATAACAATCAAAAGGTGTAACCGTAATCAAATCAATGAACCCCGAAAGTTGTGAAAATTGTGATTAATTAGTTGGATTAATTAGTTGACAAGTAATAATTTAAGGGGAAAATTAAACTTTCCAACAATCAACTAATCAATCTATCAGATTATCTTGATTATGGTTTACAATTTATGTGGATAAATTGTTCAATAGCTAAATGATTAAGTTGTCAATTGTTTGGTTGACTTACAATTATCATCGGAATGTGAATTACAAACAGCATTTCATATGCTCAGTTAATTCAGATATGAGATAACAAGATGATAAATATAATTTCACAAAGGAATCCCGAAAATTATCACCATGATTATCATGATAATAATTGCATCTTATTCATATGATGTAAATAAATTTACAACATAATCTAAATGTTAATGTTTTTGTTTCAAGCTTCAATCCATTAATAGATTATGTTAACCATTAAATGAAAAGTGAAAATTACAAACTGAACCAAGAGAAATTGTAACGGTAAAAAAAGTTCAATTTTCATCAGCAGACAGGAATTAATAGTAAATTAGATTAAATCTCGAGACTGGAATTGCAATTGGAATCAGATGATGATGAGGATGATTAAAAAAAAGACAGGAAATCAATTGCAGTGTCTCTGTTGGATGAGGATGGAGATAATTATTAGAGTTTGAAGTGAACAAAAAAAAGTATAATAACTTTGGGAAGGAAATTGTGATAACATTATATTCTGAGATGAGGATAAAAGTGTTGTCGGCAAAAAGATGAGGATAACGAATTGATGGAGAGGGGAAAAGGAAAAGGAAGGAAACTCTCATTATATAATCTCTTATAACGACTGAGGGATAAAAATTGCCAAAGAAAATGTTGTTATTGTTCAAGAATGAATACCCTCCGTGACAAGTTTCGAACCATGTAAAGGTATATTCATCTTCTTCTTCATCCCTGATCATCTTTTTGTATTCATCATCTTCGTCCTCATCTCTCTCTCTCTCTTGGCTCTCTTTCAGCTCTTCATCCTCATCATTTCAAAGTCAAAGTTTTTATTAACAAACCAATGAACTTATCGATTGGACTTATTTCATTCACCAAGTCACCTTTTGTTTTTATCTTCCATCATCATCTTCTCTTCTTCTTTATTATTCTTCCATGACATTTTAACTATTATCATTCAATTCATTCTCAACTTTTCTTTCTCCATCTTCTCTTTTTTTTCTCTTCACAATTCCAATTCTTTCACGTTCCAAGGTTTGATTCTCATTCAGTTAATAGGTAAATGGCTTTTTTACCTCTTCCACATTCTATTAGTTATTCAATTGTTAGAATCTCTCTCTCTCTCTGTGAATATAATTTCATGATGATGATCAGAATGTGAATACATATAAAAAACGAGAATGAATAAATTGAATGGAAGAAGATGAAAGTTCTGAGAAGATTCTGAACAAAGAAATTGTTATTAACTCTAATCTTTTCTATTCAATATCTATCATGGTGATAATAAAGCAACAATTTATTATCATTTTCCAAATTTAACCAATCAATCAATTTAATCACAATCAAAACAATGTGATGAACCTTAAATTGTCTTAGTTGACATTCAAATTGTCAACTAATTTTCGGTAATAGCAAATTATTATCATCATTATATTGATGATGATTATTTCTTATTATCATCTAATCACTGATAGAAAAGGAAATCGTTAATTATGATCATGGTAATGATTTGGAAAAACCTTAATGGTTACAATTGTTTTCGTGATGATGATTAAGTTAAATGATGAATATATTATTAGACTGAATATGGAAAAATTAATGAAACCAGAATTTCCTTTTCATTTTTCTCCCTAATTGTTACCTGACAATCTAATTTAGGTTATAGGATTTTGATTTAATTGTTAGTCAAGAGAAAAGGCCAAATGATTAACTGATTAGATTTCAAATTGATCAAATTTCCGGATTTAGCTTAATCACTTTTTCATTCACCCTACAGAGAGAAACAATTTATCAATGACATTTGATTGATAGTGAAAATTTTCACCGCAAAAAATTAGATGAAATTTGAAATGATAATCAAATTGTAACAATCAAATTGACAATTTAAATTAATGTAAACTTTTTTTCCAAACTCAAAGTAATAATAATAATAAGTTTGGTTATCAAAAGGAAACCAGAAAAAAAATTGTTCATCTCAAATTTCTGGTTCAATTTGGTTTGTTTATCTTTTTGATTGTATAATCAAGATTGATATCAAGTTAAATCACCAACAATCAGCTAGTGATTTGTAAATTGTTGTTGTATCATTGGAGGATTGTTAATACAAAGTAATAATGTTTACAAATGATAAACGGGATTAAGAAGGTAAAATGAAAACAATGAGAAGTTAAAATTATTCAAATTGATGATTGAGTTGATTTTTTTTCTCTCTCTGGGTAAATAGTGATGGAGATAACGGATGATCAGGGATGATTTCTCTCTTTCTTTATTTTTCCGCATCTTCTTTCAACTGATGATGTTCCAAATTTATACTAACTAAGCAAATAGATGAAAAGATGAAAAGATGACTCGACACTATGGAAGATGAGAGTGATGATACTACGATGTTTTTTTCTTCGTTGAGTGATGTTGTTAGATGAAGGAAGATATTCATCAAATGAACGAAAAGGTAACACATCAAGAAGAAGATGATGATGATGATGAGAAAAGAAAATTGTTAGAATAGAACAAAAGTAAACTCTCAAGTTGAAATTGGAATTCGAATCACGATATCAACTACACTTTCTAATGATTCTAAACATGCTTACATTCAATTCCCAAGTTCTATTCTAACTTTACTTTCTTTTTTCTCTTCTTATCTTCTTCTCTTCACCTTCTTCATCAGGGTTATCTTAATCATCTTCAGGAATATCGATAAACTCCCAGAATTTTCTTACTCCAATATTCAAACTTTTCTCTCGTTTTTCACTTGTTTCATTTTCTCTTCGATCTTTTTTTCTTCCAAATCTTTTCCCTCTTCTTTATCCTCTTAATTAGAGCACAATTGATTCTTAATTATTTTACAATTCTATTTTTCGAACACAGTATATTCTTCTTTGAAAGTCATTCTATTCTTTTTATCGTTATTCTATTGATTCTCTCCTTAGGTGTAGACAAATTATCTGTTTCCTTGCAGATCGAGTCTCGATTATATTGGTTAGCCTGAGGTTAATTTACTAACTGGAAGCTGAGAATTGAGGTAAGATGATGATGGCGATGATGAGGATGATAATGATGTCGATAGAAAAAAAGAAAGAAGATAAAAGGATGATAATGTTAAAAGGAGCCAAAAAAAACCTTCGAGTCTCATAGATAATCAAGTGAATTTCATTTGTAAATAAAATCTTTCCATGGGTCAGTTTGCTTATGGAAAATAAATGGACACACAAAGATGACCAGTGAAAGAAGATGACAATCAGCTGAGACATTATAATGTTAAGAATGATAATCAAATCCAAATAAGAAAAGAAAAAGAAAACTAAATCAAATTGATTGTTTGATTAACTCAACCCATTGGAATGGAAATTGAAAAACAAACAGTTAGTTGAACAATCAAACCTTTGCCGTAATTAACCAGGCAATTATTATTGATTATCGATCAGCCCACCAGCAATTGAATCATAAATGACCATTAAAAGATTACAATTAGAAGGTAGGAAAATGTTAATAACACAATTGATTAAGATGGAGACCGAAAAAAATTAATATTTTTGGTATAAAATGATAATTGTGATCAATGAGAATCCCAATTGAACATGAATGATAAAAACTAATTCAGAAATCACCCTGTAAATATAATACTCAGAAAAATCAATGTAAATAAATGAATCAATGATTTTATTGATAATATAAATACTATGTATGAAAAAAAAGGAGATGAGTACAAATATCAATGTTTTACAATCAACATTGATCATTGTAATTCATTGATTATATCAAGTTTGTATTACATTATTAATAGAATCACAATGAGCTAATGATTGTTAATAATAATATGAGAAAATTATTATTATTGTGACATGAGTGATTCTGATAACATTTATATCATATTATTTATATACAGAGTTATTATCATTGAAGGAGAGGTTCAATTGTCTTCCTTGGTGTTTTATGTATACATGTATGAACAGGGTGTCTCTTTTTTTTGTTGTTGTTCATTGCTCTCTGTTGATGTATTAATATATTACTTTTTTTTACAACTTTTCACCCGATAATGGAGTGTCAATGATATTGTAGTAAAGATGATCGGGGAATCTATCGAGTTGAATGTAATCCGTTTCGGAGGCGATTAGTTTATCCAGTTTATCAATAAGCTCGGTGAATGTTGGCCTCGAGGTGGAACTTGTCTCCCAACAATAGTACATTATATTGTACATTTCTCTGCGACAATGATCAGGTTTGTCTAATCGATAACCGTTGATCACTTTTCTCATTACCTCCTTGGTGTTCATTCCGGGATAAGGTGTCGACCCAAGGGTCACTATTTCCCAAAGAAGAACACCAAATGACCAGACATCGCTTTTCACCGAGAAAATGTATTCCTTTAATGCCTCAGGGGCCATCCAACGAATCGGTAATCGACCCTAATGAGATGAATAAGATAATTAGAAAGTGAGAAACTTTTGATAATTGATTTTTTCGCTTCGAATTACTGTTAATTACAACTAAGAATATGATTGTTTACCTCTGATTTACTTTCGTAAATTGATTCATCTGATATTTCGCGGGAAAATCCAAAGTCCGTTATTTTACACGTTTTATTAGTTCCAATGAGAATGTTTCGAGCGGCCAAATCTCGATGAATAATCTGAAAGAGAGACAATCAATTGTTCGTGTTGAAAGATAATCTCAATTAGAACCAATTAAGTTAATTGTTTACACATGGAAATTTGATTCTTGTGTAAATGATTAATGTAGACAAGATATTGTAACATGATCAGGTAAGTTAATTATTATTATTATTATTAGAATATGAGATGGAGAGAGAAAGAGAAAAGTTCTGGTTTGATTGGTGATCATCAAAATATTAGAAAAGGTTAATTGGAGTTTAGATGAGGAAAATGTTAATTGTTCTCATTAATAATAACAATAGATTAAAATAGAAAATGAATCAAATAAACTTACTCCTTGAGAGACAATGTGTTCCATTCCTTTGGCTATTTGATAAGCAAATAGAATCAATTGTTTGGGTGAAACATTATCACTATCATAATAATCAGCTGATTGTGATGAGAAACAATTACCCCGATGATTACGAAGATAAGTTTGTAGACTATCAAAGGGAACATATTCTAGAATTAAAAATTTGGGTTCTTTTTCTGTACAACATCCCAATAGAGAGACAACATTTGGATGGGTGGACAGTTTTTTCATGATGGTCAACTCATTGTCCAGGTCAAGTCTCTCTTTTACCGAAACACCTTCTTTAAGCGCTTTAACGGCCACAATTGAGGCTCCTTCGCGCGATTTAATGTCAAAGGCTTCACATTTCCAAACTCTGCCGAAAAAACCTTCACCAAGAATGTCGATTACTCGTAACTTGGATCTAGGGTATTCCCATTCATCGAAAATTTTATTATTCGATAAATTTATCTCTCCATCAATTGATCTTCCTTTTCCTCCTTCCATACACTCCCTTTGATAATTTTCTTCTCTTGTGGTCAATTGTCCATCGATATTATTATTACTATTGCAGGGAATATGATTATCTTGTTGTTGTTGTTGTTGTCCAGTTGATGATGATAATGGTTTCTCATAATCTTCTGACCAACCGATAAAAGCTGAATGTTCATATTCAGCTGAAGATCTGGTTGAAAATGATATTGAACTTATTCCGGTTCCGGAAGATTCAGATTTGTTTACACAGACTTTAGGTTCACCAGTTCTTGGATGAGATGGATGATTATATAAACGAGATTGATGATTAACATTATTATCAACGGGAAATGAACTTTTCAAGTTACTCGATTGTGTTTGATCAAAAAACGATGGACGATATCGTTGATATAATAAAACACAACTTAAACCAAGGGCAAGACCAACAGACATTAAGCCAACAATGGGCCAGATTAAATTTGGATTAGTTAATTTTGGATTAAAAAGTGACTCATCGTGACCTTGATATGATCTCAGAAGGTTTGATGATGAAGGTCCATTCACAGGTAGACCAGGATAACCAGATGACCCACGGAGTAAATGGTGAATCTGTGAATGGTCAACAGTTGGTTGGTCAATGTTGTTGACCATTTCAATACTATTCCCATTATCTTTACTCTCTCCATTATCATCATCATAACGATTGTTATTATTGTTACGATTGTTAATCCTGTTATTTTCAGGTGAATCTTCAATACCATTAGAGGAGGAAGATGAAGATGAAGATGATAATGATGATCTAGGAGTGGTTAACAATTTACTCTCAATCGTTGAGTTGATTGTTGATGAAATGCCGGTTCTATTTTCTAGTTTATCCAATGGGTGAGGCGAAACTTGAATATTATCATCTGATTGTTTCTTAATTGTAACCTGAGATCCTTGATAAGGTTTGGCTTGTTTTCCGTTCCAGGAATCAGTCCCAACGATACGAATCCTAACCTCGATTTTAGACTATAACAATTACAATTTAAAATTGATTGTTCAACAATATTGACAATCAAATATCAATAGAGAAAATCAAACAGAAAAAATAAGAAGAAATTATTTTTCCATGTTAATTGTTAATCTAAATTAATCAACTAATCAACAGTCAAAAATTGAGTATTATCATGTTACTGGTTAGAGATTCTGATTATTGATTAATTACATTTCGTATATTTAACTTGTACAAATTGCTAATGGCTAATTAAATTACTTATCTATTATTAATTATAATCAAGAGAGAAAGAAAAAATTAGTTAATCGATTGGGAAAGTTAGTTAATTGTTCAATATAATTATAATTTGCTTTAATCATGATCATGTTGATTACAGACTTCAAGTCATCAACATATGTTAACTACAATTGATTTAATCAAATTAAGGTCTTGTAATTTTTTTTTCTCATTAGCAATTAACTTTAACAATGAAGTGACTTCAATTGATATACCAACCAGCAATTAGTTAATTAGATTTCAATTTAGGTTAATAAGCAGGCAAGAATCAAGAAGATGAGACAAAAAAAAATGATGAAATTTTTTGTTTACACCAATTGATTGTCTTAATTGTTTCTGGTTAAGTACTAATTGTAACTGTTATTTTTTATATCGGTGTTAATTGTTAATTAATTACCTTTTGATGTCCATCATCAGCAATTATCATTAAATACATTTCTTTACCAGCCTAATGAGAAAAGGAAACATTGAAACAATTGGTTAATTGTAAAGAAAATTGAAATTGTTGTAGTTGATTAAAATGATCAGCTGATTGTTAGCTTTTTGTTTGGAGTAACAATTAAGTGCTAATCAATTGGAAACTTTTGAAAAGTTATTGGTCAAGTATTACAAGTGAAGTTGAGGTTAATTTTATCAATTCAATCCAATTGGTTAACAAGTTAAATTGTTGTTATCAATTGATACGAAAATAATATAATTACGATGAGGGAAAAAAAAGAAGCTTAAACAATCAACAATGATGATGATGATTAGACGAAGAAGGTGAGAGAGAATAGGAATTCCCTTCAATAAACATTGTTAAGAGAAAATGAAAGAAGATGAAGAAAATTAATAACATTTTCCCTTCTCTTCAGCATCTCCATCATCATCATAATTATCTTCATCTTCATCATCATCAGCTTCCAATGGTAATGGAGGTTTAAACCCGGATCTTAAAAGTAAATTGTAGGCTTTGGATGGGAGGAGGTTCGGTCAAGTATTTTAAGGTTGCTCGCTCTTGAGTCCAGTTTTCATTTTCTAACATAATCAATGTTAATCTCACTCTCTCTCTCTCTCTCTCTACCTTGAGAGAGTAAGAGATGTGGGGTGAAGATGAGGAGAGAGAAAGTTGAGGTAATAAGATGAAGCCAGAGAAGGATAATATCATCAGGTAAGTTTCTTTGCTTTTTCTTAGTTTCTTCTTTCTTTTCTTTCTTTTCTTTCTTTTTTTCTCACTTTCTTTTCTTTCTTATGATGAGAAAACACTCAATTCTCTCGTATCGATGTTTCTTTTTGCACGATTTTACTTGCAAATATTCACAAAATGGCCACGAGACATTTGGATCACGTTTTCAGCTTCCATCTTTTAGCTTCTTCATAAATCTTATTCTCGGTGGTGTAGAAAATCAGAACAAGTAGCAAACATGTAGAGAGATAAATTTCAAGTAGAGATGAGGATGATAAAGATCAATGGAATTGTGGAGAAGTTAAAGAAAAAAAGTTCATTTAGAGAAAAGAGAATCAAAATGTTGGTTGATGAGAGAAAAGAGGAAAATGTTTTTAAGCTTTTGAATTTACTACTGAATTTGAAACGAATTCAGTTTCATTTCAATTTTTTAAGAAAAAAAACTCTTCTTTTTTCATTGAGATTCTTTTTTTGCTTCTTTGAGGAAAAAATGAATGAGAATTCATGATGATGAAAATTATTAACTAGATGAAAGAATAAGAGAGAAAAAGAAAACCTCAATAATCAATTGGATTGATTTTCTTAGTCTCTATGAAATGGAATCAAATAAAAAAAGAGAGAGAAAGAGAGAGAGAGAGATGGTGATAAAATGGTAACATGGGAACCATGTTTGGAACACTGAATTTCAATCGATATTTATGACACACTATGATCGGTGAGAGGATCATCTTCCTCTAAATTGATATCAATATCTCTCCATTTTGTCACTTTCACCATTTAAAAAGTAACAGAAAGAAAAACAAAATCAGTTTCAATATTTGTTTCCTTTTCCTTTTTTCCAATGATGTCATTTTCTTGTAAACATTTCATTTCTTTTTTCACAGAAAAACATCATAATCGTCATCTTTGGATCCTCTTTCGTTACAATCATCATTCTCATCGTCATTTCAACCATTTCATCTAATCTTCTTCGGTCAATCTAATACGATTCATTGAGAAATGGAAAAAAAAATGACCACCAAGAATTCTGATCCGTCTATTGATCCAATAACAATCTATGGTCCAAATCTTTAACTCTTTTCACCAAACAGAGTGTCCCAACCAATTTATCCATGGAATTAGCAAATTGTTGAAGCAATAAGACGCCCACAGACTTTGTCAATCTTTTTCCATGGTTCCTAAAGATAGAAAACAAAATAAAGAGATTCACTGGAAAATACTAATACCAAATCTCTCTTGGAATCGATAACTGTCCTTCATAAATTACTAACAGAATATCAGTTTACATACAATGTAAACATTCATTGGATTTTGATAGTAAATTGACAGAGAGAAAGAGAGAGAGAGAGAGAGGTGGGGGGAGAGAGAAGATGATGACGATAAACGGTGAGTAGAAGAGAAAAGAATAAAATAGAAAATAGAAAATAGAAACACTCGATGGAAATGTTTTCCTTTTCATCTTATGCTCTCTCTCTCTCTCCTCCATTTCTCTTATTAAACATTAACCGGAGAAAAGGATAAAGTGTATTAACATATTATCAGATCACAATCAAGAATTGTGATCAACTCAATCGTAATGTAATAACATTGAAATAGTTGCATTACAAATCAACTGAGCGTATGTGAAGATATTACTTGTCAATCTAAGGATGAGAGAGAAACATTTTATCACCATAATCATTGTCACCATAATTTAATTTCATTGGTATTTTCACCCATCAGGATAATCAAACACATCCAATTGTTTTCTAAACAAAAATAATCAACTTTCAACAGTAAAAAGAATTAAAAAAGATAAAATCAAAAAGGGTTGATTGGTAAATAGAAACGAAGACAAAGTGATTAAAATTGTTTTTAATTTTCGCAGAAAAATCTAGAAAATGAGTTAATCTGTCATCTATTGGGGAATTTCCCTTAATTGTTTTTAATTGGAGTTAATTGTGTGATAATCTAATCTTGATTGTTAAATTTAATTCCGTTTAATTTTTTGCTTCCATTACTATTTCTTTGCACACGAAATATTCATTTTTTGCTCTCGACCAACAATTTTTTATACTACTTAAGATGCGACCCGAACAATTTAGGAACCATCATCGATTTTATTACTCCTACCAAGTGACCTGAACAATATTCTAATAGTTAACTTTTACTATCTCTCTCTCTCTCTCTCTCTTTCTCTCTCTTTCTGTGTTTTTAATTGTTCGTTTTACTTTTAATACAAATTACTAATCATGTCTTCTGGTGGCGGATGTTGTGCTAGACCTTCAAGTGAACCTGAGAAAACTACTGGTGGTGGTTGTCGATGTGGTTCCAATTGTAATTGTTGCGCTGATTGTCCTGGATCCAAGTGTGGACCTGATTGTACTTGTGATCCATGTCGATGTTGTCCCGCTGGTAAATCAGGATCAGGAAGGTAAATTATCAATAATCATCTCTCTCTCTCCTCCTACTCTTGTCTTCTTTGATATTACTCAGGGAAGAGATTGTAATTATCGCCTCTTTAATCATTTCACCCACCTTCCAATATTTTACTCACTCATTAACTCTCTCTCTTTTCTCCTCCTCTCTCGTTTTAGTTGCGATTGTTGCAAATGCTGTGGTGGTTCAGCCTGTAAATCTGGTGACAATTGTAATTGTTGCAAATGTTGTCCATCATCAAAGTGTCGTAGAGGATAATCAACGAGCCCAATCCAAACAACAACAATTAACCATAACTTGATCTAAAGTCATGTTATCAATAATTAAAATCAAAAAAGTCTTCCAACTTTAGAGTAGTTTAAATTGTTAATCTTTCAATTGACTCATCAATTGATTTTTCTATTGCTTTTCTTCAGTGTATTCCCTTTATTCATACAGTATAAATCATTTTCACAATTGTAATTGTCCAATTTAATTACATAAATCAACTGAAAAAAGTGATTAATTGAACAAAAACAAACGTGAACTGATTAAAATAAATCTATTGCATATTAATTGTTATTGTTCATCAACAATCAACTGGACATTACCTTTGTCTATTTCCAGTGTATCAACTAACGGTGACATCTCACTTAATGAATTGATTGTTACATTGGGTGAGAGAACAAGAAGAAAAAAAGAGAATCCCAAAGAATAATCATATTCCATGAAAATGATTAATTCTACTGATTAAATTAATCATCATGATGAACAGAATCACTCGGAAGAGAGAAAAAAATTTGTAAATTGTTGTTGATTAACAAGAAAACGGTCCGGTAAACATTACATTGAATCTGTTTAGGTGTAAATTAGTTATATTAACATTGGAAATCCATCATGATCATGATTAATAATAAATGATGGAAAATATTGATTACTTGAAGTAATCAAATATTGAGTGTGAAAAGTTTTTCCTTTTTGACATAATCATTAATATAATCAACTAATCATCAACAATTAGATGATCAGTTCTCAAAAGAGACAAAATTTGTCTCTCAATCAACAACAATCAAAGGAAATACTCATTCCCATATGAACGTTGATGTTTTCTGATTGTTGGTAAATCATAAATTTGAAAAGGAAATCGTTCCATTAAATTGTTGTTACCATGTCCCACTATTGTTGTTGTTGATTTTGATGCTGTTGATGATTATCATGATTAGATTATTCAATATTAACAATGGTCTTTTAGATTATCTTCCCAACACTCAGCCAACAATCAACAAAAAGCTTTCTCTTCATGTTGATTGAGGTTATTGGTTAGATTGATTGTGTTTACGTCAATTACTGGATTATCTGTTTCCATAATTTACCAAATTATCGAGTTAACAATCTATCATCAAGTGACATAATTGATTGGTAAATAATAGAGATTAAATTTGATTGGGAAAACATCGAGAGAAAATTGTGATCAATATTCACAATTAACAGAGAGGAAATTTTTTTAAATTCAAAACTCAAATGAAGGAGAGGAAAATTATCACCACTTTGATTGTGATTATTTCTAATTGTTGGATTAAATTGAAGCTCAATTTAAATCCTCAATCATCTCGAGAGATTTCATCACACTTTCTGATTCTTTGGAACAATTAAATAATGTTCTAAATGGGGAAAAGTTTTTACTTCGTTGTTAAGATGATGATGATGATGATGATGATCAACAAAATCGATCCAAGGACCAACTATTTCTGCTCTAATTGTCTCTAACAATACGAATCTATTTCCTTTATAGTTTACTGAGGATAAACACTCGGACCATTTGATTGTCATCATCATCATCTCATCATGATCTTCAACCACTACCACAGCCTCATCAACATTATCATGAAGGAGGATCAACCAGAATCAAATTGAAATGCTCAAAGTTATTATGGTTTAACTTTGATTACAATGAAATTAGTGTTGATTAAACCAAATTAAAGCTTAACAATTGCTGATCAATTTAATTATAATTAAGAGAGGGAAACACTTACCAGGCCAACAAGTGATTCGGTTAATTTAACCTCACCGGTTGTTGGATTTATGGTGAAATATTTTGATCCATCTCGATATAATCCCGAACTAATTGAAAAAGTAATCCGATCATTTTCATTATCGTTAATCTTAACAATCGTTATTCTTGAATTAAGTTTCTCGTTTTCAACGATAATCCAATCACGTTGGAAATCAAACAATGGTGGAGTATTTAGAATTGGTAATCGACTTCGACCAAAACTAGTTGAATAACAATTAACAACATTTACACTGTTTATCCATAAGACTAGAAGATAATTAATCCAAATTGGTTGAGATAAATTGATTATCCAATGAGTATTTGTAATCAAATACATTATTGGTGATGGTTTTTATATCGACTTGAAATCAAAATCACATTGGTCAAATTTCAACATTGGAAAGTTATTATAATCAAATTGGGAACATTTTTAAGAAACCGATACAAAGGTAAGTAAGATGATAGTGATGAAGATAATGTTGACCGTTGAGATGAAGATGAGGATGAGAAAGAAGAAGATGAAAAAAGTAGGATGGGTTTTGGACGATCCGGTTTTTCATCTTCTTTTTGGTACCGAACATGGAAAAGTATCTCAATGGTCATTTTTTAAGATTCGCTCATGGTCAACATATTTAATGGTTTTTCTTTATTCTTTTCCTTAAATTTCCCTCGAGCTGGAATATTGAAGTATCGAAAGTTAATCATTCGATCCTAATTAGTAATATTCGTTCCGCCATTGATTCGTTAGATTAGAGAGAAAAAAGTTTCGAAAAGTTTTTTTCTCTCAAAAGTTTCGTTCGTTTGTTTCTTCAATAATTGGACTAATCGAAATCTTTTCTTTCCCATCAATTCAAGTTCTAAACTTACAATTTGATTGGAATTAACTTTGATTTTATTGATCAGAATGAGTAATTAATCAAGAGAGCAACGAAATGATTCAAAGATTTTCAATTATCTAAAGAAATTACTTTTCATCATAATTGTAGAAAATTCCAATAGATGTCACCTTGAATTCGCAAACAATTAAGAAAATTAAATTTTCTAAATTAAATGCTAATCAATGAATTACGAAGATTGAAGATTGATAATTTTTGACTAGAATTAGTAGCTAAAAATTAGTGATTTCTGATAGAAACTTCGAGCTAGTAATTGTTTGGTTATCGAATTGAGTCATTAGGTGTTATCGAACTGAATTAGTGTTAGTGATTAGTTAATTGTTGTTCTCTTTTGCACTTGATGTAACCAATATGTTCTTAATCAAGTGATTTTCTCCATAAAGAGTAATACAACGAACCCAAGATAACCTAAATTTTATCGATTAGATGAAATGAAATGGATTCGTTGTTGACAAAGTTGATGGAATCACTGGGAATTTCCCTTAATTGTTTTTAATTAGAGTTAATTGTGTGGTAATCTAATCTTGATTGTTAAATTTAATTCCGTTTAATTTTTTGCTTCCATTACTATTTCTTTGCACACGAAATATTCATTTTTTGCTCTCGACCAACAATTTTTTATACTACTTAAGATGCGACCCGAACAATTTAGGAACCATCATCGATTTTATTACTCCTACCAAGTGACCTGAACAATATTCTAATAGTTAACTTTTACTATCTCTCTCTCTCTCTTTCTGTGTTTTTAATTGTTCGTTTTACTTTTAATACGAATTACTAATCATGTCTTCTGGTGGCGGATGTTGTGCTAGACCTTCAAGTGAACCTGAGAAAACTACTGGTGGTGGTTGTCGATGTGGTTCCAATTGTAATTGTTGCGCTGATTGTCCTGGATCCAAGTGTGGACCTGATTGTACTTGTGATCCATGTCGATGTTGTCCCGCTGGTAAATCAGGATCAGGAAGGTAAATTATCAATAATCATCTCTCTCTCCTCCTACTCTTGTCTTCTTTGATATTACTCAGGGAAGAGATTGTAATTATCGCCTCTTTAATCATTTCACTCCACCTTCCAATATTTTACTCACTCATTAACTCTCTCTCTCTTTTCTCCCTCCCTCTCTCGTTTTAGTTGCGATTGTTGCAAATGCTGTGGTGGTTCAGGTTGTAAATCTGGTGACAATTGTAATTGTTGCAAATGTTGTCCATCATCAAAGTGTCGTAGAGGATAATCAACGAGCCCAATCCAAACAACAACAATTAACCATAACTTGATTTAAAGTCATGTTATCAATAATTAAAATCAAAAAAGTCTTCCAACTCTAGAGTAGTTTAAATTGTTAATCTTTCAATTGACTCATCAATTGATTGTTCTATTGCTTTTCTTCAGTGTATTCCCTTTATTCATACAGTATAAATCATTTTCACAATTGTAATTGTCCAATTTAATTACATAAATCAACTGAAAAAAGTGATTAATTGAACAACAAAAAACAAACGTGAACTGATTAAAATAAATCTATTGCATATAATAATTTTTCGATCATTTTTGTAAATCAAATTAATTTTATTTGATTGCTGTTTAATTTCAATGTTATCACACCAAATTATTAACAGCATATTTACAGTTATTTAAACTATCAATTCATTAGTAAAAATCTTAAGGTTCTTGTAATGGGTTTCAATCAAAATTCCCACTTTCCTCTTCGGCTTCTTCGGCCTCTTCCTCGTTTCCATCCATCTCGAAAACTCGAACCCGTCGTTTAGCTCTCGATGAGACACAACAAACTTTTCGAGATCCAGAGACTGAAAATTGAGAAGGTTTAAAATTTTCTAAACGACGAATACTAATATCACTCGATGAATCAACAATGACTCGGAAATTGGGATGATCACGGCGAAGTTGTTGTAAGCTACATCCTGGTAGAAGATGGAGAAAGTTTTTCTCAATGGTAGAAAGTGGAAGTTGAAGTAGAAACGAGTATTGAGAATCTTTGGTTACCAAGAGCATGGAAAGAATTGATTCAGAATAAAATTGAATATCGATTGGTATTGTTTCCCTTTCTGTTCCTGGTTCAACGATAACCACAGTAAACATGACAAATTTAACCCGATAAGGATCATGGAAGGCAAATTTAATCATGGAAACATCACCTTCACCCTCTGAATTACTTGCTATGGCAATGTAACAACAGCGATTCGCTTCATCAGAAACACTGGTCACTTTAGGCGCTTCTTTGGCAGGAAAACTTAAATTAAATGCTAGAAAATGTTCATAATCACCAGTGAAAACTTCCTCTAATCTGAAGCTCGGGTTTTTAAAGGCATCATGAGTTTTCCCGATTAACGTGGTATGTTCAGTGATCAGTGAGGTTTCAGCATTGTGTTTAAATAAGATGAGATCGGAAGTGGGTTCATCTTTGATTAACATTGGCCTTTCTTTCAGATATTTAAACCATGGATTCAATGATTGATCGTTAATTGAAAAGGTTCGATAGACCAATGGTTCAGCTTTAAGATATTGACAAACTCGCTCTAAGGTAAAATTGGTGGCGGTGGGTCGATTAAGAGGTGGGGAATATGAAGGATCGGCCGCTGATTCCTCGCGACTTTCATCTCTCCAGTCAAAATTTTCCTCAATAAAATCGGCCACATATTGTAAATCTTGTTGAGAAACTTTGATCGATTCTTGTTGAGATGAAGGCATAGAATCATTACAAATACGAACGGTAACCGAGTATAACCAGCGAAAGAAACACTTTAAATTTTGACACGAAGAATCAATTACTTGTTGAAGTTCCAATGCTTTAAGATAGAAAGTGGCAACACCATGAATGGCACGATTAATGTCCGAAGTTTTAAATCCTAATTGGGAAAATTCATTGGTCCACATTGAGATCGCTTTAAGTACATTTAAATGGGAGAAAATGTGTTTACAGGCACGTTGGACATTACAGACGACAAGTTTCTGTACCGAAGAGTATGTTGATTCAATTGATTGTCCCAATTTTTTCAATCCTTTATCGGTTAATTGGTGAAGAAATTTCTCAAATGAATCGGATAAAGCTCCAATTACAAGTAGATCTAATATTTCATCTGCACGTAAAACCGATGAATTTGATGATGATGATCCTGAGGCATTTTCATTTGATCCTTTAGGTTGTAGGTAACTGGTTAATTTAGAATCTAATTCTAATAAAATGTCTTCCATTGTTTCTTGAATGGAACCGATAATATCTTCCAGGTAAGAAAGTAGAGACATTATTTTGGCATAAATGTGAGAGACAATGAAATATTGTTCACTATGATTCTTGAAAAAGGGTAATTTAAATGATCGATACTGATAATTATCAAGTTTACTTGCATGGTCAACATTATCAGTACCAATTATGATCATCATAGATCCAAGATCAGCTGAAAATGATACATGAGAGATTGGAAGTTGATCTTGTAAATTGAAAACACCAACAAGAAATATTCCAAATATGTAAATATGAATTGTTCCCAGAGTTGTACCAACAGCCATTAGATTTAAATTGGTTTGTGAGGCCACTTTTAAAATATCTTCGATTCCTTCTTCAGATAACTTTCGTGAATAATTGGTAGAATAAGATTTAGTTAGGGGAGTCAATTTTTCCAAAAACTCAGTAAAAGCGGTTACCTTATACTGATCGTTGAGAATGAAATTATTTTTCGCCTGCCAACACATACAATTAACCAGAGAACCAGTTATATTAAGAATTGTAATCACTTGTCCATTTTCAATATCAACCAGAGCAATTGACGATTCCTCTGAACCATTAACCTCTTTCTCCTCTTTGGTACCAATATGTTTAACATTACGATTATATCCTACGGCCAATACTTTACCATCGGGTCTCCACTCCATTGCGTTAATATCTAATTTAATGGAACCATTTTCATCTTTCTTTGACTTACCACTAATACTTTGATTACCATCGGTAGATGTTGTTACACCTGAGGATGATGCCGATGGACCAGGGGCACTTGTTGAAGCATTTGAAGTAGTTGCCGAAGATGAACTATTAGGCCAAGTGAGAGTCCAAATTTTCTGCCAATTAACTAACCTGTGAATAGAAACATCACCATTTTTCATTCCGATCGCAATTAAATCCATCAATGTGTTCCATCTCATTAGCTTAATCTTATGAGAGACATGACGATCATCGTGTTGACGGAAACAAACCATTTTAATAAGATCAATTCTCACAATTGAAGAATAAAAAAAGAGAAACAATTAACAATAACAAAAGGAGAATCAAACTGAAAGCGGTAAACAAATCAAAAGAATCACACATGTTAGTTTGAGAAAAAACCGATAGATGTCTCGCTTTAAATTCGAAATTTTTTTCGATTAATTGAACAATCTAATTGTTGAAGGAATTAATTTGATTGAAAGAGGATTTTTAAGATGTTTTTTTTAAAGATTATGGTTTTTTTAATTCATGTTAATAAATGTCGATAAATTGCAATAAAGAGTCAGTGGTACAATTGTTGTTAATTTGTTTGTTGGTTGGTTGGTTTTTCTTTTCAATTTTTTTTTTCGTTTGATTGTTTAAATGTTACTCTTGTTAATAATAATTAATTTGTTCTCAATTGATAGTCTCCATTTTGTGTAATATAACGAACCCAGGGTAAGGCTTGATAACCACTTTTCTCAATAATCTTTAAATATCTAACTTGAATTCCAGAGGTGGTAAAATAGGGTATCTCAAATTTAACTTGTATCGGTGGTTTTCCTTCAGTTTCTTCACTAATTACCGAAGGTAAACCAAAGTGGGCTCTCATCAGGTATTCTTTACCACCGGGGAACGATTTAATACTCCAAATGATTGCACCCTGTTCTGGTGCATATTTAACGGAACCAATGGAGGTTTTAAATTTTGGTGAATCGGCATCATGAGGCACTGGGATCACAATTTCAACATTGTTTGCAGTTGATCGCCTTTTAAATTGACTTTTTGCTTTAATCATATAAGCTACTCGGGAATGTGGATGTCGTTCAATTACTGATTCAATCCAAATTAAAGGTTTCACATGGGTATTCAATCGGTAAGACATTAATTCAAATTCACCATCAGGTGGAATGAACGAAATGGTTCGATCATTTTCAAATCGAGATAAACGAACACATTGGTGAAATTTGACATCTTCCAATTCCACTGATTTACTTTTACCTTTAAAACAAAAGTGAGAATAAAACAAAAGACAATTAGTATAATATTTATAGATATAAATAAGGGTGAAGAAATTAGAGAGAGAATGATAATTACCTCTACCAGTACTTTCAAATAAAACCTTATCATTTAATCCTAATCTCAATTCAGGCATACCGGTAAGATAGACTCTCATCTTGATTGAACCAACAATTTCTGATCTTAAAACGTTTCCACTTGCATTGGCTAATAAATTAACCGATTCAATGACATCTAAAAACACTTCATTTTTACGATATTTAATTCCTTCGGATCTCCAAGAAACTGCATTAGTAACTGCCATCGGTGGTCGAGGTTGAACCTCCATCTTATGACTTTCTTGGGTAATATATTGTTGTAAAATTTTTGCATCGGTTGTTTGAGGATAACCAAAATCCATAAATTCATCTAGTAGCTCATAGATGAGAACAAAATTATCTCTTATACTTTCCTCTTCCAATTCTTTAAGATAATCAACCAAAACTGAGACAATTTTGTGTAAGAAGGAAAAAACCAGGGCAATGTTGGCATTTTTTTTGGTTGAGGCGACAATATACAAATTGTTATACTTAATCCACATAAAAGTAACATCATTGTACTTGATTATCGGTGAAAGGCAACCTTCCTCCTCTTTTTCCATCATAAGGGACATAAATTTCTCTATCCGATTCATTTCAATTTCTCCTCGGTAGTTACGTGAAATTAACACTTTACCCTTGAGATCTAGAAAATATAATCCAGAAGCAGACATGATGGTAAACACAATGGAACACACTTATCGGGTATAAAATAATTTATAATCAATAGAAATTAACAAGACAAAAGAGGCAAAAAAAATAGAATAGAAATTGACAAAAATTGATGATGTTGAGATTGGAAAAAAATAAGATTAAGGTTGGGAAGAGAAATTAAAAATCAGAATAGATCAACAGATAGTCAACGAAAATTTTGTAATCATTTGATCTTCTTGTGAGCTTGAACACCTTAAGATCAATATTAATTAAAGAATAACAAAATTTTCTAATCAAAATAATTAAAAATCTAAAAGATAAACAATTGATTCTCTCAGGTTAATGTTACACTTTTAATTCAATTCTCCAATGGGAGGGTCCGAATTCTGGTAGCGCGATTTTCAAATAGAAGAAAAAAAATTTAATCAACTTTTTTTTTCTTCTTTTATTCGTTTTGATTAAATAGAATTTAATTTATACAATTAATTGTTGTAAGTTACAATTTTTCAATGGAAATTTTTTACTTTTCTCCTCTTTCAGTGACAAAGTTGAGTAATGATAATTGATAATAATAATAATGGTAATGTAATTGATCAAAATGGTTAATTGGTGAATTGTTATTCGGTTTGATTGTTTTTTGATGATGATGATGATGATGATGATTAAATTTAATCCATCTCGTCAAAAGTTGCCATCTCAGCTGAATTAAGAAAAACAACTTCTTCAAATTTTCTTTTGGTTGTAATTTTGGTCCAATTGGTGTTTACAGTTAGAATGAAATTTAGAAGGCCAGAAATTAACATTATCAATCCAGCGAAACACAATTGAACATAAACCAATGCTGATGGGACCAATTCATCACAGAATTTATTTAAACGAGAACCAGTAAGAATAAGTAATTGTGTCTCATTTTGTGGTAACTCAATGAACGGCTGGAAAACAAGTAAATTAAGTGAATCTCGAGGTTGATTAATGGAAGACTGATTTGGTTGTACATCAACGTCACTCTCAATTGTATCATTATTGATTGTGGTGGTGGTGGTGGTGGGGTAAGTATTTGCACAGAGGGTTGAAGTAGTATAAGCAGCAAATAAACAAATACCCAAGGTAAGAGTGGCAGCAATTACGACCATCAACAGAATATAATTGACAACGAAAAGTGTTTTAACCACACAATTAGAGGCCGGTGAACATAAATTGTCATAACAATTTGTGGTGAAATTATATCTTGGCCTTTTTTGAGTATTAGTGGTACAACCAATGATTAAATTGATCAGTATAAGTATGGAAACACCAAAACCCAATATGATAACAGCAACTTCCAAATCATTAAACCAAATATATTTCCTATTGAAAAGGTCATACGTCAATTGATCAGAGATAATGGTTGATTGTATTAGAGAATAGCAAATTAATCCAATACCAGTGGAAGACATTGTTATGGCCAAAATGATTGACCAAGGTAAACGAATACATGATTTAAGGCAAGATTTACATCTTAACCATGGACGGCAACCACAACAGGAATTACAATATTCTCGGCGAACTGTTCCAGCTCTATTGATTGAAGAATATGAAATACGAGTTGATCTATTCATGGCTGTTGAGAATAAGAAGAGAGAAACAAGTCTAAATCATATCACAACAAGAAAAGAATAAAAGGTAAAATTATGATTAACCAAAGATAAGAAAGACAAACAGACAAATATTATAATAAAGATGGAGAAGAAGAAGAAAACAAAACCAAAAGAAAATAGGAAAAGATGGAAAAGAAAAGTTTCTCTTGTCAACAGGTAATCCAAAAGTTCGGACGAATATTCTAATCAAATGTAGCACAGTTAGGAAAATTATGTGAGCAGGGGTTGAGAAACAATCAAGGAAAACATGGGAAACTCATAAAATCAACCAACAATTAAAAGATTTTGATGAAAACAATTAACCAAGACAAGAAAACAAAAAGTTGGAAAAAAAAACAAAAACATTTGCTTTTTGTTCGCGACCCCTGGTGGCATTGAAAGGAACTAAATTGAGCGATGAAAATTTTGACGTTGATTGTTGGCTAAATTAGAATTGATTTAAATTCAATTGTTCCGTTTTCTGTTACTGATGTTTTATTTGTTAGACCAGTTGGAACTAAATTAGAGGACATTGAGTGTTGTTTTTTGTTGATTTGATTAGAGAGAGAGAGAGAGAGAGAGATGAGTTTTTGGTAAGAAAAGTTTTCTGATCATCCAAATCGGATTAACATTTAATCAAGCAAATCTGTTAAAAAGGTTGAGTAATTTAAATGAATTAAAGTTCATTTCCGATAAATTAAATCAATTGTGAATTTTTATTTTTCAAATTACTCAAATTATTTGGTTCTTGTAAATGTGAAAACACTGAGAGACAATTAACTAAGATCGGAAGGTAAATAATTTGAAATTAAGATTAATCTTCAAATTGTTTCAAGACAATTTATCCTAAGTCAATATTATAGATTTAATTTAATCATAAACAGTAAATTAAACCATTCATTGAGATGATAGTTTATCAGTTTGATCGAGTTTAAATTGTAATAGTTTAATGGAAACAAAAAATTATCATTGATCAAAACGCGAAAATTGAATGAGCTCCATGAGAGGCCCTTAAATTTGGGTATTGATCAATTAATCATAGATAAATAAAATTTAGATTTAAGATAATCAACAATTTATACTGATGAATGAACAACAATTAAGGAGGGCAAAAATGATTCCGGAAATTCAATGAACTTTAAATGAATAAAGTTCTAAACTTAAAGTGAACTTTTTTTGCTTCGTTTTTGGTCAATCGGTTATCCAATCCATTGGAATCCAATTGATAATCTGGATTAGGATTAAGTTACAATAAGTTGCATTCACTTGATGAAAATAGGATCTACATGAAGATTGATGATTATCTTTGAAATCTATGAATCGATCATCATAATTTAAGTTTATTCTAAATTCATGAGCAGAATTAAGTAGAACAAAAAAGAGAAAGAAAGAAGATTCCAAGTTCTATCTTCTCTTTCTCCCTCGAGTTCGTGAACATCGCAAGAGAGAGAGAGAGAGAGAGAGAGAGATTAAGAAGAGATTATAAAAATTCGAGGATCACTTGATATTTTCATCGAGTTCTAAAAAGAGTCGTGAAAATTTTTCTCCATCATTTTAAGAATTAATTTCTAATCCAAAAGAAAAGAAGAAAATAAAGTTCCAACAAATCAACTGAGTTTAATTTTCCATCTACAAACTTTAAATTATTTCTAGTGATTCGTAATTTACATTTAATTGTTCCAGAAAATCATGTCAACAATCAGCTGGTGGAAAGTCAATACTCCTTCATGTTCACCCGATGAATTAAGTGACATTATAACGGCCCCAAACGGAGGCTATTACACCGTTCCGATTGACCCTTACAATGAAGTCTATCCAAATATCTACCTTGGAGATGGGTAAAAATACTTTCAATTAATACAATTTAAATTGTCACAACAACAGTCATTAATTAACGACCTTAATTTCCTATTTCCTTAACACTATTAACTTGTGACACAGATTAAATGTTCAATCAAGTAAACAAGAAACATTAATTATCCTAACAACTACTAATAATATTTAGGAAAAGTTTTCTAGGTCAAAATTTAAGATGATTTAAAATTAGCTCAGTTGATTGTGATCTAGATAATCAACTTGGGAATTTAATTCATTCATAAAATTCATAGATACAAATTCAAATTTGAAACAATCAATCGTCTTAATCCCAATAATTAATACAACGATTTAAACTCTATGCAACAATTAATACCTTGTAGAGTTTAAAAAGTTGTTTTAATTGTTACCAAAGTTTAACCCTTTACGTTTAATTGTGATGAGACAATTGATTATGATATTTAATTGCATTTTTTTGATTGATTTTATTCGTGGAACAATTTAATTAGCCAAGGTTAGAATTTTTTGTTTACGTTGTTAAATAATTGTTGAAAATTTAGAAATGAAAATAAACTCGACAAGTCAAGGTTTCGAGTTTAAATCGCAACTTAAATTGCTGGTAAATTACATTCTCTTTTTGGCTAATTGCCAAAGTTTATTTAATTTTAATCCTTTTGGATAATCATTGTGAAGTAATTAAGAGAATTACAAGTTTATCCATGATAATCATGAAATTAGAAGAGAAATTAATACGTACCAATGAATCAATTTTTCGTTGTAATTTGTTTTTCTCTTTTAATTGATATTGAATTTTGAACATTCGATAAATTCAGTTATTGGTTTTCTATTTTTATATCGATTACAGAACAACGGCTTTGTGTACTTCGTTACTTCGTAGGACTGGAATAACCCATGTTCTTAATGCTGCTTGTGGTAAAAGTAAATCGCTTAATCTGGTCAATACCAATGAATCATTTTATCGGGATTCTGGAATTAAGTTCATGGGAATTGAAGCACTTGACATGTCCACTTTTCTCCTGTTGAATCATTTTCATGAGGCCGCTGATTTTATCGACTCGGCGTTGACCAGTGGGGGTAAGGTTTATGTCCATTGTCGTCAGGGGATTTCACGATCGGCCACTTTGATTCTCGCCTATTTGATGATTAAGAAAAACTATTCAGCCCAAGAAGCCGTTAGAACGATTCGTCGGCAACGGGACATAATTCCCAATGATGGTTTTCTCAAGCAACTTTGCCTTCTCAACGAGACCTTGTTACTTGACCGCAGGCTATTTGAAAAAACGGAAGCTAAATTATCCTGTTCAACTGATTGTAAACCAACACAATCGGTTTTAATCAAATGAACGCAATCATATTGTTAATTGTATCGAAACATATCGGGTGACCGAAAATGAGTGAGCATCTCACGAACCTTAAGTTTTGGACCCACGTTTCTATACATTTTAAGAGAGTAAATTTGACGCTGAGTCCAAAAATGTTCGACTTTTTTTTCTAGGACGCACGGTTCTCGAGAAATCGAGTGGCCTGACAAAGCGAACCGTTAACTTTGGACTCAAAATTTTTGGTCAAAAGTTATTCTTTTTGACCTATTATCTTATATACCTAAGCTCATCATTATCTGAAGTAAGGTTATTGAGATCCAACATGGCCGAAATCAACGAAAATTGCTCTTTAACTTTCCCATTATAAATTTCTCATAGAGAAAATCGCGATTTTGGCCTTTAAATAAGAACCACAGTTGCACTTGAACTTCGAAAATTTTGAAAAAATTCATCATTTATATTTGATCGATGGCGCTTTCAATGACGTTTGAAATTTTATTCTAGGACCTACCATTCTTGAGATGCTCACTCATTTTCGGTCACCCGATATAAACAAATATACTTCACTAACCTTAAACTGATTTTGTATAAAAAAAACAGCAAATTCATTAAATTATTAATACTTTCAAGTCTAATTGTAAATCTGAAATGATTTGATTAACATCATTTTTACAATTAGTTGAGTTTATCTGTTTAAATTAAGTACAAGTTTAAATTTTGGCTGGAAAAACCATTAATCGTATTGAAAATTGTCTCATATTTATAAATTATCATCAAAATGATAGAAAAACAAAAAATTTTACAACAATTAATTCAGTTAATCGTTGATGGGTCAACATTGATCTTCCCAAATACGTTGAGGGTAAATTATTTTTCCAGTTGGAAGTTGTTGATTTGTTTCTTGATTGTTGTAATTTCGATTACCAGAATAATTGTGAGTGAATCTTATTTGATTTTTTTCGATGGAAGCGATAAGGTCACTTTCGGCTTTCTCCTGTTGAGAAGATGAAAATCCAGAGGATGGAGGATTGGGTGGAGGGAACGTATTGTAAATGGACTGAGATGGACTTTGGGTAAATTCCAGGACGTTTGGTAATATTATATTGGGTCCATGGTTAACTTGACCAGTGGAGATTATGTTAGCTGAATTGGATGGATAAAAGTTTCTCGATTTTCCCATTGAAGAATCAGTTGTATCACCTTCGTATGATGTTGTACTTAAACCTTGACCACCACCACCACCACTTGAACCTCCTTTGCCTGGGGATAGAGCAGTTCTTGAATTGACTTCAGGATTATTGGTTAAATTTGGAATAGGATCTATTTTGGATGGAGCAGGAATCAAATTAAATATGGTCACTCCCATGATGATCAATGCAAAAGACACAAAATAGAGCCAATTAAATTTATAGTTGAATAAGTAGAGACCAATGAGAAGAGCATAGAAATCAGCTGATAACATGGAGATATTAACTGATGTAGCATTTGAAACTTGAAGAACCAAGGGCATTGTGATGTAGAATAGAAGTAAACAAGCAGCAAATCCAAGAATTAACGAGATTTCAATGTATTTATCAAGTTGGAAAAGTTTTTCAACTTGATCTCTTTCAAGAATAGCCAATTGAACTCCACTGATTAGACTACCAAAGAGTCCAATCATACCGAGAAATTCAACAATCGAATAACTTTTAACAACATATTCTTGGGTTACATTGGATATACCATAGAGAGTAGCACCAAGAATACAAAGCATATCACCGAGAAAACGATTCTTGACCTCAGTCTCTTTGGTACTTTCATCGAGATCCGAGTAAATGAGACAACCGATTCCAATGAGGGAAAGGCAAACACCAAGAATATGAACTATTCCATATTGAACTTTAATCCAAAGCCAAGAGAGTAATAAAACCGTTGGTATAGAGAAACAGTCTAACAATTGTATACTGGTCAGTGTAGTGTATTGATAAGCCTTGACCACCAAGAAATTTGCCTCGACATCCATGGCAGCGAGAAGAAAGTATTTCCATCCTCTTGATTTGATTACTTGAAACAAATTGGACTGACCAGATTTAAATGTTAACCAAGTTGTAAAGATTAAACAAAGTATCAAATAATTAAGGAAACTTTGAGCAGTTGGAATATCGAGATTGTAATTACGTTGAAGTAATTGTGAGGTGATCGCAGTACCACAAAGAAGAAGAGATAAAAATTGTCCGAAAAAAATGGTTCTCCAAATACGAACAAAATCAGGCTTCATGGTGGAAATTGACCCAAAAAAAGATCACCAAGTAAATATTATATTCGCTTTCTATTCAAGGTGATTAAGAGGATAACGAGTAGAAAACCATAAAAAATAATTAATTCCACTGATTAACATGGTAACACAGAGAGAGAAGAGTGTCAATTAAATGATTACAATTGTGTAATTAAACTTGGAAACAATTAACAAGTGAAACACTTAAGGATGAGAGGGAACACACAAAGAGTTGAGATTGAAGATGTAACCAGAAAACATGGAATCTTTTTCTTGTCCCAATGATAATTTAATCTTTTGATTAACTATTGAGATTAACTTTTCTTCTCACGGTTAATTTGATTGATGATTAACTGTAATTAGAAAATAATATTCAATTGTAATTAGAAACATAAACAAACATAAACAAAGAAAAACCTAAGATACTGTTTAGAGATAAAAACAATAACAACAAGGGAAAAAAGAGAGAAAAAAAAGAAAGAGAAAATATTGAAAACAATAATAATTCTATTACATTTGATTTATCGAAACAATTTAACTACAATTATAATCTAAAAGTATATCAGTTAAATTGTTGGCTGTTCGTCAATCAAATTAATTGTTGAATGAGAAACAATCAGATGATCGGGACAAGAGGGCAAAGAGAAAGGGAAAGAGTAATAATTACCAAAGGAATCACATTAATTATGGAAAATGATGTGATCATGATGGAAGATAATCAATAATCAATTGATTGTGATTAAATTGCTGATTGATAATTAGAATTAACAGCGAGTTTCAATAATAGAAATGAATGGTTGGTGTTGTGTGAATGATGAAGATGAAAAGTGTTTGAGAGAGAGAGAGAGAGAGAACGATGATAATATTTATCGAATAGGAAGAAAAATAAGAACAAGAAAAAGATGATGAAGATGATGAAGATGGAGAAATAGATTATAACTGGTCAGTTCTATTTCTAATCAGATGCTGCGTTGACCAGAGAAATGACATATTGTTCATCATTAAGAATGATTTTTTTTTCTCTTCGCAATTCTTATCATATAAATAGATTAATAACCAAGTAATCAGATTACTTAGGTATCGATGACCATGATGATGATGGAGATTGAGATGACCAAGATGATGATGATTCTATGGTTGTTTCTGTTTCTGCTTCTCTCTCATTTACTTGACATTTTATCTGGATAAAAAAGTACAACCAATTGACCACAATTGGGGATGGAAACTAGATTAATGGTTATCTGGTTGGAATAAGATGAAAAGAGATGATAAAACAAGATGAAAATGAGAATATCCTTCAACTGATCATCGAGTTAATTGTATATCATGTTACTTTCACCGAAAGATAATCAAAAAGAATATGAGAAATTAATAAATAACCACAAGATTTGGTAAAATTTGTTTCGCCATAATTTGGATAAAAATCTTTCTTCCTTTCGAAACGAATCAATTTTGATTAATAAAACCAATAGAATTTATCAATTCCCAATCAACATGATTTATACGTTAGATATATAAATTGGACATCGATGAAAATAACGACCAAATCCTTAGAAATAATAATCTAATTTAATTAAATTATGTGAACACTTTGAAATATTGGCTTATAATGGACAATGGTACAAGAATCTTGGGAAAGGGACAACGTCCTTTATATTGGCCAGCCCCGTTATCGATTGCATAAGTCTATCGAATCCGAAACCGAATCCACCTAAAGGGACATTTCCAAATCGACGAATATCCAAATACCTGAATTTGAGAAGAGAAAAATTCTATATAAGTAAAATGGACGATAAAAGTAAAAATTCGATTAGAAAATTACCAATCTAATTCTTCTTTAACTCCTTCGATTTGATCCATTCGAGCTTCTAACAGGTCAATATTATCTTCCCTTAAACTGCCGCCACAAACTTCACCTCCAACAGCGGCCAATAAATCAAAACATAAAGCCTGAAAAAGGGAAAATAATCAGTTGATTAACTAATTTTCCAACAATCAATTGATTTGTCTCACCTTATCTCCTTCTGATTTCATGTAGAAAGGCCTTAATTCAATTGGAAAATGAGTAATGAACAAAGGTTGATGTTCAAAGTACTCAAGTAAAACCATTTCATGATAAGCTGACAAATCTTTTCCATATTCAGCCGGTTGATGATTCTGAATTTTATTGATTAGTTCAATAGCTTCATCGTAAGTTAATCTAATTGAAAATAGTGAGAAAAGAATTGATTAATTATTTGGAAAGGTAAACTTTTCATACGTTCAAATTTACCTTAAGTAACGTCCTGTTAATCGATGAGCGATATCGTATTTAGTTGATTTCCAAACATCGGTCAAATTTTCATTTTTCCTTCGATAAGTTTAGATGAAATTGTCTTCATGATGAACTCAGCTCTGTCCATGAGAGTGTCCAGATTATCCATGAAAGCTTCTTCTACCTCAAACATGGTGAATTCACTTAGATGGCGACGAGATTTGTTTACTTCAGCTCGAAATACTGGTCCCATTGTGTAGACACGAGATAGAGCACTAAGAAGATAATGAGAAGACAATTAAGATGATTGTAAAAGTTAGAAACAATTGACAGAAAATTATACCAAGCAGTAGTTTCGAGATGAAGTTGACCAGATACTGTTAATTTGGCTTTTCCTTTGAAGAAACTTACATCATCGGGATGATCAAGAGGCTGTTAAAGTGGAAAAACGAAATGATTTAGAAATTAGAATGACCGTAAGTGTATCACAATTAAAGGTATTAAGATTAATCATCTCACTCTGATAACGAATGGTTTTGATCCTCCTTCACATTCATTTTTGGTTATAATCGGTGTGGTTACATTGAAAAATCCAATCTCTTTCATGAGAGAGTGAATCTCGTAATTTAAATCACTTCTTAATCGCATCATTGATGCAAATCTAGATGCTCTCGATCTCAGGTGAATATGGTCTCTCATCCCATTCCAATTATCCTTTTTTGAAGTAGCCGGATTAAAGGGATAATCTAAGACATTACATTGACCAATAACTTGGAAATTTTGACAATACAGTTCAACCGGTTGTTCTGGACCTTTACTTTCAACCAATTTACCATGAGCCATGATGGAGGAACCATATTGTGGTTTGATTCCTTCTCTTTCTAATAGTATTGTAGGTACAACAATTTGTATCACCTTGGGCGATAATCCATCACCAATGGACATGAAATGATTTTCTTTAAGGCGCCGATGTGATCTAATCCAACCCTGACATCAAAAGAAAACAGATTCAATTTAATTCCAACCAAATAGATTTCAGATGCAAAAACAAACAAACAAACAAACAAACAACCAACTTACCTTAATTGTTATATTATCATTTAACGATCGATTTAAAGCATCATGTACAGGTAAATTAACTAAATTGTCCACAGGGTCAACTTTGATTGGAGTTAAAGATGATAAATTATATGTTGAGGAAAAACAGACAAGATACTTATTTAAACCTCCAGGAAAAGGTAAACGTTGAACAAGATTTGATCGAACACTGTTAACGATAAACATTGTTACAGAAAAAACAATTAACTTAATTGTTAAAAGAAAATCATTCAAACCAAATTAACTAATCATTTGAATCAAATGAAAACAATAATGAGCAAAAATCATAAACATGTGAGGATGTAAACGTTACCATGGAAACCAAATTGTACGAAATTCAAATTGACATTTCAATGAAAAGATTAAATTGAAAATCGATTAATTATAATTTGATTTATAATTAATGTGAACAATTAAGAGTCATTTTAATTGTGAAAACTTTTATTTTGTTGCAGTGATTAGCTGATTAGCTGATTAATTAATATTGGAAGAGTAAAATTTTCATTTTTAAATGAAAATTGAATGAAAGTAAATCAAGCCAATCAACTAATTGTTTGTAATGGAAATAAATTAGTTATTAATAGTTAATCAGTTTGCCCAGGATGTAGATTTGAGTTAGTATTGTTGTTAAATAAATTGTAATTGTAATTGATCAACATTTCTAAATTTGGTTTACTAACAAAATGTTCAAAAAGATGAGCAATTAAATTTGTTTCGGTTGATAGATTCATTTGGATTAACAAGTTAATAGAGTTGGTTAATTGTTGGCTTTTTAATTTGATTGGGAATTGAAAATTAACTGTCCAATAGAAGTGGCAAAGTGAAGACCCGAAGAAGATGAGGATGACCAAAAGAATTAGAATTAATTGTAACCTTATGAAAGGTTAATCAAATTCGAACCACACAAATTTATTCTAATAACATGTTCTATTATTCAGTTTTATCATCATTCTCATCATCATCTTCTTTATTTTTCTCTTTCTTTTACAATTAAATTGTTCGAATCAACCATCATACATATTCAACATGAACTCAATTCCAATTGAAATGCTCATGATTCAAGAAGAGAGACAGAGAGAAATAGAAATAAAAATAAATTCGAAATAAAAATTTCACTTCGATCGATAGATTAAAGTTCTGTATCATGAAGAAAACCACCACCACCACCACCACCATCTTCATCTTCATCTTCATCTTCATCTTCATCTTCAACAACATTATGCTAATTGATCTTTTTAAAAACAAAACTAACAATCAACTGGAAGAAAAAAAAAGTAAAAGTTCAACTCGATCGATCACCAAGTTACCTGAAGAAAAAGTTCTAACACATTCGATAATTGGCTTGATTTACCTTTGAGTTATCATGGTAATTCCCACACCCAAACTGCACCACCTCGAACAGAGCATTTCATCATCCACCGAATTAGAATTAATGTTCACCCATTAACAATTGTCTCCCAATTAACAATCACAATTATCTGACTAATCAACTATTTACCTTTGGTAAAGATTAACATGATTTTCATCCTCATCTTCAACTGAATTACTTTGTATATATAAATTGAGGCTGTTTAAATGATCAACAATATAAACATGATGATGATGATAAATATCATCACGACTTCAATGTCAATATAAGGAAAACAAAATAATAGACTCAAGCCTAAGGTATATACTCATAGACAATCAATGTAAACATACAAGGTGATGAAAAAAATGAACTGAATTCACCTTCATCTTTAATCATCTCTGGTTACCACAATTAACTTTCAACAATTTACAATTGAAAGATTGTCCAATTTTTATGGTTTAATTGAACGCGAAAAATTAAATCTCTAAACATGAATCATTCTAACTAATTGTTCAATAAAATGATTATCAAACAACAATTAACTGTTAGTTGATTAACAGCAACAACAACAAGAGCAATTAATTCATGTTAACATATGAAAATCAATTTACCATATTGAAAGTTTATGGTTACAGTTAATTAATAAATCTCTGACTGATTAATATTCACTCTCTCTCTATTTCCATGATTCCCTTTTTACAATTAAGGGTTGATTGTAATTAATTAACAGGAAAACAGAGACTGGATTTAGTTTGTATCAGTATTAGTATTACAATGTCAAAATTGATCAAAATTTTCATCATTAATCAAGATCAACTTATCAAATTCATATATGTTTCTAAATTATTTCAATTTAGTTTCATGATTAACATGATTTTCACCCAACAATCAACATAATCCAAACCCTATTCAGCTGATCAACACCATGAACAATTTTTCAGACTCTCAATCAGAATCACAATTTGTTTATTTATCTGTAAATTGATCAACCAACTGAAATAAATTCACAATCTCATGTTGACAGATTTTAATCAACATCATCAACCAATTTATTTATGTCAGAAATCAATGTTAGTGTTAATAATTTGGTGTTTAAAACAAACTAGAGACAATCAGTATGATTAATTTGAGGGAAGAAAAAAAAAATTAAACTAATGAGTTTTCATGGAAGATTATTTTACAAATGATTTTTAACCATGAAAAGAGGAAACGGAAATGATGCTGATCATCATTTTGCATGGTGATAGTAATGATGATAAAGATTCTGGTTTTGGATACATAAAAATGAAAGATGAATTCAAAGGTTATACATCATTTTTTTTACGGAGAAAAGTGTTGGGGGAGAGTGGGAATATATTGTATACATGAATTGGACTTTACTCTTCTGGAAGAGAGAGATGAAGATGAGGATGAGGATGAACTGAAATTTGAAAAGAATCAGAGAAGAAGAAGAAGAAGAGAGAAAAAAAGACATGGAAAAGATTGAAAGATGGAAAAAGAGAAGAAGAAAAAAAAGTGAAAAAGAATTTGAAAAATAATAATAATATTGTTGATGGAGAAGAAGATGAAAAAGATGAGGATGATCAAGAATCAACAAAAATATTTTGGGTTGAACATCTTTCTCTCTCTCTTTTCTTCATCATTATCATCCTTCTCATCAGTAGCATCATCATTCTTTGCCTCATTTCTCTCACATTATCATCATCTCACACACATGAACAACACTCAGTCACTCAATCACTTACTCTTTCATTTGGTGTAAAGCTTTTGAACATAAAAAGTACGAGTGTGTCCCAGTTACATTAAAGCAAATCCAAAGAGATGAGGAAAAAGATGAGGAAGATGAGGAAGGTGGGAGAAAGATAATAATAATAAATGAATGAATGAATGGAAAACCAAGGGAAAGATGATGATGATGATGATGAAAAAGGGAATGAAAGAGGAGAAGATGATAAAGAGAGAGAAATTAGATCGATTTTTGTCCAGAATGAAGATGAAGATGATACTCTTATAAATGTTTTTCCAATGTTAGTCTTTTGTTTCCTTTTCTTTTGCCTTTTTCATCCTCATCTTCATCATGATGATCGTCATGTTTTTGTATCATCAAGATGAGGATGAGAGAGACGTTAAGACAAACACGATTCCAATGGCAGCCTCATAATACTGGGATGAAACTGATGATGATGATGATAACGGTAGTGGTGAAAGAGAGGAAGAGGAAAATGTTGAATACTTGAATACACACCTTATCCTCTTCCACCTCCTTCCTCCCACCGCCAGAATTATCAATGGAAAAGGATATAACGGGATTATCATCATCATCTCAACCCAAAGGAAAATGTGACAATTTATGATTACACTTTAGGAAGACAAAAACAACAACATAGAAAATCATCTTATCTATTATATTGAATTCTCGGTGTATTCACTGATACTATTTAAGAATCACTTTCATCTTATTTTTTTTTATCTTCATCTTCTTACTTGTAATATTTATCTTCCATTACATCACCATTATCATCATCATCATCTTAAGATGATGAGGCAAAAACAACAACAACATCTCTTAAATCATCATCTTAGATTTAACCTTCTCAATCAAATCAATTTACCAATCAAAATGATGATAAACTAATCAATATCTTGCATTATATCATATATAATGTTTTCCCTGTTATTTATACTGACCATTGTCCAGTTATTATTTTTATTGCTGGTATCACAATTAACTCGGTGACAGTGACAGTGACAATAATAACAAATGATAATATTTACAAACATTTATCTTATCCATTGATTGTTATCATGTTGTGTTAGTTTATCATTTTTTGATTGTGAATATGGATTAATTTTACCGTTGATAGGATATTATATTAATTTAAAATCAAGGCAAGTAATTAGTTTATTGTCAAAATAATTCTGGTTAATAATCAAGGATGATTGACTTTTCCTGATGGTTCAATATTGGTTTGGAGATGAACAAAAAAGGGAAACAACAACAATGCTCTTGGATGATATTGTCAATTTCAATCTCATTGGGAAGAGGAGGATGAGAAGAGAGAGAGAGAGAGAGAATGGAGGATGATGAGGATGAGGATGAGGAAGATGTTGCTGCGTGAATCAGATGAAAAAAAAGAGGAGGAAGATGGAGATAGAGTAAAGGGAGAGATCGAAGCTTAAGAAAATAATGAGATTAAGGGTTAGTGTTTGGACTCTTATATGTACTTTTTTGTTCCTCTTGTTGATTTCGCCCCCTGACACAAATTAGCTAATCATTTTAACTTTAAAGAGAGAGAGAGAGACGAAGATGAAAAAAGAGAAAGAGACAAAGACCAGAGTGGAAGAAGATGAGGATGATGAGTGTTTCTGAGTGGTTCTCAATGTTATTATTATAATGACGATAATAATAACAGTAAACTATCTTACCCACTTCGATATCCCCCCTAACATTGTAAAAAGAATGAGAGAATGAGAGAGAGAGAGAGAGAGAGAGAGAGAGAGAGAGAGAGATGAAGTAGGAGGAAGGATGAAGATGAGAGGAGGAGGAAGACTTGACAGTGAAAGATTGGGAAAAAGTGTATATTTCAGGTTACAAGGGTGAAATAGTTATTTCCCTATGGAATTAAAATACACTATTCCAATCTTTATTTTATCATCTTTCTCTCTCATCTCCATCTCCATCTCCATCCTCATCCTCATCATCTTCATCCTCATCTTCATACATATAAATGTTTTATGCAAAAGGACAAGAACCCTAACCTGACGAAACCTATTAAGTTAATCAATCAGTTTTGTTCATCATTAATACACTAACATTGTTTTCATACTACTAAATTAACCTTAATTCAGTATGAATATAACAATTTAAATCATCTTAATAACTATACAATTTACAACTTTAATCAACGAAACAATACAACTAA